CTTCCATTCACTGCTTCAACTGCGTCATTTAATTCCTTCACACGTCCGTCCAATTCTCTTACAGATCTTCTCACCTCACCTTGAATAACCTTTATCTCTTTATTTGTTGCTTCCACCTGCCCACCTAGTTTACTTAAACTTCCTTTCAATATTCCGACTTCCTCCTCTATCGTTTCACAGTCAATGTATTTTGCTTTTCTGTATTCACAAACCTCAGTCTCATGATGGACTATTTCTTGCTTGTTAATTACCATACCACAATGTTCGTTGGAACATACAACCGGAGCAAATCCGCAGTTTGAAACATGTGCTTTGAGATTTTCGACATTCGTAAACTCGCGACAACCTCGACTGGCATTGTCACAATTTATCTTTAGCTTACACAAGTAATCGTTTATTGAACTCGCCATGCGAAGCGTGTCTAGACTCAAATGCTCCTTGCACTGAGGACAAGAAGACGATTTGACACTTAGATGTTGAGTAATACAGGCAAGGCAAAACACGTGATCGTTATTTTTGCACATTCTTGGTTCTTTGAGAACATTGCAACAAATAGAGCAATGAAACTTTTCTTCGACATCTGTCTCAAACCGCCAATCTTCGTAGCCATAATTCTCCTCTCTTGGGCAACAAGCCATCTCACGAAATATAACTCACGAATAATGCTTTTGCTCACAACTTTCATATCAGATTTAGCATATCAGTCATAAAGAGATACTCGAAATCTTCAAAGATTGGCTGAAATTTTTAAACATTCATGCAGCCACTCCGTCGATTTGGTATAACTTTTCAAATATAACGATTTCCACAATTTTTTCAAAATACTTGGAAATATGAATTTTTCATTAAAGGTCATGACCTGCGACTATGTTGCATATTTTGATTATTGCGCCTTTTGTGGGATACACGCGGCGAAGTGTATCAGGACAAACTACAAAAACTCCAAAATAGAGCGGATCGCGTTTATTAGGAGCGGCAAGTTTTGGTGACCGCTCGACAAGTGTATTAGGGGTTCTGCAATGGTCCACTCTTGATGAAAGACGTGATAGATTAGAGAGCATCCTCATGTACAAAATTCTTAATGAGCAGTCCGCTCCAAGACTTGGAAAAAAAATTATGAAGATCTTAATCGAGATGCGACCTAGCACTTCCAAAACCTAGAACAAACTATCTCAAACTGAGTTTTGATGTATTTGTGCCGTGCGTGTAATAACCTTCCAGGCTTCCACGGTTCCACCTGAGGCGAAAAAGGCATCTTCGCTTTCACAATTTAAACGTAGTATCAATTGTATCATCACCATGACTTAAGATCAACGAGAATAGTTTGAAAACCAACAACCCTTCTGAAAACCAACAAAGAATGTTGTGTAAGTCTAGCGAGGTTAAATAAATTTTTAGATAAATAAATAACTTACAATGATTAGTTGGGCTATGACCTATGACGGTGATTGTGGAAAAAAAATATAGATGGAACTGGAAGCAAGCGCCTTAATATTTTGCAATTAAACAGGTAAGTATAGGGTGACAATGAGATATTCGTCCCCCTCTCCACTCCAAAAACTGAGGGACGCGTGACGCCCCCCAGGATTGACGCCTTTGAATGGGTGCCGGTTTTGCAGAAAAGCAATGACAAGATATTCAGCTCCGGGTTCGTGGCTCCGGGTTCGCGAACCCGGAGCTGGCTCCGGATTCGAGCGAACCCGGAGCTGGAGTGGCTAGTTTTCAAACAAACCGATGTGGCCGCTTCGCTTTTAATGGAAATCGAAAAATTTAAAAAGGCCATTCTTCTTTGTTATATTATCAAGAACATGGCCTAAATTGAGAGTTTTATTTCATTTACTTTGCTCGCAATAGCTCCGTAAAGTTGGCTATTTTTTTTGGAAAGTTGACTGGTCAGCGGCACGGGCGACCGCCAGGCTTTATAAAAGTTCGATTTACTAGCTTTACGACGAGTTTTTGTAAAAACTAAAAGATGGCCATTCGAGAGAAAGCTTATGAGAATATCCTTATAGTTCTAACCTTCTTCTAGCTTGCGAAACCACGACAGGCAACTTCTGCAAAGTCTAGCCGTCTGATTTCATGCACGTACCCGTGGCATAAATTTAATCCCTTCGCGATGGCAACTAACCCGGTTTCTGCAAATTTTCGTTTTTTCACATTGGTTTATTGAACTGTAAATGTCATATCATCAACGCTAACAATTATTTGAGTACTCTAAGCAAAAAATATCTCTTCTACCTGTGATATGCTACGGAAACAACACCGTCAAACAAGTGTACACAAAGCGGCTCAAATCGACGAACGGCCATTGCATGTTAAGTACGCTTTTCATCACCGAGATTTTTTCGCTGATTTCTTCGCTAATTCGACTTTAAATAAAATTCTAAAAGATGGCCATTTGAGATTTACATTCATACTCTTCCACCACAAAGATTTGAGGTTCTAGGACTCGTATCCAGTGAGCACAACTCCTGAGAGTACAAGCCGTCAGAATTCGGTCACGACCCGACATCATTAACATTACAACCCGGTGGACACAACCGCCGTGTTTAAAGCAAATTCACGCTTTTGCGGACAACGCTGGTAAATCATAAACCCCATATTATTATTGTTAGCCATCATTCGAATGCTTTACGCTAAAAATATCTTTTCTTCTCGTACTACACGGCGCAAACAGCATCGCTAAACCATGGTCTTAAAAACGGCTCAAGTTCTCAAACGCTAGAAATAAGTCAAGTAAGCTGAACATCACTCGGATTGTTTCGCGTATTTCGTCGCTGTTTTGACTTGATATAAAATTCTAAAAGATGGCCATTTGAGATTTATATCCATACTACACCATGAAAGTTTTATAGGGCTTTGGGATTCATATTCAGCGCCAACAACTCACGAGAATACAAACTTTGTTGACAACAAACTCACGGGCGATGATAATTCACATTGTTTTGATCTCAGGGAAAACCCATCAGGAAGATCGGGTGATACTCGGGTAGTAGCGCCTTTACAACGATGTGTTCTTGTGTTTATTTACATACACGTTTTTTACCGCGTGCTTTTGCGTTTAATAATTTTTAAATTTGATTTTACGAAAATACGAGTGCTTTCCTGTAAACATTAAAACTTGGAACGCTTGCTGGTTATGAGCATGAAAACAGCAATATTGGATTCGTCGTCTTCCAAAGTTGAACCAAATTTAGCGTCATCAAAGCTGGTCAATTTCTGTGGTTATTTCGTGTTGATCATCTGAGAAAAATGCGTTTTCGTTGTAAACTGTAATAACAGCTCGCCCTATAACGTGACCAAGAAAATTAGCCATACCGCATTGGTCAGCTTTTGCGTCAATGCATTCAGGAACGGGAAGATGTTCATCTTTACACTTCGTAATTTTTTCTCCCTCACATTTATTTCTCCTTGAACTGTAGAGTGAATTTTTCGGATTTTTTCGACGTTTAAAATCAAATTTAAAAATTATTAAACGCAAAAGCACGCGGTAAAAAACGTGTATGTAAATAAACACAAGAACACATCGTTGTAAAGGCGCTACTACCCGATTATCACCCGATCTTCCTGATGGGTTTTCCCTGAGATCAAAACAATGTGAATTATCATCGCCCGTGAGTTTGTTGTCAACAAAGTTTGTATTCTCGTGAGTTGTTGGCGCTGAATATGAATCCCAAAGCCCTATAAAACTTTCATGGTGTAGTATGGATATAAATCTCAAATGGCCATCTTTTAGAATTTTATATCAAGTCAAAACAGCGAGGAAATACGCGAAACAATCCGAGTGATGTTCAGCTTACTTGACATATTTCTAGCGTTTGAGAACTTGAGCCGTTTTTAAGACCATGGTTTAGCGATGCTGTTTGCGCCGTGTAGTACGAGAAGAAAAGATATTTTTAGCGTAAAGCATTCGAATGATGGCTAACAATAATAATATGGGGTTTATGATTTACCAGCGTTGTCCGCAAAAGCGTGAATTTGCTTTAAACACGGCGGTTGTGTCCACCGGGTTGTAATGTTAATGATGTCGGGTCGTGACCGAATTCTGACGGCTTGTACTCTCAGGAGTTGTGCTCACTGGATACGAATCCTAGAACCTCAAATCTTTGTGGTGGAAGAGTATGAATGTATATCTCAAATGGCCATCTTTTAGAATTTTATTTAAAGTCGAATTAGCGAAGAAATCAGCGAAAAAATCTTGGTGATGAAAAGCGTACTTAACATGCAATGGCCGTTCGTCGATCTGAGCCGCTTTGTGTACACTTGTTTGACGGTGTTGTTTGCGTAGCATATCACAGGTAGAAGAGATATTTTTTGCTTAGAGTACTCAAATAATTGTTAGCATTGATGATATGACATTTACAGTTCAATAAACCAATGTGAAAAAACGAAAATTTGCAGAAACCGGGTTAGTTGCCATCGCGAAGGGATTAAATTTATGCCACGGGTACGTGCATGAAATCAGACGGCTAGACTTTGCAGAAGTTGCCTGTCGTGGTTTCGCAAGCTAGAAGAAGGTTAGAACTATAAGGATATTCTCATAAGCTTTCTCTCGAATGGCCATCTTTTAGTTTTTACAAAAACTCGTCGTAAAGCTAGTAAATCGAACTTTTATAAAGCCTGGCGGTCGCCCGTGCCGCTGACCAGTCAACTTTCCAAAAAAAATAGCCAACTTTACGGAGCTATTGCGAGCAAAGTAGATGAAATAAAACTCTCAATTTAGGCCATGTTCTTGATAATATAACAAAGAAGAATGGCCTTTTTAAATTTTTCGATTTCCATTAAAAGCGAAGCGGCCACATCGGTTTGTTTGAAAACTAGCCACTCCAGCTCCGGGTTCGCTCGAATCCGGAGCCAGCTCCGGGTTCGCGAACCCGGAGCCACGAACCCGGAGCTGAATATCTTGTCATAGAAAAGCAGAATAATTTCGGTGAATCATCGCAGGCTCAGGGTACGAGATTGCCTCTCCCGAGGAATAAATGTTGCGCAATGTTACGTTTTATGTGCTACCACTACACACTGAACTACCAGAGAAGAAATATTTCACCTATAATCCTGGTCAATTAAATGATTTAATATATCGGCAAAAATGAAAGAAATTACATTTTATTATGATATCGTGTGTCCGTTTGCTTATGTCGCTAGCCGTTTGATTGAACGTTTAGCTGAAAGGAATGCTGCAACTATACGTTGGATACCAGTGCTACTTGGTTTGTATGTTATAAATTAAAATTCTAATGCTTTGGTAATTTTTAGAATCAGCCAATTTCTGTTCAGCTCCACTACTGCAATACTGTTCCACTAAGCTGTAAAAACAAGGGGAAAGGGCTATCACTATTAGAATGGACCATAGTTGATTAGTTGTTGCCTTGTTGGTACTTGGTAGTGGTCTTGGTAATTGGTAACAGACTAATGTCTCTAGAACATTAATTCAAGATGAGATCATTAGCATTCCTGAGTTAAAGTTGGCTAATGAATTAAGCCAATTAAAACAGGGAAAGGAATAACAAGGCTGTGTACCATTGGGAGAGAATTGAGACACACATACCTGTAATATTGACGATAACGAAAAAGATGGCGGATGTACATTTTACCAGAATGCACTGTGGTCAGAAATTGTTTGAAAAAGCGAATTAAAGTTTTTTGAAGGACAGATATAAGAAAGGAGGTTATTTTCTTCATTGTGTTAAAATTTCATATCATTAGGTGATTTTCTTCAGATGCTTTGTTAGTCATTTATGCTTGATGCTTGCAATGCATTGTGGTAAAATGTACATGCTGCCATCTTTTTCGTTATGGTCAATTGTGAAGGAGAATCAGTTTTGATGTATATATATATATCTTTTGTTTGTTTTGTTCAGGTGGTTTATACAAGGAAAATCATTCACAATCACCTATGCTGACTAGTGGTGATGCTAAGAAAAAAGTAATGAGTGAGGGTGAGTGTTGGTAATATTTTAGGCATCCTACCATTTAACTTTTGACTTCATGTGTATTACTCTATTAATATTCTGTTTACGGCTTTCTTAAAGATATGAAAAGATTATTTAGTCGTTACAATGTGACAATCAATGCTCCTATATCACCTACAATGAATTGTCTGTCTGCAATGAGGCTACTGGCTGCCACGCCCGATAGCAGTACCACAAATATAAGACAGGAATTGAGTCATGCCTTCTTTTCTTCACACTGGGTTGAAAGTAAAGGTACACATTACACAATTGTTTAAGTTGTGACAGTGTTTTATAATAAAAAACCCTAAATATCTATGTTCGCCAAATTGTTTTCATACCAAATTATGTTTGACAATATGCAATTGTGGAATAATGTAATATTATGTGCACAATATATGCACTACATGTTCACATTTCTAGGTAAATTTCAATTGAATTGGAATCATTAGTTCAGAATCGATGGTCCTGCATGTTACCAAAAATTGTGTCAATAAATCTCTGTATCTGTATTATTAATTATAGATGATTAATTGTTTGGCAAAATTGAAATATCTGAAAATATTCATAGCATATGGATTCCATATTTGTGATCTCCCGTTGATTTTGATAGAATTTGTTGCCATTTTCTCTTAAGTATCAGAATTAATTGATAATAGTAAAATATATCTATATATATACAGACATAACAAGTAGTGATGTACTCCAAACTATGAGCAATGCTGTTGGTTGGAATGTTGATGTGGAAAAAATAATTGAACAGAGAGGAAAAACATTATTATGGGAGAATACAAAAGAAGCTTTAGATAATGGTGCTTTTGGTGTACCTAGGTACAGTATAACAGATTAATGGTTCTACAGCATCTTGATCGACTTAAGTAATATAATGGGGGTTCAGATTTTACTGAGATTGAGCCATGTAATTGTTAGCTGAAGATGATATATTGCCTGAGAGGTAACTGTGTAGGTAGAAATGTTTTCAGCTTGACTGCCCATGCTGGCATTCAAACATAAAATTAGCATAATTAGGGTAAATTACATTGTACAGTACATTAATACCATCCAAAAGGAAAACCTTAATCAAGAAGCTTTTCAAAAAGGAACTCCTATGACTTAGCCTGACTAGACAGTAACACATTGATTTGCTTTTGTAAAAGTTTTGCCGTTTTTTATCAGCTTTCTTGTAAATGAAAAGTTGTTTTGGGGTGTGGACAGCATGCATTTTGTGGAAAAAGAACTGGGAAATGTCAATGCTGCTCCACTAAGACTGGTGCAACCACCATCATCACAACATTCAGCAACTCTCACTATCTACTATGATTTGTCAAGTCCTTGGAGCTTTATAGGATCTACACAGGTATTGCATCTTTGATCTATTTAATTAAGAAAATATAATTGACATTGCATTATTCTGCTAGTGTAGGTAAAACTCCATAATGAGCGTATGATATATGTATAATTTCCCCCTTCCTTAAAGATCGCCAATTTGATAAGCAGTTTGAAACCAGTCAACATTAAAGTGGAATATGTTCCTATTGTCGTTGGATCCCTATTTAAACAGATTGGCACACCAGTTGTAAGTTTAAAGAAGTTAGTTTTTCGTAATCTTACAGAAATTATTTTCGTAGGGCAGTATATTGATAGGTAATATGTTTGTAATTGCACTTCAAATACCGTATGTTAAAAGAAATCCGTATTTTAGGTGCCAATGAGGCATTTGAGCCCAGCCAAACTGGCGTATCTGACGAAAAGTTTGCACGATTGGTGCGACTACCATGGCATAACAGGTTTTCGGTTCCCATCAAATTTTCCATTAAGGACAGTTCTTCCAATGCGTGTTTTACTGGCAAGTGATGACTCGGATCGCGAAAGGCTGCTAGCCATTCTTTGTAAGTTTTTCTATAAAGTCATCACTGCCAAACATTGCCATCGGTGTTTATTTCACGAAATAGTGAATGACATATGTGATACTATTACGATTGTTTCTTGAATTTATTGATAACTCTTGTATGCAAGGAAAGGTCTTTTCCTCATTCAAGCATCTTTTGCGTTTTGTTCGGTGTTTTTCCTCCATTAGACAGGATGCCTTAAAAACTGGGACCTTCGATGGATTTTTTGATATTACAATACATATGTAACGATTGAGATTCGAGATTCCAATTTCAGTAGCTACAATACATGTCGCTTGAACATTTTCACCAATATTTTGAATTTTAAATCAGTTCAACTAAATTAACTGGTTAAATTTTTTTCGACCTTTTTTGAACAGACAAGGCAGCTTGGGTTGATGACAAAAATATTGGCGATGAAGAGGTAAGTTTTCTATATGTGCGATGTGCATGTCTACTACGCAGTACGCATACTTGCCACTGTAGGAGTTAGATCAGTTCAAACTAGTTTAACTTCACATTTTAATACGAAACGCCCAAGTTCCTTGACAACGGTAGGGGATATTAAACTCCAAAAAGACAAACCAATGTTATTCAATTATTAAAAATCTCTTGGCCTTAAGAAGTTCAGGTATTCGGACTTCGGAGGAGAATGTCGCTATACATATATATATTTCTGTATTATGTAGACTATAGTTTTGGTATAAGGACATGCATGCGGTAGTATATATATATATATATATATATATATATATATATATATATATATATATATATATATATATATATATATATATATATATATATATATATATATATAATATTTCCACACGTTAAAATATATTCCATGCAACTTTACAGATTGTACGAGAGATATTACAAAGTGCTGGTTATGATGCGGATGAACTGTTGAATAAAGCCCACAGACAAGATATTAAAGATCAGCTAAGGGCGAATACTGACAGGTATAGGGAATTTGTATGTATATATGAAAGTCGTTAAACTTACCCGCTCAGAGTTGCACAAAAACTGCATGTACACGGGGGTTACCACGCGTGAGGAAGGTTTACTTTGAATGAGGGAAATAGCTTCAAAGTTGAACACTCTAATAAATCGCATGCATGTACCAAAAACCCCAATATTACATTATACTGGTTAGCACTTGACGTCAATTGAGGAAGGTTTTCAAAATTTAAAATACTTTACTACCCAGAGGAAGTTCATCGAACTCTTTTTGAAACCGCAAACCCGCAAACACAAAAGTAAACAGTGTATCGGAGAGAACATTTGAAAATAGCCCTGTTCATGCAGTTTTTAATTGTTTTTAATGCACCGTTCAGTTTATCGCGTAAAATTCAAATCATGCATGTTCACAACTTTCCATAGGCAAGAAAGCCCACAGAGTATCGTTTATAAAATGCATACTCTTTTCTATTCAATCACATGCAGAGCCATTAGTGTGGGAGTTTGCGGTGTTCCTAGTTATCAGGTCGATGGTGGTGCTGTGATCTGGGGTCAAGATCGCCTAAACATTGTTGCAGACTTACTCTGTGGTTGGAAGGATCCAGTGCAGCAATGCAACAGCAAGTTGTAGAAACAATTTTACAGAGAATATACACCAAAATGATGCCGTTGTATAATTAATTTGAACATAGAAACAGATTATATATAGTAGTGGAAGAAGAGTTCAGTATATACGATCCTAAAATTTTAAATGTTAAAAATCGTTCTTTTATAGTCACTCATCACAGATGTACCATGCCGTAAATGTCCTTGAATTTCCGTGCATATAGAACTAATATAACTTCCATAATTTCCATCTGGTATAACAATCTATAGCAAATGATGTTTGCGGAGTATATAGAAGTGTACTCAGCTGTATAAAATACCATTTTTGGTGCAAAGTTTTAATTTAGTTTTAAGTTCTAATTTAAATATCCCTCAGGCTTCTTCCAAGGTTGCAATAAAGTACGCAAGAACCTTTATCGTTTCTGTAAATTTTTAACATTTGCTTTTCACGGTGCGTGCATGTGTTGTATAAAGAAGTTTACCCCCGGAAAACCCGAAATTTTCTGCTATTATAATTATATTGCTATTATAAAACTTCTGTTTTGAAGATCAATGGAACTCCATTAATATTCTTGCATATTTAAGTGGTTGCGTTTTTTTTGGGACACCCTGTACAGGGTGTCTCAAAAATACCGAAAACTATTGAAATCACCCATAACAATGCAACTGTTAGAGTTTGAATGCCTAAGCACTCTGTTGGGACCCACAGGTGTATAAATGTTTGCCATACGCATTTTTATGCATGCATATGATGCAGTAAAATTTGCTTGTACGCAAAAATGATATTTATTAACAATATTTACAATTTACAAACATGGATAACAATATTTAAACGTGCATCTCAAGGACCATGACACGACATGTCCCCTTGAGTAATAGTTCTCGTTTTTTTGAGACACCCTGTACAGGGTGTCCCAAAAAAAACGCAACCACTTAAATATGCAAGAATATTAATGTTGTTCGGGTTTGCACCATAGTTCAGCTAAAATGACTTTTAGCATTGTAAATGAAGGATTAAGAGCCATTTTCAATTCCCAGAGGTGCTTATCTAATGCGCTTTAGAGCTGTATTAATGTTCTGCATATTTAAGTGGTTGCTTTTTTTTTGGGACACCCTGTATAACAGCCCAATGGTGTTTAACAGCCCTTGCTTGTATAACACAGCCAATAAAATCATTTAGGTTACTCGTGATTCAGTTTCGAATGTTGAGGATGGAAAGTTTCGCATCGCTGAACATATCATTGCAATATCATGCAAATTACTTGCTCAGGAGTTTGCATGCAAGGTCGTTATCGTTAAAGCGTGTCGCCATTATCGGGCTGCACTTGATGAATGGTATGATGAAATTTACATGCGTTGTTAATATACTGGAACTATAATTCTGGTTGCAGAAGGTTTAAGCTGTCTATATATATATATATGTATATGCGAAACTGTTGTAGTGATGAATGACAACCAGTAACTGAGTAAGTCTGTTTATTCTATTTCTTCTAGACTTGCAATATCAAGTTCGTTCATTCATATATAATATACTGATATAACAAATCTTTATTGTTGTAATTCTCCTTGGATGGTTTTCTCTATTGCTCGAATTATCGAGGAAATGACTGCATTGTACTGAAAAAAAACAACTAATATAATATATATTATAGGCAAAAGCATTTTTATAGTCTGTTGTCTTGTCATTTATTTGAGCAGCAAATCCACTGCATGAAGGCAATGCACCACGGCTTCATCAATAGCCGACTATATTTCATACGTCAGAAGTGAATTGGATCCAACAAAATTGGATCGTGTGAAAAGACCTTTACACTTCACAAAATAAAATGAATAACATATTTATATATAAATTTATACAACTCAAGCACCATGACCTTCGTGTTTGAGGGTAGCCAGCCTGACGATTTGTCCCGTCATGCTAATATTTTGGTGTTCATTGACTGTGAAAACAATAAATTTCTAAAGAAATGAATAATTATAATAACTCGAAATTTACATAGCCGGACAAAATCGTCAGGCTTGCTACGCCACACAAATCTTAAATTTTTGTATTTAGCATTTTCGTTGTGTTAATCCACACGGAAAAAAATTCGCAAAACAAGTCATTGAAATTTTAACAATAGGTGATTTAAATATAGTTATGGGGTTTGGGGGCCTCCAGTATGGCTGTTGTCAGTTACCAAATCTGATTGATCGAAGTACAGACAGTTGAAAAAAGATGGATGATAAAGAAATTAAGAAATAAAGATTTAAAAATGTTTTAAATGCGAATGCTGTTATTGCAAATTTAGTGTAAGTTGCTGGCTCTCGATCGTACGAACCGAGGAATGAAATAGGAACCAACCGAGGCATGCATTTAAACTATTACCAATAAATGTATTTGCCTGGTAATATTCTTTCAGTGCAAACCCCTCGAAAACCTTTTGGATTCGAGAACTGACGACAACAAATCGAGTGAGCCGTGTTTACGTAGGCCATGAACGTATGCAAACTGCAACCCCCCTACAACCTGGCGAATTTATTGACCTTTTTTGCTACGTTTTTTCAATATATTTTCAAAATTTATACTTTGCTACCTTAAAAGACAACGTTTTTTCTTTTTATTGCCAGTGAATAGAAAGAGCTTCTATAAAGTTGGCTACTTATACGTAGTACTTTTCTGATAAGAGGCAAAAACTGTCTGCCATTATAACTTGCAAAGATATAGATTCGTTGACAAACGACGAATTTTATTTGTTTATCACTCATGTGTACATGCACGTTAAGTTAATTGGATCGTCTTGAAATTTTTTATTTTTTTTAAAGCCAAAATTCCACTCTTATCGCATTACCCTTATCTCCGTTGGACGACCAACGTTGCCCAAGGTAGATCGAGCCTCGCCCCCGCCTCACCATTTAAGGTCTGTTCACACCAACTAATTTGGTCGGATCCAATTCACTTCTGATGGATGTTTTATAGTCTGTTGACTTGCAATGTATATATGGGCAACAATTCCACTAAAACCAACGCTGTCCTGCTTTATTAATAACAAACTTAATTCCGTACGTCAGAAGTGAATGCTTTTTACGGGGTGGGTGCCCCAAAATTTCAGCCAAAATTAAAACTTGCACGAGAGCATGCCGCATTACTTATTATTAAAGCAAACCATTCGTATGAAATGAAAGGGATCACAAAATATAAACCGAGATTTAACAAAGCGAAAAATGGACTTTGAAGTATTGAAACCGAACAATCACATGCTATTAGGATGACCATCACTGTTAGGATGACCACACCACTACAGGATCTTGTTATTTATTTCAAAAGTTTACTTAGTTCAAAGTCTATTTTACGCTTCGATAAATCTCGGCAACCAGGCTCATGTGAACAGCCCTTTTGTTAAGGTATACAAAAATAGTATTATAAGAATAAAGAACAATAAGAATTAAGAAATATTAAGAATAAGAATTAAGAGTATTAAGAAATAAGAATATAAGAATAATTGAAAAGTAATCGGTTTCACAAACTTTGTTGCCAGCGAATTGAGCCAAAAGCGCAGCCATTAAGCAGGACCGGTTCGTAACAAATCAGTAGTAATATATAAGTATACTACTACAGTAGTTGTAGTTTTATAGTGGCCCTACACGACGATGAGCTATTGGTTATGGCATTGCACGGTTTATTTATTTTCAGGTTGAATATAAGACTGTTTATAGAGGTGGTTTATACAGGATGCCACAATACGACGAATCACGCGATGAAGAGGGGAATCACCTCTTACCCGTACTTGATAAATCTTTGCAAAATGAAAGCTCTAAGAGTCACAATGCAGACGAAAGAGACGGGAAACATTTACTATCGTAAGTTTATTGATATTTCAGATGTAAAACGCAATTCTATCGTTATTGTCATATTCAAATCTCGATAAATTGTGTAGGAAGGTAGAGAAGACAATTCATCAACTTTTAAGCCTGGTATACACCGCTTGCTCATCACAACCCGCGACTCAAACTCACCAATATAGATTGTTGCCATTTGTGTAGAAAATTCATGAACTGTCAGAAATTGATATAATGATAATGAATGCCGATTGTTGTGTCTAACGTCGGCTCTTGGGCTCATGTGCGGGGTGCCGAACCAAAATTTCAGACTTCCGAATATTACATAATATGGGAAAATAATTAAGCTGACGTTTTTAAAATAATTTTTGTCATACCCCCAGGCATAATTTTCTTATCACCTGTGTGTAAACATTAGCATGTAAATCTGACTCTGAAATGTATAGGCATTTCAATCGGCTGTTAGATATTACAGCGTTCTTTCCATGAATTTTATTTAGATCACGTATAACTAACTATACTGCCAACAAACTCTGCGGCGCAACGCGGTGAAAAACACGTATATACAAGACCTTTTATAGCCGCGGGAACTCTCTACCTCCTTTCTACACCGATATTTAGCTCCCGCCCATCGATTTTGAGACCCTGGGAAATTTTTTCACGTCTTTCACACTGATAATTTAATTTTTTAGAGGATATCAATGTGCTGTGTTGATCTTTAAGTTCTGTGTTGGCGCTGGTTGGTTTTCTCTGCCTGCTGCTTTTCAATTTTCAGGTGTTTTGGTGGGTAAAAAATGGCTTGCTTTCATTGATGAAAAAGTTAGTTACAAGTCAAAAAATTTTCGTTACTTTCTTATAGACAAAGGTCTAGAAAAGTAAAGAAATAGAAATCTTTATAAAATTGAAATCCCTTTCATAAGCTGTAATTGCATCTTTTCGCCAAAAAGAATCGATGGGTCCATGATATGATTACAACGACAACTTTCCAATCACACATTCAATTTAAGAAACATTAAACTTTTACTGTTTCAGAAACTCTAAATTTTTCTTTTTTCGTGCGGGTGTATATGTACTACGAACCATTGAACACAATTCTTCGAGACATTTCGCTGTTATATGGCGATTCTTGTTATTCATTGTGGCATGTGTGTTATTTATGTAGGTTGGTGTAATTCTAGTTTGTGTTTGTGGGGGTCTTACGATATTTGGAATGCAACGATTAGTTACAACTTCATGGGAAGTTGCTCGAAGGTATATATGATCTATATCAGTTTAATTTCGACCTATAACTGTTCCCTGTCTGATAGAAGTTGCACTATAGACCATTTCAGCTTGCATGCAAATTAACTCATTTCAGATGTTGTGATCATGGAATAGCCACAGGCACGCCGCAATAACGATAATTGGGAGATATATTTGTATATTCGAGTTTTGCATTATTGTTTTTTTTTTTAAATCGATTGTTTTTATGGTCTGTGAACTTGAATATATGATTATATGTATGATCCCCGGATCCCCCCCCCAATTACCGATCTTCCGGCGTCCCTGAATAGCCAATAAAACTAAACCATTTCAGACCATGTGATTTGAAAAGGTCTATTGCATGTGAGAAGCAGATAAAGATTAATTCGCCCATATATTTTCTTTGACGAATTTTTTTCCTAGTTATATTAGTTAAGCTCAGAAAGAAAATGAACGTTTCAACCGTGAACCATGCACCCTATATTCGTCTTGCGTGGCGTCGATAAACGTTTTCTTGTGTGCATGTTTACTTACTCCTGAACGCTTTTAGCAGATATCATACCACAGAATAATTATAATTACGATTTCGTGAATTGTATATGTCTTCTAAAAAGGAATTTATAACCTAGTCGGTTTCCATTTATTTAATTCACTCGCAGGCACTGTACATATAATTACACTTTTTTTCAGAAACGGAACTGAAACTGCCTTTTTTGGGGACATTGGCGCAGCTTGTGGCAAGTTATTAAACGAAAGATGGGAACAGATTGGAAGGTTATATATTTCTATGATTTATTACAGACATATAATTATGATAATGTATAAGTATGTATACACCATGCATGCATGCGACAGCTATAGAGACAGTGCAGTTAATTGGGGAAATTGCATGTTGGCCAATTTCATTAAGTTTCATTTTTGTTCACACTTAAATTTTATTCATGTTAATCAGACTTTCACACATCACAGAATTGTTTTTTTACTTAATAATTTGCCAATAATATTGTTGTGAAACACTTTCCACAAAATGGAAAAATGCAACTAACTTTGGCAAAAAATGTTCGTTTAACTAATGAATTGTGAACGTTACATCACTAACTCATTGTGCGAATAACTTTTGTACGGATTAGAAGAATGAAAGTTTTACTTAACATACAGCATTGTTATATAGGTTGGTTGTTGATATTTTTCTCTTGATTGCCTCATTTTCTATGGTATGCGCAATTATTCTATTCGTCGCACACATTTGGAAACAGGTTTGTCGCACATGTCAATTTGAAACCTCTTACTTCTTTGTCGACGCAAACATTTAACCGTAGTTCGAGACACTCTGAACTTCTCATTGCCAAAAAGAAAGCCCATGCGTACCAGTACTTTTCAATCCAATCCAATCTTCGTCGTGAAAGCTTGATTGGAAAAAGAGATTTCATCTCAGATCACCTTTAAGTTATACGTGTCCCGCCCATCACTGCCACGCTATTGAGCGGCAATTTAGGAAGCCTACCCATGCACCTAACCTTGCATGTGGACTTTTGTCACTGCATGTCTTTATTGTGGCCCCGTACGAAGTTATAATTCCGGCCCTGTAAATCTAATCGGCGATTTTTTTGGTAGGCTTTCAAGGAACAAAATATAATCGAGCTGGAAATAATCGTTTGGGTACTCATTGTTTATTTTATCCTTTTACCCACAATCTTCATACAAAGACCGGATTTTCTGGCATGGTTTTCGTTAATTGCCAATATATTTGAAGTCATTACGATTGTCTCTTTGATGGTTCACATATTTTCAAAAACATCGAACTTCAAAGTAAACAACACAGTGACATGGTCAAAGCTGCCGTTAACTGTAGGAATGGTATTCTTTGCGTTTGAAATCGCACCATTTGTAAGTATATACTTTTGTATCCGTACTTATTATATTTGAGGACGAATCATAGCTACCTTAATTATATTATCTGCGCAGGATCGAGAACGATGTTCACTTTAATAAAACGGAATAGAAGGGCTATTCACATGAGCCTCGGTTACCGAGATTTAACGAAGCGTAAAATGGACTTTGAGGTATTGAAAAAAGTAGATAACACGATTCTGGTAGTCGTGTTATCATCCTAACAATAGCATGTGATTGTTTTGTTCCAAACAGACTTTTTTAAATACCTCATATGCATAGTCCATTTTACATGCACTTCGTTAAATTTATAGGTAACCGGGCTGGTGTGAAAAGCCCGTAAGGCTACTATCGTAATATCCGTAAGATCTTTTTTTTCTTTTAAAGATTCTTTCAGTGGAAAATAAGACGAGAAAACCGAGACAGCTGCCGCTTGTTATAAATGTTATCATGATTGGTGTTTCGTGTACGTACGTTTTTGTTGGAAGTATTGGATACGTTTCGTGTTTTCCGGAATGTCAAGATAGCATTATTCTTAATCTGCCCAATTTTTGGTACGTTTTTTTCAATATATGATTAATTTATCGCTTTACTACCTTGTAAGGCAATATTGCTAGTCCATAGAAAGAACTTTAAAAGGTTCAATGCCAATCACGAGCCTGTTTCAAACGTTGTTGTTAAACGCGTTTGGCACGCGAGAACTCATCGAGTAGCACATGCAACGTTTGAAACTTCCCTTATAATGGTCCATTATATAGCATAGGCTGGTTGCATAGCTTCAAGCTGAAAATTAAATCAAATGCCTAATGTATGATACTATTATATGTAGCCGCAAAATGCCGATTGCATGGCTTCCCCTGCTCGCCCCCGTAAGTAAAGGGCATAGGCATTGTCATGCAGTACAGGGTATCCCAAAAAAGTCCCCCTATGAAATGAAGCGTTTGTTGGAATTTGAATGCATGATCAACGCAGGACACCCTTGTCCCTGTATAGGGGCAGCTTTCCCCGCGGCAGGCGCCCTTGGGTGGAGTATATACATTAACCAACCTAGCCAATCACAATATGACGACTTACAATATATTCATGATATATTGCAACAACATTAAAACGTGGAATATTTTTTGTAAACAACATAGCCGTTTATACAAATTCAAGCCTGCATGTTTCATCGAGGGCGTACCGTTTATAACGTAAACTAACGCGTGACCAGTTGAACGAAAATAGTGATGTAGGGACTTCTGTTGAAAAGAATGTAAAATTGTAAAAGCTGGGCGTGGCGGGAGCAGCCCTAGCTGTGCTACCATGCATATTTAACGTATCATACATTCACAGTTTAAGTTGCATGCATGTGGCAGTAATTATATAATGCGTCTTCTTCGTATTATAACCAGCTATTAATATTTTTCAAAATAGTGCGGCTTCCAATTTAAGGTAAAATGAATGAATCCTGTAACAACTATTCGGCTATTCCCGCCGCCCACTTATATAAGATTGCTTAGTACGGTCACCCCTTGAGGGTGGTATAGCATGGTTAAAATGTGATGAAGTATAAACATGCAGACCAGTTATTTTATGCGTTGTTTTTCAGGTTTTATTCAGTTTGCAAAATTTTAATGGGCTTGGCTGGTTGTGCAAGTATTATCCTTTCGAGTTATGTTGCGTATGAGACTTTCGCGCCCATATTGAAATCTCAAGTTCCAGAACATCAATTTCGTCTCATTTCGCTTATGTTCAGGACCCTGTTGTTGACATTTGCAGGTAACAACAATTATCGTTTGTTTTTTATAAATAACCTTAAGAAATTTGAATTGCTGCTTCATATTGGCCCGATTTATCCCCGAGCCGGTGCGGAGCACCGTGCGAGGGTACTAATTCCGCCCGGAGATTAGGAATTACACCCGGAACCCGGGAGAACATAGCAGAATCCAAAGTCGCCCAAATGTCATGGACGTTCAATGGTCATGGTACTTGTGCGCACGCGCAAAATTTGAACGAGTGACGACTGGTAATTAGCAACTTGCTGATTGGCTAAGACGAAACGTTCGTGTTTCAGTGAAAAACGTCAGCAATTTAACTGTCATTTAAATATTTAACAGTTATTCTGCGAACTCGAGTCGTATATGAGCTGATAGCCGACGACTCGGGTAGCGCCGAGTTGGCTATCGGCCATATACGACGAGAGTGAGACTGTTTTATTATATACACAAACTTTGTCGCCCTTTCGGTGCATTTTGGTGTGCTATTATCAACTAAAGCTTGGATTGGGTCTATTCACTCAACTCCCCAAATCTTTCGGCCATTTTGTTTACTTTAGCTTTCTCTACTAGACAGATATGAGCTAATATCTGTCTAGTAGCCAACCAATGAGATTGCAGCATACCTCATATCTGGCGCTTGTGTATATAATATATATATATAATTAATATATATAATATACTATATATATATAATATATATACACGTATTAAAAAAAGTTATAATGGTTGTCTACACACAGAGAAACGCCACACAGAGTTGTTGCAGTTGTAAATTTACTGGCTTGTTGCAACTTGTCAACAGGTTGCAACAAATCAGTAAAAACACTTGCAACAAGTCTGTTGAATTCAGGCCTGTTGCAATTTGTTATTGACAAGCTTGTTGCAACTTGTTCCTAACAGGCCTGTTGCAACCTGTTATTGACAAGCTTGTTGCAACTTGTTCTTAACAGGCCTGTTGCAACTTGTTATTCTCAAGCTTGTTGCAACTTGTTGGAACAACTTGCAGCAAACCCGTGATTGACAACTCTTGACAAGTCTGTTACAACACCGTGCAACGGCATTGCTGAAAGAACAAGCTTGTTGCAACTTGTTCTTAACAGGCCTGTTGCAACTTGTTATTCTCAAGCTTGTTGCAACTTGCTGGAACAACTCGCAGCAAACCTGTGATTGACAACTCTTGACAAGTCTGTTACAACACCGTGCAACGGCATTGTTGAAAGAACAAGCTTGTTGCAACTTGTTCTTAACAGGCCTGTTGCAACTTGTTATTCTCAAGCTTGTTGCAACTTGCTGGAACAACTCGCAGCAAACCTGTGATTGACAACTCTTGACAAGTCTGTTACAACACCGTGCAACGGCATTGTTGAAAGAACGAAATTGTTGCAACTTGTTTTGAACGCGTAATGATTTAATATCAATGGTTTACAAATTTAATGTATGGCAAGTATATATATATTTATTATTTTGGGGAGTATGAGTGAATATATGGAGAGTTGAGTGAATAGAAATCCAAGCTTTAGTTGATAATAACAAACCAAAATGCACCGAAAGGGCGACAAAGTTTGTGTATATAATAAAACAGTTATTCTGCTCACTCTCGTCGTATATGGCCGATAGCCAACTCGGCGCTACCCGCCTCGTCGGCTATCAGCTCATATACGACTCGAGTTCGCAGATAACGGTATTGTGAAATTTGTAAATTATTATGATTTATACAATGTTAAGACTAATGGCCTCGTGTATATAGTCATGACTGTATGAATGGACGTCAAGGATATTGGCTTTTAGTTTTTAACTGTTGTTTTTGCCAGATATTTTACATAATTATTTGACCTATGTTATGGTTTCCGCGTGTTCCTGTTATATATAAGTTCGTCGATTGTAAAGCGGTATAATTTGTTGAGATTACCTATAATACTATATATTCAACTTAGTGGTAACATAAATTATGCATTTCATAAAATTCCCTGTGCATACAATATCCACTAATATAGAAACCTTAATCTGGTTCACAGTTAGCTACTACAAGGCTATTATAACTTTATAACCATGAAAAACACCACGGAAGGTTTTAATTTTAGGAATAAAGTCAAGGTAAGAACAGTTGTAGGTGGTGATAATTATGTATTATCTTTAAACAATATGCGGTAGATTGATTCTGTCGCTAACTTCAATCATCTACCAGTTGCGACACCCGTAAAAGAATTGATAATTTATGTCATTGAGTCATATTTAGATAGATAGATATAGTGATAGACAATGTATTAAAGCATTCTAGCATTTCGAGAACATATTTATGTTATATATATATACAGACTTATTGAAAGGCAAATTTATTCTGTGAGAATGTATTCGTTATTAATTGATTCATACAGCTCATTACCAAACATTCAGCTAATTAGTGAAGTAAAATTCGAACTTTTATTTGGCTAAGAAAGCCCGGAAACATTTTTAAAAAGACGGACACCTCTCAAGTTGTGAAGTAGTTTGTTTATAGTTCTGTGTCGGTAATTCAGTAACCTGAATAACTACCCCCCCAATTTCATCACAAAATTTGCAAATTCATTCAAACAGACAATGTAGACCTACAATGTAACGAGATTTCTCAACTTTCAATTTCAAATTGACAAAATTATCCAAAATTGTTTTGTCCGGATACAGAGAAAAAGACAAAGCTCTTTCACAAAAGATTGGCAGTGTGGTAATCACTCTTTGTTCAAATATTTTTTTACTTTCCTGGAGTAAAGGAAATGAAATCTTGTTTTCAGCCACCAGCAAAGAGAAATGTGTTGTTCTTTGAACTGCAGATGCCAGAATTTATTTTTATAAGATGTGAGCATTTCAACGGTATAAACATATCCAAATCTCACCGGATTTTTTATTCAGTCCGACATTCCTTGTCTTTTTCCATTCATGTCTTTTTAAATAAAAGTTGAGCATGCTAAAACAAATCAAAGGTCCAGAAAGAAATTGTTTTGCAATTGCTGACTCGTTCCCTGCGCTCGTTCGTGAGCAATATTCACTTCACACGCACTTGAAATTGCGAAGACAAAATAGAGACGAAAAATCTATTTGTTATATAAACATTTATCTATATTAACGCCGCCACTGTCAATCAGGTATGCTGGTTCAGGTTGATTGGTCCGAAAATCAGATAGCATGACATTGACTGGTCAAAGTAAAGTAATTATCGGGCAGCGCTTTGTAATGCGATAAGATTCAAATTTTGAGTAGATTTTGAGCAGTTATACCATATCATCCTTCAATCTTCATGCTTCATATGCTTTTGGAATTCGCCATGCATCTTTTGTTCAAGAAGCGTGTTACGTTAAAATTGTGCAGATCACTGGAGGTACTTATACCAGTGATCCAGAGAACATTCATTATACAATTACTTGATGGTTTCCGTGTTTGTTTAACTCGAGCAACATTCGCAAGTGTTTGGATCAGATCATCCAAACACGGAAACCATTAAGTAATTGTTTTATAAAATAACAAACCATAATAAATTTGTTTTTAAATTCTCGCGAAATTTCCGTGTTTGGATGGCCTGATCCAAACACGGGCTTCAACCAATCAGAACACACGTTAAATACATGTTATTTTATAATTTGATTTCTTGTCAACTGATCAACAACTCATTTCCTTGCTGCCGCGTTTGACTTCGGAGCTCAAAATATGGCTCGGTTTTATAAATTGAATAATTTTGTTCGAATCCGTCTGCTGTCTCATTTTATCGTCATTGGATCCACATTTGGTATGTTCAGTAATGAATATCATTAGCTATGTCCATGCTGATTTGCCTCAGATGTAGTGTTTTATGCAAGAATAGGAACAAAAACTATTTTATCTGTCGTTACTAAAGTCCTGTTTTCACTCGACTGGATTTTTTGGCACGACACAGCCTAAATTGGTACCCGTGGCCGTACCAGCGGATGAAATACGGTTAAACTGGTTGTAAAATTGAGAAACAATTCCTCTATGTGGGCTGTAAACTGTACTATATATATCATCTATAGTTAGTCGCGTTTTTGTGAAGTATCCACGCACTGGGTGCTGGTTTCAAGAATAAGGAATGCCGTTTGACGTTAATTACGGCTAACGAAATTTTTATTATTTTTTAAACCCACCCTAGGAGTCATTATATGTTTATTATATACAAGACGAACTCTGCAATGGGAAGATGCAATGGATAGCTCTATCACTGAGTTCTAAACTGTTCTTCCTAGAGGTCCAGTAAGGATCATCTCTTATTGATCCAGTGTTACTACAGGAGGAAACGTGAACTAAACTAACTTTATTTATACTGGATAGCTCTATCAGTTCTAAACTGTTCTTCCTAGAGGTCCAGTAAGGATCATCTCTTATTGATCCAGTGTTACTACAGGAGGAAACCTAAACTAAACTTTTCTTTTTGTACAGGATAGTTTCAATACAAGATGCAATATAATTGTGTAATTGTTTTCCTTTCCAGTTTGTAAGAAGCCGCTTGGTGTACAAGATGACAAAATTATTAAAAACGGACAGCTGACGGCTGATTCCTACAAACAATATATGTACATAAGTAAAATGGGTGCTTCACACAGCACAGAGCCAAAATACGGACGTTTGAACAACAAGCTGGCGTGGTGTGGTTTTCGTCCGTCTAAACGCTATCGTCCAATCTGGTATTTCCAGATTGATTTTCGTCAGTTGGTTTATGTTACTGGTCTGGCCACGCAAGGATTTGTGAATATTTTTCCCTATTACGTCAAAACCTAGCTTTAGTTCTTCATGTATTTATGAAAAACGTATTTCTTTGCTTAAACATTTGCACACTAACGAAAAAATAAATAAAACGACAAGAAAATCTAAATTGAATATTTAAACTTTGCTAACCAAAGCTGTTGTGTAGTCAACACTCAAAGTGTATGAGTTTTCTACCTTATCATTAGTCGGGTCTGACCATGTTTTCCAGTCAGAACTAAAGCTAAGTTTATAGGTTTTGACGTAATAGGGAAAAATATTCACAAATCCTTGCGTGGCAAGACCAGTAACATAAACCAACTGACGAAAATCAATCTGGAAATACGAGATTGGACGATAGCGTTTAGACGGACGAAAACCACACCACGCCAGCTTGTTGTTCAAACGTCCGTATTTTGGCTCTGTGCTGTATGAAGCACCCATTTTACTTATGTACATATATTGTTTGTAGGAATCAGCCGTCAGCTGTCCGTTTTTAATGATTTTGTCATCTTGTACACCAAGCGGCTTCTTACAAACTGGAAAGGAAAACAATTACACAATTATATTGCATCTTGTATTGAAACTATCCTGTACAAAAAGAAAAGTTTAGTTTAGGTTTCCTCCTGTAGTAACACTGGATCAATAAGAGATGATCCTTACTGGACCTCTAGGAAGAACAGTTTAGAACTCAGTGATAGAGCTATCCAGTATAAAAAAAAGTTAGTTTAATTTAGGTTTCCTCCTGTGTTAACACTGGATCAACAAAAGATAAAAGATTTCATCTTCCCATTGCAGAGTTCGTCTTGTATATAATAAACATATAATGACTCCTAGGGTGGGTTTAAAAAATAATAAAAATTTCGTTAGCCGTAATTAACGTCAAACGGCATTCCTTATTCTTGAAACCAGCACCCAGTGCGTGGATACTTCACAAAAACGCGACTAACTATAGATGATATATATAGTACAGTTTACAGCCCACATAGAGGAATTGTTTCTCAATTTTACAACCAGTTTAACCGTATTTCATCCGCTGGTACGGCCACGGGTACCAATTTAGGCTGTGTCGTGCCAAAAAATCCAGTCGAGTGAAAACAGGACTTTAGTAACGACAGATAAAATAGTTTTTGTTCCTATTCTTGCATAAAACACTACATCTGAGGCAAATCAGCATGGACATAGCTAATGATATTCATTACTGAACATACCAAATGTGGATCCAATGACGATAAAATGAGACAGCAGACGGATTCGAACAAAATTATTCAATTTATAAAACCGAGCCATATTTTGAGCTCCGAAGTCAAACGCGGCAGCAAGGAAATGAGTTGTTGATCAGTTGACAAGAAATCAAATTATAAAATAACATGTATTTAACGTGTGTTCTGATTGGTTGAAGCCCGTGTTTGGATCAGGCCATCCAAACACGGAAATTTCGCGAGAATTTAAAAACAAATTTATTATGGTTTGTTATTTTATAAAACAATTACTTAATGGTTTCCGTGTTTGGATGATCTGATCCAAACACTTGCGAATGTTGCTCGAGTTAAACAAACACGGAAACCATCAAGTAATTGTATAATGAATGTTCTCTGGATCACTGGTATAAGTACCTCCAGTGATCTGCACAATTTTAACGTAACACGCTTCTTGAACAAAAGATGCATGGCGAATTCCAAAAGCATATGAAGCATGAAGATTGAAGGATGATATGGTATATCTGCTCAAAATCTACTCAAAATTTGAATCTTATCGCATTACAAAGCGCTGCCCGATAATTACTTTACTTTGACCAGTCAATGTCATGCTATCTGATTTTCGGACCAATCAACCTGAACCAGCATACCTGATTGACAGTGGCGGCGTTAAATATAGATAAATGTTTATATAACAAATAGATTTTTCGTCTCTATTTTGTCTTCGCAATTTCAAGTGCGTGTGAAGTGAATATTGCTCACGAACGAGCGCAGGGAACGAGTCAGCAATTGCAAAACAATTTCTTTCTGGACCTTTGATTTGTTTTAGCATGCTCAACTTTTATTTAAAAAGACATGAATGGAAAAAGACAAGGAATGTCGGACTGAATAAAAAATCCGGTGAGATTTGGATATGTTTATACCGTTGAAATGCTCACATCTTATAAAAATAAATTCTGGCATCTGCAGTTCAAAGAACAACACATTTCTCTTTGCTGGTGGCTGAAAACAAGATTTCATTTCCTTTACTCCAGGAAAGTAAAAAAATATTTGAACAAAGAGTGATTACCACACTGCCAATCTTTTGTGAAAGAGCTTTGTCTTTTTCTCTGTATCCGGACAAAACAATTTTGGATAATTTTGTCAATTTGAAATTGAAAGTTGAGAAATCTCGTTACATTGTAGGTCTACATTGTCTGTTTGAATGAATTTGCAAATTTTGTGATGAAATTGGGGGGGTAGTTATTCAGGTTACTGAATTACCGACACAGAACTATAAACAAACTACTTCACAACTTGAGAGGTGTCCGTCTTTTTAAAAATGTTTCCGGGCTTTCTTAGCCAAATAAAAGTTCGAATTTTACTTCACTAATTAGCTGAATGTTTGGTAATGAGCTGTATGAATCAATTAATAACGAATACATTCTCACAGAATAAATTTGCCTTTCAATAAGTCTGTATATATATATAACATAAATATGTTCTCGAAATGCTAGAATGCTTTAATACATTGTCTATCACTATATCTATCTATCTAAATATGACTCAATGACATAAATTATCAATTCTTTCACGGGTGTCGCAACTGCATGGTAGATGATTGAAGTTAGCGACAGAATCAATCTACCATGCCATTTTGTGGCCAGAATACATAATTCCAAGAATATTGTTTAAAGATAATACATAATTATCACCACCTACAACTGTTCTTACCTTGACTTTATTCCTAAAATTATAACCTTCCGTGGTGTTTTTCATGGTTATAAAGTTATAATAGCCTTGTAGTAGCTAACTGTGAACCAGATTAAGGTTTCTATATTAGTGGATATTGTATGCACAGGGAATTTTATGAAATGCATAATTTATGTTACCACTAAGTTGAATATATAGTATTATAGGTAATCTCAACAAATTATACCGCTTTACAATCGACGAACTTATATATAACAGGAATTAACACGCGGAAACCATAACATAGGTCAAATAATTATGTAAAATATCTGGGAAAAACAACAGTTAAAAACTAAAAGCCAATATCCTTGACGTCCATTCATACAGTCATGACTATATACACGAGGCCATTAGTCTTAACATTGTATAAATCATATATATATAATAATTTACAAATTTCACATTACCGTTAACGTTGCTCTGTTCAGCTTTTTCCGGTAGAAAAGTCAGCAGAAATACCACAAATAACCAAGTCATCCTAGCCTAAGCAAGCAAAAAGAAACAGAAACTATTTCTGGCTTTCTGCTGCCTTACTTTGCCGTTATAATGTACACGTTCGTATCGATACAGTGGCCCAAGGCCAAGATCTCTCGTGGCTAACTATTTTTTTGAAAAAATGTTTCGAAAACACAATATGAAATGTGGAATCAAATAACAGAAAAAAAACACTGGGAAGAGTTTAAAATATTATCAAAAGGAACAACTGGTTCATAATCCTTGAAATGGTAGGAGTCTATTTTGTTTATTTCCACTTCGAGGTTTCTTTCGTGTTTGCTGTACGAATACATTTTATGAGCTTGGTACAGTGTGTCGTTTTGCTCGGTTTTGCGAAGACGTGACCGACTATTTAAGGCTTTACATCATTGTTTTAACTTCAAAAAGAGTTCTTAAAAGTGTATTTTGGAGTTTTAATATAACAAATATCATTCTAAAGGTTTATAGAGTCGACTGCAATCACTGCATGAATTTAATAATCGAAAAACAACATTCGACGTTCACTGCTTGGTTATTTATATTATTTGTGCTGTTTTGATGTTTTGAAGGTTTAGATATAATGGAGTATTAACTCTCACTTAAACTGTGAAAGTCTATAACTTAATGCAACGGAAAGCAGCAGGTAAACGGGTGATTTCACTTCACCTTTACGACTGTATTTGTTTCCGAAAAATTTGAAACATCAGCTATCGGCTTTACATTTAGGACATTTCATAATATTGAAGGTTAGGTCTGGCTAGCTCAGGAAATATTTTGCTTCGTTTGAAATGGCGAGGGGTTGCTGCATGCATGTATTTCTAGTACTAGAGAACTATATAGAAGACGAACTATCTTTTCGCTTGTCCAAGTTCGTCAGACGAATGATCCGTCTCTAGTATAAATCGGGCCATTCTGGTTATATTTTGTATAATTTATTCACGTAGAATTTTGGGTAGTAATAATTCCATGTTCATGCATTAAATACTAAATATACAGGTATAATACCCTATAGGATTAAAATTAGGATAGTATAGATTTTACATTATGTTTATGGTTGATTAAATCTAACCCTCATCCTAACCAAACCTCCGGGATTAAATACGTGTAAAAACCTTTTCCAGCAGACAGTTTTGCGAAATATAAGAGAAAACACACAAGACACAATATTCAAGGTGATATTTCGACTCTATTTCAAAGTCAAAGTCACTGTCAAACCCGACTGTGAGATAAACGTCATTATATCATCTCATTATATATCTATTGTTTGAATCAGTTGCATTCGATGGTTTAAATATAATTGCCGGGAAAACTAAGCAAAAGATAACAAATGTTAATCTTAAAAGAAATAATTTTTTGTTATTTTACTATTTACCCCAAAACTGAATTTTACCATCAAGCATTTAAGTTTTTAATCATTTGGAAAATTCATATATTTTACTATACTTTCTGGTTTACGTTGCAGCTGCTTTTACAGCAAGTATTCCGCAACTTGGTAATGTTATTTCTTTGGCTGGATCGTTCGTGACAGGAACGATTGGTTTTCTCCTGCCTGCCGTGGCGCACACTTTACTCCTTTACAATCAACTATCAAGATTTACCATTATCACAAACGTTATATTCCTATTGTGTGGACTGTTTGTTCTTTTTGCAGGGGTGTACACCTCTATAGTAGAGATTGTTGAAGATTTTTAGGAGAATTTAGGTAAACGTCATACTGCTCATACACACGTGGGGTATTCACGATTTACGCTACGAGCTTTGCTAAAGGCTTAGCTGACATTGCCAGTGTCCAGCAGATTTGAACCCCTCTCGTGCAAAACGGACCGCGAAGCCAAAATTTTTATAGAAAATTCCATTCACACGTACTCATAATTGGCAAATGACAGTCAACATTAGAAGATAATGATGTCTATATAGCCGAGGTGAACATTTCTGTATGGCGGAAGTTTTTCATCTTACCAACTACCAAGGCGGGTTTCAGGCATGCAGCAGAAACTGTTACGATTTACCCGTCAAATCATTCGCAGAAATTATTTAATTTTAGGACAACTGGACATGTGCCTATTTTTTACTTGAATTTATTCTCTAAATTTAAATTACTTAAATTAACCAACAAGCTGATGATGCTGTTCCAATGAACAGTAAAATCATCTAGCATTACTATTGGGCAGAGTTGTCTTATTTGTTGGGTTTTAATTGACTGAGTGCATGGTGAACCATACAGATAGTCAATAATGGTCATTGCACTGAGTGGAGTGCAATTTGGTGTGAAATCAAACGCGTGATTACAAAATCGCACGACCGCAAAGCGGGAGAAAAAAGATAAAACACTCGTACAATATTGAAAACGAGGTACTCTTAACTCCTCCAAAACGCGTATATATATATATATATATATATATATATATATATATATTATATATATTATATATATATATATACACCCATTTGCAAAAACGTTGGCCGCAGATAGATAGATAGATAGATACTCGAAGTCTAATTAGAATTGCATATGATTACATTTGCATGGGATTTCAATCACATTACACAACATATGCAATTCTAATTAGATTTCGGGTATCTATCTATATATATATCTGCGGCCAACGTTTTTGCAAACGGGTGTATATATATATATATATATATATATTATAATATATATATATATATATATATATATATATATATATATATATATATATATATATATATATATATATATATATATATATATAGATGGTGATGGATTCAGACACAAACCTAACCACGCAGTCCCTTTCTCTAACAAATGAGAGGAGACTGAGGAGTTTAATGGATGTATAAAATTGTTCGGCTCCATTTTGAAATTTCGGGAGGGGGGGCGAATGCCTCTAGTCACTTGCTGGCAAGCGCTTACACTTTTTTAATCAGAAGAGAGACATCTGGGTATTAATCATAGTTGCTATGACTACAGTGCCTCCAACGTGCAGAAAAATATTTCCATACTTCCCTCAATTTCTCTTTCTCACATCCATGTACCCTCCAACTGAACCCCCAAACCACATAAATTTTCTAACAATCATGTCACCATCCCTACGCTTAACTAATTTCTTTTAACCGAGGCGAGGGGTTGCTACATGCATGTATTTCTAATACAGGGTGTCCCAAAAAAAACGAAAACTAATGAAATCACCCATAACAATGCCATTGTTAGAGTTTGAATGCCTAAGCACTCTGTTGGGCCCACAAGTTTATAATCGGGGTTGCCATAAGCATTTTTTTATGCATGCATATGATGCAGTGAAATTTGCTCCTTCGCAAAAATGATATTTATAAACAATATTTACAATTTACAAATATGGATAACATTATTTAAATGTGCATCTTAAGGACCATGACCTTCGACATGTCCCCTTTCTCCAGCAACACAAAGCATTTAGCATTTTATAAGTTGCATTAAATCCCCACAGGCTGAAATAAATTCGTGAACACGGCATTCAAATTTTAACAATGAGTGATTTCAATAGTTTTCGTTTTTTTTGGGACACCCTGTAGAATATCCTGAATACAATACAATTTGCATTATATTGCAAATGAGAAGTTAGTGAAGCATGCATGTCAGCTGTTCGTTGACTCGTATCACGTTACACAAAGCATAAACAAGGTCAACAAACGCCCGATGTATGACAAAAAGTATAAAATATATTGTTTGCGTCGTTAATTTACTAGCTGAATTTTGAGGATTTTGCCAACCTATTTTTGCTCGGAATGTTTAAGGTAAAGTATATATACGTGTGGATAACGATTGTAATTACAATACAGAACTAATTTAATTCATTAAGTCTGTGTATTTCCCTCACACTCAACTGTATGTTTATACATCAACTGTATGTTTATTGCTCTAATACTAAATGGTATAGTGTTTGTTGCTACATGAGTATATTAGATGATTCACTATATCGTACTGGTTGTACGTTATTTTCAAATTTGACAATGCCACATGATGCAGTTTGCCAGATAGCCGCATGCTGCCTGTAGAATATCTCATTCTGGCTCTGGCGTCCGGCAGTGATCACAAAATGGTATGGAATGGATAGGTGAATAGGCAGAAATATAATAGAAGAATTAAGAAATCAATTCGATGTGATTGTTGGTCATACAAATTTAGTATATTTGCCGGGCGCGGCCGGCGCTAGGAACGAGCTGTACTAATAGACACTTGCCGAATATAAGCACTTGCCGAATAAACACTTGCCGAATAGCCTGGCGACGCCATGCTAAATATCTTCTGTCCTGCGACTTAATAATTTACCTTCGATTTTGAATATGAGTACAGATGTAGTACTACACAACGACGGGGACACGGTTTATTTATGTCCCAGGAAATCCCTATACTAGGGTTGTCTCTAGATCTAGATTTTTCCTTTGCATTGCTTCATTGTTTAGGTGAATTGAACTCGTGCCACATATATGATATCTCTAGGATTCAGAGTGGTTCACAGGATGCCAAAATGCAAAGAATCTTTCGATGAAGAGGGGCTTCAGCTCTTACCTGTAGTTGATAAATCTTTGCAAAAGGAATGCTCTAAGACTAAGGGTCGTGATGCAGACGAAAGAGACGGGGAACATTTACTAACGTAAGTTAACTGATGTTTTAGATGCACGAAGAATGCATCTTGTTAGATATATCTATTCGCATTTCTATGTATGAATTGTGAAGGTCAAGAGTGAGAGATGTAATTTATCAAGTGATAAGCGTAATCACACATAACTTAGCATTAAATGTGGTATAACAACTCTCCTGACGAACTGGCCCTCCGGTCGAAACGTCGAGAAGTGTTTTGTCTATTTTAGGCAGTTGTTATACCACATTTGATGCTATATAAGTAGTTGTTTGAAGACGCTGCCACGCTGCTCCCTGGTTATATTGGTAGTCGTACATATCCTAATCATTGGCGATACCAATTCATTAACCGTCATGCGCCCGGCCACTATATATATAGGAAAAATACATACTAACGGGCCTTCTCCCCTTTCGTTCGATTGTGCCATGCATGCATGTCCATTTGCAGATTTGCTTACCCGCTGTCACTTAAGGCTGGTTCGATCTCGAGGTAAATTGCTCCCTTTAAGCTAGGGGCTCTGCAAACTAATAGTCTAATACACATATTATGTTAGGATTACTGTCCACATGCATACTGACATGCAATCTATTCAGTTAAGTAGAATGTCGTCCAGTATAAACATCTACGATTTTATAGACATGACGTGTATCACCAGATGCATCTATGCATCCCGGATGCATCTATGCATCATTTCATCACGCATGCATTTGTTTATGTTTTAGAGGATATCAAAGCGCTCTTATGATTTTTAAATTCTGCGTTGGTGCTGGTTGGTTCTCATTGCCTGCTGCCTTTCAATATTCAGGTGTTTTGGTGGGTATAGAAAAGTTTTCATTGATAAAAAATATATTTACGCGAGTATTAAATCTTTTTAGTATGTTAACTTATATATTATATACACGTCTCTCCTCCTATAATATATTTTATGATTATAGCTACATGCCTTCGTATATAAATAGTTTAGTTTGCATATACACGCATGGACATTTTCGTATAATGTTTGGTAGGTTGGTGTAATCTTGATTTTTATTTGTGGATGTCTTACGATATATGGATTGCAACTATTAGTTTCCACTTCATGGGAAGTTGCTCGGAGGTAATTTTGAACAGTTTACAATGGATAATATGCAAAGATACTCTCGTAATATTGTGCACCAGTTGTTACACTATGCAAATAGTTTCCTTGCAAATTGCAATGTATGTATGCATGCAGTTGTCAATTTCTAAAGAGTATTCGAAATGCTAAGAAAACGTTAGCAGATCGTAAGAAATGTTCGTATTTGACAACTTTGTAGATGCCTAAGGAGTAGAATTGCAAGGCAAGTTGCATATAGTGTAACACCGCCTAGCTTCTTTAGCTGTCGGAAGAGTCTTTGATTGTTTTTTAACATCATGTACTTGTTGGCAGACTTTGTCACTGTATAAGAGAAGCTATATTCTGAAGGCAGATACTTAAGCCTGACCCACAGAATAATCTTGTGACAATACACAAATGCTATTTTGTTGAGGTTGAGTTGATATAATTAAGAAAAATAAAAAAGCAAAAAAATGTGGGAAAGAATTGAATAGGTGAATACTGATGCTTTATTTATAACCATGCAGTGAACTATATTAGGACTGGAACGATAACTGCATGCATAAGTTGTTTCACTAACAAGCACTACATGCATGCATGCACGTATAGTTACACCGAATTTTATTTCACGCAGAAACAGAACCGAAACTGCCTATTTTGGCGACATTGGCGCAGCTTGTGGAAAATTAGTGAACGAGAGATGGGAACAGATTGGAAGGTTATTTGCATTTAAATATTCACATTAAGATACGTGTGATTAAGCTGCACGCATTTATATATATATATTTATATATATATATATATATATATATATATATATATATATATATATATATATATATACAGGGTACATATATATGTAATTAATAGTTATAGGGTACTGTAAAGAAAGTTGGGTGCATGTTCATCATTTTCAAAATTATTTTATGCGAAGCAGTCACGGTAATGTGTCGATATGCATCTCGCTAAAAACATGAAGTTTTCTCAGTGTGAAAGAGATTGTTAAAACGTGTAAGGACACTAATGTAATAACATGCATGTAGGACGTATTGAATCAGCGATTAATGCTAAAATCATTTCTAAAACCAATTAGATTGCAGGAATCACTGTTGATTTTAAAATTGATATAACATATCAGATTGTAATTTTTTATAACCTTTCACTTCGGTATTGTGTTTTTTACTCGCCGTTCTCAGTTTAACGTTTTCATGCATATAGGCTGTTTGCTGATATTTTTCTCTTGATCGGCGCTTTTTTTCTGACATGCGCGATGATTCTGTTCGTCGCAAACATTTGGAAACAGGTATGTTCACGAGGGCTCTCATGGATATATATATATATATATATATATATATATATATATATATATATATATATATATATATATATATATATATATATATATATATATATATATATATATATATATATATATATATATATATATATATATTAATATACATGTATGTAAACCATTTAGTCATGCAACTGTCAGTATAGCGTTTACCGTTATTTAGATAACGTATCTTGAATTCATTTCTATATGTTATTATTTATCAGTCATTTCATCGTTGTGCATGTTCATGATATTTCAGTTTACGGTCTACGCATGCTTTTATACCTCGAGTTGTTCATAAAATCTCGCAGTGTTTTAGACGACTTTTTCTAATTATTGCAAAATTTGCGCTTTCGAACGCGTATTATATTGGTGTGAAATTAAGTTAAATCGTAATTAAAAGTCAACACCTTCGTATGACCGCATGTAATGTGATTTGACTGATTGACTCGAAAATTTTTATCTACGAATAGCTTTCTATAATTGTCACACTAACCTTCCCCCAAAACACATGCACACGTGCACCCGTAAAATCGGTGTTTTGTTGGGGAGAAGTCACAGGATTGCTATATAGTCCGCCTTCTATACATAGCATAGATTGCCCTAGAGAAATATGTTATTTTATACTGGCTGCATGGTCCGAATAGTTCGCTGCAAAGTCCGCCGGTTCCATTCTGTCGATACTTCGGGAGAATATTTTTCTATCCGGACCGCCCAAAACGGTAAATATTAATTTTTACCAAAAGCGGCGTTCGGTCGTATTATCATTGTGTGGTAAGACTCAGCAATGGCGACCAAAAACATAAACTATCAAAACCTCATTTGTTTAACATCAAATGCATGTGGTATAACAACTGCCTAAATAAGTTGATTTACTATAAAATCAACTTCAATTTATCGTGATAATCATTTGGTCCATACATTTTAAAATAAAAAAGTCAAAAAGTCAAAAGTTTGCGAAAAAATCTTTAGAGAAACAAAACAAAACAAGTACGCTTTCGTTCGAGCATAAATATATTAGGATTCCGCACCATGCATTCATGGTCGGATATCGTAAAATTACGCCCGCTGCTACAGCCAATCAGATTGCAGGACAAGGGCTAGGAATACGCCCGCTGCTGATTTGTAAAAAAAAAAATAAAGGGTATATGATTTAACTATATACCATGCATGCATGCAATCAAAGTAAAATATATTATTTTAACACTTAACAGCCCAAAAATGTTAGTTTGCTAGTGCCGAATGTTAGTTTTTTTTACTCATGACAATTAAATTCTATTGGTTTGGTAGGCTTTCAAGGAACAAAATATTCTCGAGCTGGACATAAACGTTTGGGTATTCGTTATATATGTTTTTGTTTTACCCACAATCTTCATACGAAGACCGGATTTTCTGGCATGGTTTTCGTTAATTGCCAATACATTTGAAGTCATTACGATTGTCACCTTGATGGTTCACATATTTTCAAAAACATCAAGTTGGACGGTAGACAACACAGTGACATGGTCAAAGCTGCCATTAACTATAGGAATGGTATTCTTTGCGTTCAACATTGCCCCATTTGTAAGTAGATTTGTATCTATGTTATCTAAATTATGTAATGTTTATACATAACTTGCGGCCGTGCTGTATTGAATATACATGCAATCACGCGAGCGTGCAACAACTTGTGAAATGAATTTGTAATAAATAAATAAGATTTGAATAGATCAGTTACAAAGGGTAGTGTCGCAGCTCCTCGCAAGAATGATTTTCATTGGCTGTACTTTACAATACATTTCTGTTTCAACCAATAGCATAGCTTCGTTCTTTAGAAAGCATCGAAAAGCATTATCCAATTGGACGAAAGCTTCCGAGAGCTGCGACATGTTAGTGTTTGTAATCATTTGTATATCTATTCAAACTAATTTGTATATGGGGTATACACAGCCAGAAACGCCACAGACTTGCTGCAAGTTGCGGGTTTTACCGGCCTGCTTCAAGTTGTCGACAAGTTGCAGCAAGCTTGTTGACGTCATCAACTTGCAGCAAGCCGGTAAAATCAGGCTTGCTGCAAGTTGACATTTGCAGACTTGATGCAGGTTGATGAAACAAGTTGCATCAAGTTTGCAAATGTCAACTCGCAGCAAGCCTGATGAAACAACTTGCATCAAGTCTGATGAACGCATCAATGCTGATGCAAGTTGAGAAAACCAGGCTTGCTGCAAGCTGTCACTTGCAGACTTGATGCAACTTGTTTTATCAACTTGAATCAAGTCTGTCGATATCAAGTTTTAACAAGTCTGATGGAACAACTGGCAGCAAGTTTGTGAGCACATCAATGTTGATGCAAGTTGAGAAAATCAGACTCGCAGCAAGTTGTTATCTACAGGCTTGCTGGAAGTTGTTCAAACAATTTGCAGAATGGTTGTGGCTAACAAGTCCTGACAAGTTTGATAACAACTTGCAGCAAGTCGTTAAAATCAGGCTTGTTGCAACTTGATATTTGTCGTTTGCTGTAGCAACTTGGTAACAAGTTTATTTGATTTGTTCACAACGAGGTTCACAGTTTATAACAGGTTTGTTTATTGTTCGCTTCGGCCCTGGAAAGCAGTTTCCTCGATTATTTTATTGCTGTACATGGTAGATTTTTGTATTTTATATCAAAAAAGATTATTTTGCTTTATTTAGTCATACAGCTATTTCTAATCAATAAAATTAGATGAGTTGAAATGGACAGCTGTAGAAAAATTCTCGCAAGTCGCAATAATTATAAATTTTATAAAAATTGAAATTTAGGAACAACTTGCTGACGTATGCTATCGTTACGTTTCTTTAATCTGACTGGATAAGCGCGTATGCACTCGCCATCAATCCTCGTTGCAATTGGACGAAATATTACAAAGATATTAAACACGTAATCAAGTTCGGTTGTTTTTGTCTCATTTTGAGTCAACAAAATTTCGAGTTTTTAACAAGTGCGAAGTGCGAACTAAAATCCTCGCTAAAATCAAATAAAGCGAAAAAGAAAAAAATCTCAAAAGAAGAAAGCTCAAAGCTGGTTTGATTTTTGAAAAAGTGGCAACGAAAATACATGATTTAAAGCTTAACAAATGAAAATACATGAACGACTGAGTAAAGTTCATCGACGTCGTTGATATGAATATGAAATTCGTTACTGAATTTCTTTCCAATTTCAAGAGAAATCTGTAACGAGGAAGACGCCTTATTGAAGCTTTGTGTATGTACTATTTTAAAGAAAAATATTTTGTTTGTTTGTTTTTCAGTCAAAACGTATCTTACAAGTGTTAAAATGCTTGTTATTTTACGAAACATTAAAACCGAAGTCTCGATCGGCAACCTCGATGGCTACCGTTTGGCTGTTTTTTGTTTTAAATGGTGGATATACGAAGCTTCATAAGGCGCTTTCCTCACTTCGCTTTTTGACAAATTGCATCAAGTCTGCAGTTCACAAATTGCATCAAGCCTGTAGTTCACAAATTGCATCAAGCCTGTAGTTCACAAATTGCATCAAGCCTGCAGTTTACAACTTGCGTCAAGTCTGCAGTTCACAAATTGCATCAAGTCTGCAGTTCACAACTTGCATCAAGTCTGCAGTTCACAATTTGTATCAAGTCTGCAATTTACAACTTGCATCAAGTCTGCAGTTCACAACTTGCATCAAGTCTGTTAACAACTTGCAACAGACTTGATATTATCAAGCCGGAGCAAGCGATGCGAACGCATCCTGACATCGGCTTGATGATCGCAACTTGCATCAAGTCTGCAGCAGGCCTGCTGCAACTTGCGCGTTTCTGGCTGTGTACAGGGTGTGCATGTGATCTAATTCACGAAATTTGGTGAAATTCATGAATTTCATGAATTTCACAAATATATATACTTAAAGTATATATTCAAGTATATATTCTAGTATATGCACAGCATCACACATTGCCTAGCTTGAGGTTTTTATGAGGTTTGTATATCCTTTAGCTTTGTATGTGTTTAAACGAAAAATGAATAATACCACATTATAAATTAAGTTATACTATACAAATAGCTTGTTTGTACACGAGATTCTTTGTATGGACTTGCTTCCGCGTTTACAAATTAAAAATATCACGTATATATACAGTTCAATTTTAGTTTAATTTACAAAAATTTAATCAATGCCTTTTCCCGTGGATCTAGAGTTAGCTAAGTTCGCATGTGCATGTACTTTAAGTTAAATTTCCTTCCCGCGTGTGGTTACTATATAGGTGAAACGAATCGGTGTCCTTTTCTCTTTAAATTCTGCCCCCGCTGCATGTCCAAAACTGCTTTCGGCGCCCCTGTTCACCGTGTGTTTTTTCCACCTGTTCCTACATTTTTTTTCTCTTAAGATTCTTTCAGTGGAAAATAAGACGAGAAAACCGAGACAGCTACCGCTTGTTATAAATGTTATCATGATTGGTATTTCGTTTACGTACGTTTTCGTAGGAACAATTGGATATGTTTCGTGTTTTCCAGAATGTGAAGATAGCATTATTCTTAATCTGCCCAATTTTTGGTATGTTTTTCAATATTGTGAAAAATTGTTGATTTATACGGCGATTATTTTTTCTCTTATTACTATATATATATATATATATATATATATATATATATATATATATATATATATATATATATATATGTATATATATATATATATATATATATATATATATATATATTTTTTTTTTCTCTTATTGCTATATATAGCTTTTAGCTCATTAGTATACTTTTTAAAAACAAAAATTATAGTTTTGGGTGATATACTGTATGTTATTATTGTGTGTATATTCTAAATTCAAAATCAAAACTTTAGGTTAAAAACCATTTTATTTTCAACCACATACACAGTAACCTGGACCGAGGATTTTTTCCGTTATATACAGTTGAAAAACGTTTCAAAACTCTTATTATAGCTAACTCTTCCTAAATGTATACAGAGTTGCAATAAAGCAACAGGTGCACGGGGTGCATGCATGAGGAAGGTTCAAAGTTGAACACCCTAATTCATCACATGCTATAGTACCAAAAACTTTGAACTTTGGCTCATCCATGCACCGTTAAAGCTAACTAACTATAAATGTGGTATATATATAGCATTGTAAACTAACATACCCGGTATATAGACAGACTAATGTCGGATTATGATTTTTTTCAGGTTTTATTCAGTTTGCAAAATTTTAATGGGCGCTGCTGGTGGTATAACTGTTATCCTTGCATATAATATCGGATATGATGTCGTTAAGCCTATATTGAAATCTCAAGTGCCAGAAAGTCGATTCTATTTAATTTCGCTTTTGTTTAATGCCCTGTTGTTGACATCATCAGGTAAAAACGAGTAAAAACCCTTATATATGCATGTTTGTATGAATAAGTTTTAGGGTACCATCTAGGATATCTATACAGTATATACCATCCTATACACATTAACCACGCTTGCTCTTGTCAGCTACTTCTGCATGTAGCTCAGTGGCAAGAGCATTGCACCGACATCGCAAAAGGGTAGGTCCGATTCCTGACGGAGGACCTATAGACTCATTTTTCCTTTAACAGTTCCTGGCTTGAATTTGAAGTGTTATAATTTCACTCGAAATTAAGATCCTTTAACCCCCTTGAATTTACATGCATCGAGTAAAGTACCAAAAACGAAAAATCACAATTGATTTATACATATATATCGATCAGTTAGTTAGTATGATTAACTAAGTGACCGCTAAGTTAGTATGAATAACTCTCCTGACGAAGGCCCTCAGGTTGAAACGTCGAGAAATGTTTTGTCTATTTTAGGCAATTGTTATACCACATTTGATGCTAAGTTGTTTGAAGACCCGCGCTGCCACGCTGCTCCCTGGTTATATTGGAACTTATAATGGAAATAGTATGCTTATACTAGGGACTGTCCACTCCCACAAAATGCCCTACTTTGTACCAGTGGTTTCCTAGTTTACACTCTCTTTCTATTCCATTCCAGCTGCTTTTACAGCAAGTGTTCCGCAACTTGGTAATGTTTTTTCTTTGGTTGGATCGTTCGTGGCAGCTACTATTGGTTTACTTCTTCCTGCCGTGGCGCACACTTTACTACTTTACGACCGACTTTCAAGATTTACCATCTTGACAAACGTTATATTCCTATTTTGTGGTCTGTTTGTTCTCTTCGCTGGCGTATATACTTCTGTAAAAGAAATCGTTAAAGATTACTAGGATAATAATAATTTCAGCAAATGGCACATATAGGAGGTTCGATCCTGAAGAATTACGGTGTATAATTTATTATCAGGGAAGTGTTTTTAATCCAATAGTAATTAAGAGAAGAAACCTTGAAGCTAAATTTAACCCCTGAAATGAAAATTCAGCGTGGATCTTGCCAAAGTGCCTCCTTTATTTATTTAAGCTGTACCTTGACAAGAATCAATCTCTTCCCCAGGGTCTTCTGTGTAAGAATTTAGTATTTCAGTTGCACTAAAGTTATTAAGGTGGCTGTGGCTCCCTAGGGTTTTTGCTGAAATCAACACTAATGCATAAATCATTCCCATATTCATTGCTTTAAATTTTTCTTGCAGCTAAAACTAAAAGAATTGTATTCCGTTCAGCTCGCCCTCTAAAATAGCGACATTTTTTTTTTGAAAGAGGCTGATGATTATAAATAAGCAACCGCTGACAAATGCTTTTGAAAATGCGTGCTCAGCCTACCTCCACGGCCGGATAGAATCGTGACCTCCACTGGCTCCACATATCTTTGTTTTGAATAGAATAAAATTAACGCGACTAATACATACATATGATACGCTCAATTTTTTTAACATATGAACGTCGATGTAGTCGTATGTATTACATTATGAATTTCACGAGACGTAATTAATGGATGCCATCCTTTGCTTTCCGTAAAACCACTCTAAATTGAATGTATTAAATCTCAGTGTAAAAATAAATACAAATTGCATTTCAGGGGGTGGGCTAGCCTCCTCCACAGGCCTCTCTAGCTTAGCTTCCCCTGGGACTGGGTCTAGCTTCCCTTGGAGAGGCCTGTGGAGGAGGCTAGGGGTGGGCAATCTCGACCACTATTTTCCATGATTGTCCGATCTCAATCCTCATTCCTCAATGACATATGCAAGGTGTGTTGGTAAAATTAATACAGCATTGTCAACCGGGACTGAATTGTGTGTCCTGACTCCACGCCGCTGCCCCCTTTGTTAGTCTGCCATGGTTTTATCCTGGTCTGCCGTGGATTTGGTTTGTACAGTTAAAGAGTCAATCTTGCTCGTGATCCACCAATTTGTCTGGCCTATATATGACGGAGTATTTTTAAACAATACCTACTGTGTACCTACTACTTTTCACTAATATTTCACATATACTGTTCACTCGATGAGTAAACTTCGAAACATTTTAAAGTTGAGAATCTATTATACAGAAGAAAGGAATGCATTTCGGCGGTCATTAGAGATCAGGCTATCATCGCACTGATCGCAGTGGTTTGGGACTGTCAAACGTCAAACTTGCGCCGAAAAATGTCATTCCTAAGAATTCCGATTGATCTAAAAATCCACTGGGACGAACGTTTCCCAAGCTGGCTAAACAGTGCCGCGTAGGGCGCCGTCGCATAGGGTGCATATAGTTTCCTTAATATGTAGGCAGGTTTTTAGTACAAAGATATCTTACACTTACAGACTATTTTTAAAAATTATGCAACATATGAATATTGATACCGGTATTAAATAGTTCACCAATGACATCTCGGCATACGTTAGTTACATATTCATTTTATTCATACCACGTGACCTCATCTCTTCACCTCGACTCGAAGCAATTTGTGCAAATATTAACTAGCTGGTCGGCCACGATCGTAATAGATTGTTGTGGCGTATAAAAGAATCATTATTTAAAGAAGAAAAACAATTGGCAACTACTGAGGAGTAGTAGACTTAAAGATGAATAATTTCTACCGGTTTTGTGTTGCTGTTTTCTGTTTAATAGTGGTAAGTGACGATTAAGTTTAACGACATTCTGTGTTTTGAAGACGCGTTGTTATGTTTGGATGTCTGCTTCGCATAGTGTTTAATATTTGATAGCATTAACGTCTTCGTGGTAAGCTCTTTTAACTCTGAATTGTGCATTCTATCCCTTATATAACAGTAGCTTATAGCTTTTGAAAGATGACATATAATCGTAAGTAGATTTACATTAAAATGTGATGTGTGCTTCGCCCCGAGGTTCTCTTCCGAATCGAATCTTTCTAACAACTTTACAAATAGAAGCTTCGCTTATAAATAAAAAAGGTATTATGATGAACTTATGTCAATGCCGTTTTGCCATCAATGTGTATAAAATTTAGTTTTATTTAAGAACAGAGATGTCTGCATTTCGCTCACACAATCGAACGCCTGTTGGTTACACAATCGATCGCAATTTATATACACAATACAGTAGAGAAGTGTTTTTATAATAAAAATGGCGGGATGTCGTCAATATGAAGAAAATTTGGCCTTTCCTTTCGTGCTGTGAAGTCGACGTTTTACGTACAAACACCCATTATGTGTTGAGATTATTTAAAACTCTTACTTCGAGTTAAATTTGATGGGCTTTGGCAACATGATATGGCAAAATTTCTGAACATACAGCTGAGCAAAACGGAAGTCCGTATTATTCGGAACGAACATTGAATATGTCTATCTCAGTTATCTCTCCCATATATAATTCTTAGCTCACAGCCGCTATTCAATTTTTGTTCAAAACATATCAATAAGTGACCATAATTTGGGCTTACACGGTCATACAAACATACAGTAAGTATCGTACTTTGATATTTGACACCCGTTGCGCTTCAGCAAGCGAAGGGAATTTTACAATAACGTCACGATAATGCCAGTTTATCAATTATCATACAAGTGAATTCTATTTGAATTTGCTTTTAGCCTGTCAAAGATTCAGAAATATGTGCTTCCCAGCACCACAGTTTACTCGTCAGAAGCTATAAATGCTCCCTAGCATGTATGGCTTCTAAGAGAATGATAATGTACTTCCGTGATGGTTAGATTTCCTATTAACCAATTCATGTGCAATATTACAAGAAGACTCTTGATAAAAGTCTTTGTGGTTTCAAAACTATTCATTTTGCCATACCCTAGTTCATGAGTTGACCCACACAAAATCTTCGTATTTCCGGCCAAATCAAAAATGTCGTACAACTTTTACATCTGACAGGAAACAAACCTACACCTACACAGGGCCATTACAAAGCAGTGCCTTGACCACTAAGCTGTAGTGAAATTAGGTTACTTATGAGAAAAACTTCACTATTATTACAAAATGTTGGATAGTGCAGGTGTTTAAGGGTATACTTTCAGTACATTTAATGATACCATAGTACATTTAATAATTAATCACTCAATATATATATCCACATTTATCAAGGCAACCTTGACCAATTGCATCTTTTCAACGTAAATCCCCTTTAAGAATATAATATAATAATAGAGAATATTAAATACAGTCACAAGGCTTGGTTCAGAAGTTAAAAAAATGTTTGATCTACATTTAAATTATTATTATATCCACAGTTTGAAGTTCTTGCAGAGCCAGTTTGTGAATTTGGCAGTAATGCATTGGATGAAGCTTAAAATAGAGTCAAAACTGAATTGCAACAACATTTTTGGCAGCTATGTTTTGGGGTGCAGAATAACAATGTTTACTGCGATTTTGAGTGCTGAAGAATGATAATTTTTTACACCACTCTTTGCTAAAAAAGACTAGGGTACTCTTTGTTTGCTTCCTGTGAGAATAACTGTTTTTTGGGACTTTAGTTGATGATCATTCTCTTGAAAATAGTACAAGATTTTCTGAGTATCATGTTTGTGGTTTTTCAAAAAAATTCACCAATTTTACCTCAGGCATCCTTTTTTATCAGGCATATCTTATCTCAGGCATATCCTTTAATAGTTTTTCACAAATATTCAGTTTATTAATATCAAGGCCTAATGTTTATTTTGTGAGCTGTATACTGCCTTACTCTTAGCATCGTATCATAACTTACATAATACGTAAATGTGAATTTTCTGTATGAAAATGCCTCACTAGTATTGCCACGACCAGATAAATCCTTCAGTCTAGACAGCTCAAGTTTACTTCAGAAAAACAATTATCAATATCTAAAGGATGGAATGAAAATATGATATTTAAGCGTGCATTTAAGCCTGGCATGAAATCTACATCTAAATACATATTTTTTAATCACATTTTTATACGTGTTTTAATGTCTTATGCAATCTACACAAAGACTACACAATGTCAATGAAACGTGTATTTCATAAAAGAAAATTGTTCAGCTTTGGATTGTTTATGTCACTGTACAAATATGGTCCACTGCACTTAAAGAATATATATCCCTTAAAATGATATCTTTCAGCTACATAGCAACAAAACAAATAAAAAAATAAATTGTCAGATAATTCGAACTTTCCTAATTTGCACGTTCCGTCGGGCTCTTTGACGTTTTTTTTCGGTGTAGCACGAGAACAGTCTATACTACGAGGATTTGTATAATCACTATATATATCTTCATCACTCAAGACCTTGACATTGGAAGCATTCGCAATAAATATCGCATTCTTAAAACTCCATTACTGATTATGGTTGTACCCTTCGGCGTTTTCGTATAGAAACTATGCTCTGCATTATTTACATTATATAGCCTTTATAGGGTTGAAAAGCTTCAGCCTTTTTGAACATAAATGCGTAAAAATGGCAGATTGCGTATGGAATTGTGTTTATTCCCTAAGTTGTTTTGACACAACGATGTGGCACATCACCTGCTATAAAATGGACGCATAACCTGACAATACCGGCACTTAACGTATACAAGACGCTGGTTGGATGGCGTTTATTTTTTTCTGCTTTTTTTCTGCGGCTTTTAAAATTATGAGGTCATGTTTAGGGACGAAACTAGTTTAATATTAATGCTAATTTACACACAGGGAAAGTTTCATAGAACGGGAATCGAATGATTGCTAAAAGTTGATTTAATTTTTTTAGGCACATGCTTCTGGCAAGGTTGAAGATGCAGGGCTTTTAGATTATGAACCACAAATTGCCATTAGCTGCGAAAAGGTTGCAAAACATATCGATGTTAAAACCGGAGTTTGGACTGATGATTTACTTAAAGAAAAGTTTTGTTCCACGGAACCATCAGCAATTCTTAAGTAAGATCTTTTGCATTGCATGGCGATAATGTAAAGTAAAAAGTAACAAGAAGAGAAATGATTTGATTGTTACCATAGGAAGTTGATTTAGAAAGAAATCATTGGTAGCCAGAAAAAAAGGACTATATGCCAGGAACTATATGCCAGGAACTATATGCCATGCATATATATAGAGCTATATATAGCTACTATATAGATATACATTTTATAGCTCTATATATTCACTATGTAAATTAAAATTTGTCCTACAGGTTTTGTCAATCGACATACCCTAATATTGACGTGACTAATATTGTTGAAGCAAATGAAAATGTCACTATATGTTCTGGAAAGGATTGTCAGTCATCATATTCGGTTGTTCCTTACAGATGTCTCGGTAAAGTATAATCTAGCTACATGCATGCAGTACGCATGGTCTTCATTGTTTTAATTCTACGGCTACTTTGGGAATGTTTAAATTCTGGTTCAGCCTAAATGCGGTAGTGTTACGCATTTCATGAATTTCAACCTCATGAAAAAATATGTAATTGAAAAAATAGTCATTTCTATTCTAGTGATATACATAGTATTAGAATAGGGTTAACTAAATAATACATTTTAATTTAATATTTTATGTTACCTTTTACATTCCAGTTGGTAAATTCGAAGCGGATGCGTTAAGCTATCCTTTCGACGCAAAATGTGACTTCGGTTATGTTCACGAGAGCAAAACGTGCAAGAATCATGCCTATTGGAATGAACGGGCAAAACAAATTTGCAGCGGGAAACAAAAATATCTGGAGAAATATGGCATCCTCGTGCCGTGTGGTACAGACGTGTTCACCGGTGTGGAATACGTTTGTTGCAAGGTAACAACAATTTGATATGAATATGCGCTCCCTTAATTTCTAAAGGACATTTTGTGGATAAATTTTGTGCAGAATTTGGGACAGAAGTGCTTCTTGGCTTCCAGAAATAAAATAGAGCATAATTTATATAGGGGGTCTCGAGTAAATTATGGAATTTTTTGTAGGAAAAAGGTGCAGCAAATATCGCAGAAGACAAAAAGCCAGAAAGAGAGGTACGTTTATATTTGCAAAAGTTTTTTTTTTTAAATTTTCTCGGACAATGTAGATTTATCAATTATCAAATACGATGTTGACAGCGAAATCTGACATTGAAGATATCTCCTGGGTGCATGTATAGTCATTTTTAGCCCATTCGTAACGGTACTATTTATGCTTTAAGTCCTGACTGCAACAACTGACATTTTATTTATAGGAACAAAAAAGTGATCATGAAATTCTGAATGATTTGTTGAATACATTTGCTTCTCATATCCCTAAAAAGAGCAAAGGTATAGATAGCTTCATGGGTAATTCCAGACATGTCATAGCCTGTCATGAATTCAATGATAGAGATGATGAAGTTTTGTCAATTGTGTTTTTGTATTTACTAGGTTGCGATCGCTCTATTTATAACACGAAGACGGACCTTGTTCGTCAAGAGAAAAACGAGAAAGTCAAAGACGTGGCTAAGAATTTGAATGAAGCTAAAGCCCGAATGGAGGAATTGAAGAAAGATGATCCGGATCAAGCACAGGCTCTCTTCAAAAGTATGTTCATTCTGTACAGATAATTCTGTTCAGATTTGTATTAACGGTCACTGTAAATTGATTTGAAGACCCAGGTCAGCAGGTCTTGCCGTTTTTACCAAACAAATTTTATTATTTCGGTAGAAACCCTGCAAATCTTCCAAGGCACGTTGAAGAATATTGAAAACCAGGCAAAACTTGACATGTCCCGATTGAACCAGGAAAAGAAGGAATGCGCTCAGATGAGTCTGAATCACAAGAAACATCTGGCGATGAGCGCTTTTGTAGACGCGGTGCGTCAACACGTGGATAAGCCAGACAAGATCATCAAAACTTTCCAACGCTTCATGCGCGTCTTAGAGAACGACCAAAATCAAAAGTGAGTTTTTGAGTTCGTGGAAAGTCTTTTTATACCTTATGATATTATACTAACTACTTGTACTTTATACCTCAAGTATGCGTGAACTATCCAAGAAGCTTAACGGAAAGGGTTCTAAGAAAATTATGTCGATAAGGGACTTATTCTTGAAACATTTGAAAGTCGTCAAAACATCGCTGAATGAAGGTGTTGATATCTTGAGGAAGGTTGCATCTGTCCAGGGCAAGATTAAGTTTGATTTACCAACGTTTGCACGTGATATCGACTTCGAGGTTTGTGCATTTTACCGTCGTAGACTCTTTCTTCCCTTTCCCAATTAAATGTTCATACCATCCGACATTAAATGATGGTGAGGTGTGAGAATGAATGGTGGGTGGGGTTTCGTGCACACGTGTAAGTGTATGTTCGAAATTTAATAATCTTTAAATGCATTTAGTTCGCACACGAGCCAAAGACTACACCCGCACCACCAACAACAGCAGCACCGGCTAGTGAAAAGCCGAGCCAATCTAAAAAGAATAAAATGCAATCTGACGCTGAAGGTGAACATGACTCGACCCATGCAACTGACGATATGCCAAGAAAATCCAAACCAGCAAAACCCAAACCATTGAAGGAGAAGGACGATGATGGTAAACACCATCACAGAGATCACCCGCTGAAATCACGAGCGGTGTTCGCTGCTGTTATTGGTCTGAGTTGCGGAGCTTTGGTCATCATGATTGTCATCGTGCTTGCGCTATTCTTCAGAAAGGGGTCCTCCAAGCGTAACACCAAGACAGTCATAGCCGACGACGATTGCCAGGAAAAACGTCATCTTATGAAGATGCAAGAAGACGGATTCGAAAATCCCACTTATAAATTCTTCGCCAATTAAAATTTATAGACTTTGAAATATTTTCACGCGTATACAAGATGTAGAATTTTTGTTTCTATTTATAACACAGCTGGTGTGAAATCCCGTATTTCGTATATATTTCGTTTAAACTGGCAAATGCTCTCATGTAATCGAGGATGTATAATTTAATTGATTTCTAAGCATTACAGTATAATACACAAGCACATCTGCCAGTCCTTTTTAGATTATTAAGTATAAGTAGAATTATATTTATTGATTCCATATAACATATATATACATGCATGGTAGTTTGTTTGACATGGTAGTAAGTCGGTAAATCAAAATTTGATGGTTTACCTAATGACTTGTTATAATGTATTGTTCATTTGTAGTCAGACGCCTTCCAATAAATATTTTAGTGTTTAGTTTCACTGTCTAACTTTAATTTATTCGTCAATATATCAAGTTGCATTGTAGTTTCAGCGAGCCTCGCTTAACCATCAATAGAGTAGAACAAATGAATACAAATAGCGTTTAAGCAAGTAAAACAGTAATAGAACGCCTCCTGGGACACTTTCCAAACATTTGACACGTTGAATACTTTTTTTATGACGGACAGCATCTTCACTGGAAGCAAGGCGCCTTACTGGACTGCTGTTAGATCTCTCGAAAGTTTTCGACAGCATAGAACTTTGTTCGTTTTGTTAAATCTGGTCCAATTTTTATTTAATTGGGCTTTAAAGAACTCTCTTCGAGTGGTTTAGAAGTTATGATATCTCTCGGATCGTCGTTAGTTTTTGCGCTTTAATTAAATATCGAAGTTTAGAGTCTCGGACTATTACGACCTTCCATATACACCTATAGTTCAACCTCTCGGAATCCTTTTCTTTTAGGTTTAAGTTTCCTTGTTAAAGAAAGTGTATTAAATGTAATGAAAGATCGAAACAAAGAGACGACCAAGGCATTGCGATATATCAACGCAGAAAATTATCCTGATTAGTTCAACTTATATAGGAAACTGATAAATTACGCGTTACCTACGCCAAAATTGTTAGTGTTTGCATTGTATGCCTACCCCCCACCTTTAGTCAAAGTGAAAGGGTATGACTTATACAACGTACATAATTAGCTCTGCCCAAAGAAAATGTATACGTGTTGTCCAGCTGAAAATGAAATAACAATTCTGAACCATTCTATCTATACACATATGCAGTAGGTTGAAGTACGAAAGTCGTTGAGATGCAGCAAAGAAAAAAAAGTACAGTCAAGTGCACTTTTAAAAAGTATACCAAGCAAGTTTAAGATACTATATATCTTCTGTATGTATTGTGCGTATGTACGCGTACGTATCGCACGATGCTATGTTTTCTAATTCTTCAAACTATAATTTGGGGGGGGGATTTAAATTAGTATTCCACAAAACGTATAATTAATAAAGATAAGCCCTTGAGAGTTTTACGGATGAAACGTGAAACACTGAACGACTGTACATGCAGGCTTGTTTGTCCCCAGTTATATAACACTTTTAATTGCGAGGTTATCGAAAATGAGTACTAAGCTTTGACACATCGACAAATGATCTAAAATTAGGCCGCCCAACAATATAATGCATGTTTTATTCGTAATTCATGTATCTATTAGCAACGGTTGTCGCTATCCCAAAACGGCAGTACATATTTATTACTGATAATTTTAAATAATAAATTCAGATAAAATTCAACTTCTTTCTGACTTTCATTAATTCATTTAGTTTATTTTTTGAATTTCATCTTGTTCGCTTCTTGTTAGGCCATGCATACATAATTGACCCAAGGTCAGACGCTTGTCTCCCACAATTCGAGGTATTTCCGTTTCTTGTATTCCCTAGATTAGTTGAATTTATGCCAACTAAGGACTTTATTATAAATTCCCAAGTTAGATTGCTTCTTTGCTCGCTCACTTAGAACTCGTATGCGGACAGCAAGTACATTTCGCACTGCACATGCGTATTCCATATAGAATATTTGCACCGCCTGCTAAAGACAACGGAAGTGCGACGTATATAAATACAAGTAAGTATTACTTATTATTGAGGTCCGAACGGAGAGGGTTATCATTGCCAATTTCAATTGAATTACCCCCCTCTCCACCCCTTGACCTCTTTTTGTGGGAATAAAAACTTATGATTCCAGTTTAACTTTATAATACACGAACGGCACATCGTCGAGAAAGTATCTTTGCTCTCTGTTATAATATAATCAGAATCATGGCCGTGCGAGTTTGTTGTGAAAGCATGTAACATGTTGTGACTTGTGACGTCTGAATGGAATTCAGCGTGCTGTGTGCATATCTGCATATGTTAACATCGGAATACCAGTGAACTCTATATATATGAAAGGCTCGCTCTACTACATTCCGTAATCTAAAAGTGAATCTAAACATGGCGGTCATAAAGGCTGCTTTGATCCGCCATGTTTGGCTTCACCGTTGGAGCGAGCCTTCCATATATAGAGAGTTCGCTGCGGATACTGGCGAAAACAGTGACTTGTCAAAGATTGTAGTAGCAAAAACGCACAAGTTGTAACAAATCTGCAAACAAATTGTCACAAGTCTTTTCACCAGCCTGCAACAAGACTTGCTAAATTCGCACTGCTTGCTTCAATTTCCAGCTTAGCAACTTGCAGCTAGGCCAATTGCATCATCGGACTTGTTAGAAGATTACCCTGACAAGCTTGATACCGTAACAATGTTGCTACAAGCCTACAAACGTGGTAACACAAGTTTGCAGCAATATTGTTGGATCATTTTTGTACTAGACTTGTTTGAACAGCCTTGTGATAAGACTTCGATTCAACAACTTTGTTACAATACTTGTCAACAGCTGGCTTGGGACAACAGTGCGCATGCTCACTAGTACGTTACGCGCCGCGAAGTGGAAAACTGGCTTTGGTTCAGCTATTTGCATACAATTTAGCAGAACGTTAACTGGGTTGTATTGAGAAACATTTGGACAAATTTTCTTCGCAATATGGATTTAAGTGAATAACAGTTATTGTTTTACAGCACTAATATCTGTCTGATCTATCTGACAGTTGATGCGTAACATGCTTCGTCGCAGTCCGTTTATCAATTTAGATTATAGAACAATATTTCGCAATCATTCCCTCAAATTATGTCGTTCCTACTTCGAAACCGTTGTAGTAGATGCCACGTTGATATATTCTAACATATAAGGTTATTCTGAGTATCGGTTACAATTGTTTTTTATATTAGGCCAATTGCAATGCTCTAGTTGTGTGTGATAAGCGGAAAAAATCGAGAAATAAAAAACATATTCACTATTGTTTAGTCTCTTCGTAATTTTGTAGATTCCCTTTCCAAACTTTTTGGCATCCATAGAAACAGAAATTTTTTAAAACATGTGAGTTTAGCTAGTGCACTCATGCATGATTATTATTATAAACTTGAAATCAGTTAAGTATGCTGTATTAGCTCCAGGCTTGTTTCAGTTTACAAGCTATTATTATCCGATGTAAACCCTTCGTTAACGGTTTCCAATGCACCTCCTGCAGTTGATGAGCTAGAACGAGGTCCTGCAGTCGAAGTCATGACAACTCCGGTCGTCTTGTAACTGCCAGAAAATTTTGGTTTGCCGTCAGCACGACCTGAAAAATAATGTGTGAAAATAAGCTAGCAGCGAGACAGGATTAATCTGTGGATACAGCACCCATGTTTGAAGGATAAGAAAAGTACAAAATACAAAATATCGTTGGGAGGAGAGTGGCAGTGAGGTAATTACCTCAGGACCGGACAAAACAACCAATAATAATAGCCGCGAACTAAAAATCAAATGAAAGAGGCGGATGTGAGACTCTAAAAAGGCAGTTTGTTTCGATAAGTCAACACGGTGGCAATTCCTAAGTGAGCCGAGCTGCCATATATTTGTGTCGCCAAGGTGTCACCATGCACGCTTAATGTTACGTGCACCGAACGACACGGACCGGAAATATTGGGATTACCATAATGTACAGCACGTGAAGAGTTTAAAACTTATAATCAAAAGGCAAACTTCACGATATCGTTCGGCATCGTCTGTGAAATTTTAGATAAGTCGTGAGTCTAAACCTCGCTTTGACCTGTTTATATTTCCTTTTATTTTATTAAATATCGAAGTAGGTACGGGAAAAGTATATTATCTTTACATGACCAAATTAGGAGTTTTCCTGGAGGCCCGGAATTTTTCCCGTAAAATCTTAAAGGTACAAGAGGATGAAGGGGAAAAATCCTGCTCATTGGGAAGGGGCAAACTGCTTCTCTGCAAGGCACTGGCCAGTACTCACCTGATTTTCTTATTCTTTCCCTTGGTTGCTGATGCACATTTTGAGCACTCGCCGTGCCAAATATTTTGTCTCGTACAAATTTCGAAGAAAACGTGTAGATATATGGATTGACGGAACTGTTGATTGGCATAACAAACACGGCCGTCCAGGCGTATACCTCCTGTCTTGGGTCGTAAAGACTTCCCGTAAGCGCCATGACACTTAACACGATCACTGGAAACCAGCAGAAGAAATCGGCCAATATGATAAACATCATTCTCTTGGCAATCGTGGCATCTTGTTTTGTTCTCGTCGATCTCACGGTATTTCCCGCTTTCGTCGCTGCACGATAGATCACGGCGTAGGCAACAGCGATGCAGAGAAATGCAAACCCGTTGAGAGCGACGAAAACAAACACGGAATATTCCCAACCGGCTGATCTCTCCCTGGAGAGCATGAATGGCAAACAGACGGAGGTTTGGCCGAAGAGGTTGACTTTGCCGTCCTCATCGAAAAAGTAGGCGTCGTCAAACAACGGTGCGAGGGCAAGGAGGATACCGATCGACCAAACGACCGCCATGATAAGTGCCACTTTCTTTATTGACAGTCTTTGGAACCGGAATGGGAAGACGATGCAAATCAGTCGATCGAAGGTCGTCACGAGCAATGTAAAAACTGAGACCTCGTTGGAGATTGTCGCTATCACTCCAGCTACAATGCAAAGACCACTATCACGCCAAAGAAAGTAGTGTTTGTAATAAACTCCCTCCCAGGTCGTGTCTTTTACGGCTAATATTAGCAGGTAAACACCCATAAGCAAATCGGCCACAGCGAGGTTTGTCAAAAGGAATGAATTCACTTGGTTCAGATCTTTTGTGAACACCCTTAAATTGAACAAAAGCCATCACTGTCGCTATAATTTTGTTATTCTTGTAATATAGAGAGAAGAATGGATGTTTCAGGTGTGATTGAGTACCATTGATGCAGAGAGTGATATTCATGCAAACGTAGGGTGTGGTTAGTTATTCGAAGAATCTTGAGGTGCAATTCAATGGGCTGCGAATATCGTAATATTCGAGACCTTGGAAATACCCTTGAAACAACATTACACTCATGAAATAAATGACACTAGCTATAAAAATGTACACTTTGAAAACCAAGACCTGCAGACAATTCAGTAAGATAGAAGTAAAAACAAACTGCAGAGAATAACATATTGTAAACCAAGGATTTACAACCAGTTAACGATGATATCTAGGCTCTAGATTTGCCGGCTTGACAGTAATGAATAAAAATATCACCGTAAGGGTAAGTTGTTTTGTGCTTTAAAGCTGAAATCGTATTGGGGCGTATTGGGTCGCAAATTATTGTTTTTTAGAATATGTTTTATCCTATGTTTTATACTCATGATTTACCCGACCAACACAGATATATTATTTTCAAGAAGTCAAATTAACCCGCAATCAGGTGTTATTTGGAAGCAAATTCAACTCCAAACTCCTGGGGCCAGTTGTATAAAAGACTAGTTAACTTTTAAATGTAGTTAAGGTAAATTTTAACTCCTGTTAAACTATTAGACGTCCGAACTTAAAAATACCAGTGGGAGCTGAATCAATTTCTTGAAAACAACATTTCCTCGGTTCACCTATTGCAAGCTACATGTGATACCTCCATAAAATAACAGCCAAGTTTCCAAAAAGTGCGAGAATGCCAAGGACCCAAATAGCGTATTTAAGAACTGTATACTTCAGCAACCCGTTACAGTCGGATAAACCATCTCCATGACGAATATCGCATTCAACTCCAGCCTTCGTTGCTTGCGCTGCACAACAGTGTGTAAAATCGTCTACCTTCCTGGAAGTTTATAATGAGATTTCATAAATATCTGGTTTATTTTATCTTTAGCGGGTGGAGCTTCAGCCACAACCCTGTGCCTTTGCTGTCTGATTAAAACTATATTTAAATTGGTGTAATACTGGGCAAGACTGATATAAATATATAGAACCCCTACAATCTCTCTCATGCACAAAAGCTGCCGCCATTTTTACTTAGCCTAAACGAAATATTACTCCAACACTCCTTCAGTTCATTTTCAAGAAAAACGTGTTGAAAGTCAGCCCGGAAATTTTTGTCCAGTTAGCTTTGTTACTTTTCGAGTTATCTTGCATGCACGAAAGTAAATGTCTATATAATTCAAACTTACTCTATACCATAGCTATATAGACAAGCCATTCGATCATTTTTGTATGCATCCTAAAACCCTAATACATGCACAAATATTCTCGTAACATTCTCGTGTTCTTTATATTATTTCTCAGGGAAAAATATCCAGGACCGATTACGACGACTTTTAAGATTTTATCCCTCGAATTTTTCAAAACAAGATTATCTTATAAAATAGATAAAATTTTGCAGTAATGGACTGCTACCTTAAAAACGTTTCTGCCGCAGAAACTGAAGATGTGCAGTAGTTATGTTAATCCCCTTTTTGGGTGCTATGTGCCATGCAACACATGTAACGCCGCTCGAAACGTCAGTATAGCATCGTGCAAGAAATATACGACAATTGCCGAATAAGCGATGGTAATTTCGCCTCGTTTCACTTATATTAAATAGTGCCAGATATATATCAAGAACTTGGAGTTTCCTATGTTAACGCGATGTTTTCTTTGTTCATCCAGTACAATAACGGTACAATTAAGTTGGAAATATGTCGAGATTAGTTTGCAGTGTAATCGCATGCAATGGTTGCCGTTGTGTGTGCTGAGTTTGATATGTTGGAATATAATATCTAATCTTAAAGTGCTACCTTGATGTTTTATATATGCTGGTGAAACATATTGGGCAGCATTTGAGCGGAAGATTATGTTGAATATTGTTACTGCATAGTCATTCAATTCGAATATCAATGAATTTCGCCATTAAGATGCATCACCATGCACAATCGTTTCATTTGTGAGCAGCGCTACTAGAGCAGGATCGTCCTGCGAGAGACTAAAGACTAAAGACCGCTACTGGCTTAAGACTAAAGACCGCTACTGGTCAGCGAGCAAAAATTTTTATTTTTGTAACTTTTTAGAGTGAGTGAACTCTATATTGCTCATGATAGTGTGGAATTTTTGTAATTCTAATACTTACAACAGTTGAAGTGAATTAAGCGGGTCGAACAATTTCTCAGGTAGAGTTCGAATCTTGTTCCGCTGTATGTTGCTGAGAAAAAAGTAAATAAAATGATATTATTTGTCTTTAATACAATGACAAAAAGTCAAATATTTAGCATTTTGATTTTTGATAGTTCTCCTATCTGATTTGCAAATACATTAAGAAAAAAATCTAGAGATCAATGAGCAAGGATTCTCTCAAACCGGTGCATGGTGGGTGAGTCCTTATGCCAGGGGGGGAGATGGTCTCATGTGATAATGAAAAACTTCTCAATGGATGTCCAAGTTTTCCGTTCGCGCACGGAATGTATACGTAGGACATTTTTACCAAACTTTTATGGACTATGGTTGGCCCGAGCATGTTGGCCCGGTTGGCCTGATGTTTATAAAACTTACCGCCGCTATTCTATTTGCATTCATTGTTGACGTCATGGTCATTTTATTTTTATTCACGGTCTTGCACATGACCATTAGTTTTTAAAATTTGCCACTTCATGGTAACTATCTTTAAAAAATCGTGCTTTATGTGTTTGGGATTTAGTACAAATGAAGTACTTACAGTTCATATAGTTCTCCTAAATTCCTGAAAGAGTCAGGCTCTATTTCGCGTATTTTGTTTCTATAGAGATCTCTGCAAAAGCAAATTTTGGAATTGTAATATACCAATCACGTTTTAAGGTGGTTCACTACAAAAAAATCACGATTTATTCTGTTTTGAAAATTTCAAGGGGTGCAAACTTAAATATATCCCTAACCGAGCCTGAATATTTTTTTCCAAAAAGTTTTATTAATTAGGGTTTAGCCTCGAGCAAACAAAAGGGGTCGATTGGACTATTCTATTGTTTCATTGTTCTATTGTTTTGTTCTCTAAAATTTATGAATATATGGAAAACGTTTTTCGTCGCTTTTCTTAGAAAACTAATTAAAGTTCTTATTCCCCTTACTTTTGCTCATGATAAGTCAAAAGTGAACTTGATAAAATGTTTATGGTTGACTTTAAAAGACAATTGGACGTGAACTCGAAAGTTTTGCATTCTGTTCAGTCTAAATAAAATAGTGACTGGCTATTTGTTATCGTGTTTAAAGATTCCTACAAGTCTTTTTTCACTCAGAGCAACTTGGCTTGCAATATTGTATGTACAGATTTTTATCTTTTTCAAAATTAAAGTTTTTTTTGTAGTGGATGACCTTAAATAGATTCTTCATGAGCTTCCAATTTCATAATGATACAGAATTTTGCATGATATATGCGTGTGTTAGCATCACGGTCTTCAAGGAAAGAAACATCCAAAACTATACTTGAAAGTTTTTAGAGGTAACGGAAATACAACTGTCAGACAAGTAAGAAAACGATTTTCTGGCACTTTGTCTTGCAAGTGACATTTCAGAATTATCTGATAATTTTAAACCAAAATACAATTCATGCGTGTATTCACGTTTTCGACCTCTACTGCAGACCTTTCAGAATCAGTCTCTGACAATTTCTTAGCCTATATTTCCGGCTATGTTAACAGCTATTTTTGATGATTTCATAGACAATTTTTAGTATGATTTTGATAAAAACATCATGACATATTCTTACTGCAAGAGGAAAATTCCTTACAATTTTTCAAGTGACATTAAATTTTTAAACCAGGACGCCCTCACAATTGTCAACTTGTTATCTCTAAGCACCCTATAAAGACAAAGAATAAGTTCAGCTAGTTTTATCACACACATTAAAAAACCGCATGATTTAGAAAACCACGATCATCGTATATCACTTGAATACTTACAAAGTCTTGAGAGATCTAAGACCAAGAAAGGTTTTTTCATCGATGTCATTGATTTCACCATTTGTAAGATTTCTATATATACGACAGTCAGCTATCATTAGTGTGGGCAAAGGTTGGCAAATGTTTTCGTAATTATTTTTTATTACTTTTAATTGATGAGAAAAGAAAGATCAGTCGGTATATATATGAATACAATGACAAAAGAAATAAAGAATCGGAGGAATGCAATTTATAAAATCACCTCGTATTATATAATATAAAGTCTTCTTTTAATCGTTTACCTTTCTATAACATTTTTTTGCAGTTGTACAAATAAGAATGGATTTAACTCGTAAATTTTACAATATAAGTTCCGCCTTTATAAATGTCTAGTACCAATAAGGCTTATAAACATGTATTCCTTTCATCACCAAGCGAAAGAGTTATAATTAAGAGAGGAATTCCCTATATATATGATACATTTTTTCAACTCCAGAAATATTGCAAAAGGGAAGCAAATTCAGTTTGGAACAATCCCATGCAGCTGACGCTGTCTTGTACTCACATCCCTATGGTATTGTGAGGTAGATCTGAAGGTACTTCTGTCAGGTTTTCCGCAACAATATAGAGTTCGTTCTGATCGTTTGTAATACAACTCGTGCCATTTGGGCAAGCTGCTGCTGAAAGGAAATGCACTCGAATTAAATTAGGTTTATTAGGTTTAGAATAATCGCCCTATATCGGTATCATGCAGTTTGATTATTACATGTACAAACGACATCATCTGAAACTTAAATATGAAAATAAAATTTATAAACTGTTTTAAATAGATCGTCTCAAAATAGATCGTTCCATGCAGTTAGAGCCCGGTCATTCTTTATCGCAGAATGTTGGAGTGAAGAAAAAATGTTTTAATTCCCAAACATTAATTATAATATATAATATTGTAAGTTTTGAACACTGCATGAGCAACTGATCCAAATTGACTGCAATGTCATGAATTGATGGATGTTGATTTAATAGATTGTATACGGTTCGTGATGAAATGTACAGTTTGGACGATGAAAAGATTTATATCGTAAACTTTTCTTTACACTACCTTTCACTTTCTCATTTTTGTCTCACCTTCCTTTTTTTGCTTACCGAAACATTTTTTCTTCATCCTCTACTCCGCCTATAAATAATTACCCGTCACTATACTTATGCCATAACTTTATTGTTTTAAGTTTGGTCCACTTTACGTACATGAAATGGTCTAAATGGTCGGGGCTAAAGATGCAAACAATTTTCTACCCGATACGTCTGAAAAGAACTTTGAATACCACTTTTAACAAACCTTTATTTTTGACGATAACGACACTTAAAAGAACTAACACAATGAGCATCATGATGGCTGTATACATGAATTCAGTGTTCAGACTTGGTTGCACCTGCCGGTGAAAGGCAAATGAAATAAATGATATCGTGATATGATGGTAGAAAGTTCATTTTCTTGTCATGTAAAGAATGAATCATTGTTCTAAAATATATATATAATGCATTACAACATATTATTACTAGGGCCGGTTGTATCACTTGTATGAAAGCCGGATAGCGCTACCACCCGAATAGTGATTTTTTCAACCGTTCTAAAAATGCTCGAAAGCATTGAAATTTCAGCTTTATTTTTATTTCACAAAATAATCCAGAGTTCTAAAACAATAGAATCACAAGATTCATCAAAACTCACTTACCACCATGCAGGCACAAGCATTATATAATCCACCTCATTCTCAATCAAATAAAAAATAATGCAGTAAAAACCTTCGTTTATGGAATTAATAACGTATTGTCGACAGCAATTATAGAATTATATTTCCTATACTCAGTCAGGGCAGAACTTCTGCATGACGAGAAATCTATATATATTTTTGCGTAAAGCCGCGCCTTAGAGATGGTAGCTAATCGTTTATATACAATCGTAATAAAAGTTGTTTATCTAGATACATTCAAATCCATTGGCATTGGCAATGGGCGGAAATAGCAAAGCAGCTTGGATATAAAAACAATCTTATTACATGCATTTACGGTGTTTAACTTACTCAGTGCATGCATGTGCATGTGATTAGAAGTATATATATGCACATAATTATGTATAACTGATTAACATTACGGTGTACTGATATAAATCGTTCGCAAAGGATTTTATAGAATTTATATAATCGTGTCTTATTAATTAAAGATATATTAATGCATGTTCGAAATGAATATCGGTTATTATATATTATATATTATATATTATATACATTTATAGACAGGATATTAAATATTAATATGATCAAAATCTAACAAGTAAAGCGAGTGTATTTAGAAAAGCTTATATACTTATATATAAGCATTGATTATACTTTCCAGTTTTCCAACATAACGTATAGATAATATCATAGATAATATGCATGAATATATATATATATGAAAGTGAATAGGTGCATATGAATGTTGGAAGTTATAATTAAAAGTCACATGCAAACGATGCCATATTAGTTGACAGTTTCATCTCAGAATCTTAATGTGACAGCGCTATAAAAACCAAAGAGTTTCTGCTGTAAAATCCTTAAAAATCTTATATTTTCGATATTGACCTTATTATACATGCAATTGTAAGCGCGACATAATGTTCGATTTCAATAACACGAAGAATATATAACAATGCATGCAATAAAAATGTGGCAATTTATACTTACTGGAGTCTTGGCCGTTATATTTGCTGGCCAGCCTGGCCTTTCAGTCTTTCCGCTTTTGACAAGGCACAACAGCCACAGTGCTCCTCGAGCGGAACCCTCGGCGACTTGTTTAAAGCCTTCTTTTATGCACCGAGTTGTTTTGGGGGAAAAGGAACTGCCCTTGATAAACAATTAATCGGGCCGTAAAATTAATACATATAATATATATATATAATTGAAGTATATACATGTGACTTACTATATAAATTACAACAAATTTTAATAATGCATATAATTTATAGCGAATTAATAATTAACCCTTTTCTAATATGCTCTTGCTCCACGATAGAGCATCATACTTGTAAGTGCATGATTGTTTATAATTCATGATTGTTTTTAATACGTGATTTGCAATCATTTAAATTTTTTGTCCCCAAATTATATATTTCAACATCTATAGAAATTCTAGTTGCAAGTTCCTTGCACTTGCCAGGCATTTGCACCATTTTATTGAACCCGGTATCGTTTTTTACTGTGTTAACATGCTAAAAATGGCTATAGCTAGGATTGGGGAGTGTTTTCTTGATCAACTTCTCCATTCGGCTGCAGGAACTATACGATTTTACTTTTAGTGACCGCCTTATGGTGGTTTTTTTTATTTGGATATAGCCTAGCTGATCAATATAAATAATCAAGTTCCAGAAAACTAATGATATTTTAAAGACAAAGGTGTAATTCGTCAACATTGGTGATTGCGATTTGCGTTTTTCAAAATTTTTCAAATTCTAAGCCCCAAAAGTTCCATTTGGAAACTGCTTATTTTGTGTATGACCAGCCTTAGCTATTCGTAAATACTCTTAATGCATAATTTGATACATTTACTTAATTTTTACATTTACTTAATTTTTATGCTGCATTCATTTCTGACCAATAACAAAGCAATTTGGCAAACTTTTTATCATGTATGGAGAATTATTGAGTGGGGGGGGGGTGTCACATTAACCCACATCCCTCAACCTTACGCTCTTGAGAATAATAATACAGAATTTGCTTTCAAAGATATTTCATTCATTTTTCATGGCGAATCAAAATTTCCTACGAATACTTGCAAGCTTACATCAAGTATATAATTCACTTGGTGGCACCCAAGCACTTTTTCCCGACGTGTTAATTCTAGGTCTCACACTGCTGTGTATATTAACGCAGTGATTGTGGTATGTTTTTAGGTATCTACAGGGATTAAGAAGGGTTTTCTTCATTCGGTTCCTTAAAACCCATAGCATTACGTTATCCCCTCCGTATAAATGCATCTGGTAATTGAACTCCGACAGAACAGACTCCTCCAAGCGTCGTGTAAGAACAAATATATATGTATCGTGTGAGCCAATATAGCCAGTTTGACAGTATCCACGTCTTCCGTGCATGTTACAAATTCGTTCCTGGCGTCCACTACGTGTTAAAACGTACGACACATTATGCTTAACGAGAAAAGTTTTGTTTAATTTTTCAAATCCTTCTCCAATGTAAATATCCATATTCGTTATAACCACAAGTCGATTTAGAAGTCGGTCGTTCACGTATTCGAAGAAATCTCTGTATCTAGGCATTTTTGCGTTGATGAGATGTGTGTGTATTTTATGCTTGTTATGAAAGTTGAGCTTGCCCAATCGTTCTTTGGCTGATGGTTGATTAACGAGCAGATGAACAGTTGAAATTAAAGGATGGTCGAGGTTCCTCTGCAATGTTTCCTCTATTTCGTACTGTCTTTGCATCAATCTGGTTTTGTTCGTGTCGGTTTGATTATTGTTCCAAGGTTTTTCGGTCATCACCGGATAGTTTGTAATAACGTGGATTACTGATTCTTCGCTACCTGATAAAACGCTATAAATATTGTTTAAATCATCCATCAAGTAGATACGACAAAAGAAAATGACAAAACTCGATCCTAAAGACAAGAAAAGTATGCATTTTATATTCTTTAGGAAAGAGAACATGTTTTTCAGGCTTTTGGAAGTACAATTACATTGAACATATACCAGTAAAAAGTCTGAAATTAAATTGATGATTTCAAACGTTTGACTGACAATCTTATATAATTACATATGACAACAACACACGTTTTAACCAGACTTTGAAAATCATAATCAAATTAACAGCTCTTAATGGCACAATGCATGTACACATGAATGCTGAGTTGCCGTTTCCATAGGATACTCCTTATGCTGAAAGGTATTATTGATTTTCTGTGTTATTTTTAATCTGAGGAACAGAATGAGAATGCCACGTATCTGTTGTAGTTATATCAAAACTTTTGCCAGTTTGCGAAAAAGCACGAAAAATGATCGTGTGTCTAAAGAAAAAAGAAACATTAATCTTAGCTTCTCCTAAATGCACTGACTTCTCAATTTAAGGAATTCAATAACTTAGGCATGTGGTCCAATAAAAAACAAAAAATCAAAACAAATTGAAATACATTACGTTGCCAAAGAGATGCCTGATTGTGAACTATGAATAGCCCACAATGAGGGAAGCCTAATTAGCAACGAAAATATGACACCCAATGATTATACCCAGTTTTGATGTAAACATAGGCAACCCAATGGGGAATGGTTTTATATTTTATTTGAAATAAAAATGCACACTTTGATGAAATAGACACATATGTCATTTATTTACATGCTTATGTATTTGTCTATAATTTACATGCTCAGTAATATGTGTGTCTGACGGACCATGTTCACGCAATGTATATTAATATATATTATATAGTATATCATTATATAATAAACGTAAAAGTGTAAAATCGAAGAAGAAGGATTACGGTTGAACCCATTCTCGTCCATTGGGTTCAACCTAATCAACCCGGCATAGGGTTTAGAATTTAGGATTTACGGAACATGGAATTATTTACCAAATTACCCATCCTCGTCTCCAGGTTCTAGCTCTGTTGCTCTGAGCTAGGTCCTGGGGATGAGGATGCAAATTACCCAATTATATTCCCAATTATTCGTCATATTCGATTCCAATCTTACCGCATTTCCGTGAATCAATAACACTTTTCATTTTCACACCTTAAGGACGTATGCCACGATGTCGAGGTCGAGCCACATCTTTAGACCTTAAGAGATGAAGTCCGAAGTAGTAGTGCCAACTCTTCTAATGAAGCCAGACTGGATGTCAGTGTTTGCGGTTTCTGGCAAAGGCGGCAGCTTGCATTTTTTGATGTAAGGGTGTTCAACCCATTCGCAAAAAGCCACCTAAACCAGAAACTGGATGCCGCCTTCACAAGCAATGAAAAAGAGAAGAAACGACACAAAAACCAGCGGGTGATAGAAGTAGAACACGGTTCCTTTAGCCCTCTTATTTTCTCCCCATATGGTAGACTTGGCAGGGAAGCTGACAGATTCATGACACAGCAAGCCCAGAAGCTCGCGGAGCGAAAGAATATGACTTATAGTGCAACTACTCATTGGCTGAGAGCTAAACTATCTTTTATTATCTTTTAATCTCCTTAAATCAGCGGTCATGTGCTTAAGAGGTTCAAGACGTTCTAAACATAAACTGTTTATACTTTATAGATCCAAATGGCGCTGGAATTTTTAATGCCATTAATCAAATGAAGTAGAGGTTTTTTGTTTTTTGTTGTTTTTTTTTTAATCTCAAACCAAGGTTCTATAGACCAATTGCGAAACTTAGTGACCGCGCCTTCGTGCAACATGGAAACGAGGCTTATTATGCAAAAAACAATATTTGTATTTTTTGTAGTACAAAGCTATTCGCCGAGTTATATGCCGTTTTTCGCCTTTGTTTTACATATTTTTCGATACCTTTCAGCTTGGTTTTATCGTTGTTATCATAGTTTTCAGGTTAGGAAGTTTTGCCTTTCAATTGAGGCGTTTTTGTGGTGTTTTCATTAATCTTTTCGGCTGCTTTCGTCGGGGAAGTATGGAAAAGGCCGACACAAACTCAGGTAAAAATTTAGTTTTTCCAAACTATTTCGTCTCAAGTTTTGAAAATGTATTTCATTTTTCTCCCTCTTATTTGTGCAAAATTTGGCGATATATATTTGGTGCAAAATCTATGTTTTTTTATGTCAAAAATTATTGAAAAGTGACAGTCAGATTATATAATTTTCAAACCTGATGACTGAAATGGCTTCATTTATTCAAATTCATTCACAAATATCACTGCATTTTTTTTCTTTATACCACAGTAATACTGTTAAAATGGTCAAAAGTAACTGACTGAAATGTTTTTGTTTATTTTCGTTTTAATAAAGTATAGACGATGCATAGCTTGCATGCCGACCTGAAGGCCGAATTTTATAAAAGTCGAATTCGAATGCATCGAATGCATTCTGCATTTTTGTTAGTACAAAACACTATTCTTTCTATCTACTACCATGCAATAGATGTTTAATAAGGGTTAACCAGGAATACTTGAAAAGGAAAGGATCCCGTTCACCATCGTAAACGGAAAAACTCTGGTTTAAATATTTTTCGCTTTCGGCTTTGCCATCATGTAAAGGTGTATCTTAAAAAACGCTGCAGCTCGCATTGTGGCTACCTTTATAGTATGTTATTGCCGGAAAAGGAATATTCAAATGGCAATTCAAAATAGACAATGATATTATGTTTTGGTTATAACTTATAAGTATTTTACTATCCATGTCATGCATGTGCGCCAAGTTGAAGAGTTGTTTTGCTTTTCAGTCGGCATCACATCACATGTACTGTACTCTGTAGTCTATATACACAGGGATAATAAACATAAAACTCCGTTGCTTATTTTATCTCTTATAGATCTTTATCTTAACAGATTTCTACTATTTTTTTTGCTGAGCTAAAAAATTGCTGTCAAATTACATCTTATCGATCGATAAAATTGGTATAAAAAAATTTTAGATGAGAAATGTGAACATGGTGGTTTGTTCGATCGTGACTTTTCAATAATTTTTGACATTAAAAACATAGATTTTGCAGCAAACATATATCGCCAAATTTTGCACAAATAAGAGGGAGAAAAATGAAATACATTTTCAAAACTTGAGACGAAATAGTTTCGAAAAACTAAACTTTTACCTGAGTTTGTGTCGGCCTTTTCTATATTTCCCCGACGAAAGCAGCCGAAAAGATTAATGAAAATACCCCCAAAACGCCTCAATTGAAAGGCAAAACTTCCTAACCTGAAAACTATGATAACAACGATGAAACCAAGCTGAAAGGAATCGAAAAATATGTAAAACAAAGGCGAAAAACGGCATATAACTCGGCGAATAGCTTTGTACTACAAAAAATACAAATATTGTTTTTTGCATAATAAGCCTCCTTTCCATGTTGAGCGAAGGCGCGGTTACTAAGTTTCGCAATTGGTCTATATACATATTTTAATTTTTTTATCAACATATTGTAAATAACTTTTATTTAGAATTGTAATATTATCTATTACTTTTTTTTTTTGAATTAAGATAAAGTATTCTAGTTGATCCTTACCTGACCCCATCCACTGACCCCATCGTTGTCGGCTCATCTTTTTCGGAGGCAAATTCAAATCTCACGCATGCGTAGTTAATTAATTCGTAATGCCAATAATGTAGCGTCCTTCGATTTTCTTATCGAATACATGCAAACAAAGCTATCTAACGGCTATAAACAAACCGTAATGGAAGAATTAACATGCCACAACGCTTAATTTAGTTATATTCTATCTTAAATTCATCCATGATGACCGATCGTAAGTTTACAAATCTGCGAAAGCGCTTGGACCAACTTGGCTACAGACAAGCTTTGGGTATTGAGTCGGTGCCACTTGTGGAGAAATTATTTACAGATCTTGTGCATACTACAGAAAGCTTAAAAAATGTTAAACTTCAGCTCAGTAAACGAGATAAAGAGAGGACCACTTTTGAGGACAATGCTGAGCCATACAAAAGTGATAATGCAAAACTTGTGCGTGAAAACAACGATCTTCACGTCCAGCTTATTCGCGCCAAGGAAGAGGGCGAACATGCTATTAAAGAGCTCAAAAGTTCCTTGAGAAAAATAGAACACGAGAATGCCGATCTGAAGTTCCTGAACACACAGTACGTGCATAAAGTTAAGGCTTTAGAAAAAGACTCTAGTGAAAAAACTTTACGCATTAGTGAATTGCAGGAGAAGAATTTGCATGCAGTTGTGGAAACTCCTGGGGGCAGAAAGAAACAGATTCCCACACGCAGGCAACGAATGGATATAAAAAGTACCCTTAGTAGCAGTGATCGTTCAACAAAGTCAGCCAGCTCATATGCACATGATCCATATGTGGCTGACCTGCTAAATGTTGCTGATAGCAGGATTGAGCAAATGCAGGGGAAAATGAATGAAATGGAAAATGAAAGAGAAGCAATGGAAAGAAGAAACAAAACATTGAGAAGACAGGTTTGTTACATTCCCATATATATAATTTCTGTTAGGCAGCACATCAGATTCCTGTTTCCAAATGGATTAGCATTTGGTATATCAGCTTACTGTACGTAATTCACCTGTGTATATATCACTCTTTCTCATGCATTCAGAATTCTTGCTCTGTCTGAGAGTTTTCTCATGACAGATCATAGCTCTGTCTCTAAAAATCTAAAAGCTGATTGCTGAGTTCCAGAATTCCATGTATGCCCAAACAATAACTTAAAAATAAAGACAGGCAATGCATGTAATCTATTGTTGAGAACACAGATTTTTAGAAAATTTCCCACTCACTCTAAATTAGATTAAGAGGTATTTTTCTACAGTGCTGATGACCTAGTTGGTTGCATTCTGCATGTTAATTCTAAATCTTAAAAGGTTCATATTAAATAATGGCAAATATATCTAAGTTGTGCACATTTTGACTGCAAGTTATTTTCTAACTTGTAGCTAATGTAGTTTAATGATCCAATTTTAGCTTGACAAAATTAATTTTGCCAATATTATTTGTTCAGTGAAATTAAGGTACTATATGATGTAGTACATATAAATATTAACCATTTGATGCATGCAAGCTAGTATACAATTTGCATCAGTTGGTTAATATATTGCCAATTGTTATATATTGATGATGCAATTTTTTAGTATTATTTAATCTTCCAGCTAATGAGGTATTTACGGGCTAGTTGGTCTCTCCATAGGATCAATCAGGGATTTTAAAAGAATATTTTAGCATCTATTCCATCTAATATATAACCAAAAGCCATTCAAGGGGTTTAAAGATTCTTAATTTCGAGTGGAATTAATACACACTTCACATTCAAGCCAGGAACAGTTGAAGGAAAAATGAGTCAACTTATAGGTCCTCCAGCAGGAATTGAACATACACTTTAGCGATGCCGGTGCAATGCTCTTGCCACTGAGCAATGCACTTGCCAAAAGCATAATTCCACTCAAAATTAAGAACCTTTAAGCCCTAGAATTTACATGAATCGTGTGAAGTGCCAAAAATAACAATTTACAAAAGCCACTCAGTTGCAAAGCATTAATTAGTATATGTACATCCTGAGCAATTCTAGTCTTTTGCAACATGTTATGAAAGTAATTAATTATATTATGCCGAATATTTGAACCATGATCTGATGATCTTGCCCAGTTCTTTCTGTGTATGTCACAACTATTAGGCAAGCTAAATGCTCTGCCCATGTAAATATCATTCTATGATATCTGTCTGCTTAAGCTTATGTATATTGGAATAAAAAATAACGATCGAAAAGTGGTGTAGGGTTAGGTGGTTACTGTACTTACTGGTCAACCTTGAATGCTGCTGCAGCGCCCTAAGCAAAATTCTTAAACGTTTTGTATTCAGTTGGATAGCCTGAATTGTGATGCCATGCTATGTTTAATTAATCGATTTTTCATAAGCATATTTGACAGAGCCAGAGGCGGTGTACTGTACCATAAAATTTTGATGCAATAAGCTAACGGTACTTAGGATTTACCTATAGTGCTTTTAAACTGGTGCTAAAATTTTCTCTAACAACGCGGGTTAATGTGTATATCAAGTTGGAAACCAATACCTCTATAAGTATCTACTCTAATTTATATTATATATTGAGCTCACTGACCAATACTAGTTGCTGGACTTCTGGAGTCAGTGGAGTGCCTCAGGGGACCCAGGGTCTGAAAATTATCGATTCTGAATTATATGAAAGGTACGAAGGAACTTTGCCTAAGGTCTTATTGTCTGCCTACACTTTATCGAGAAAAAAGTTTTATGCCTTATTGGAGCAATTTTAGTACTTCAAATAAACATTCCGATTTGTGAATGAAATTTCATCCGTATAATTCTAGAAATACTAGAAATATACCACTTTAAAGCAATTATTGTAATAATCTATTTTATCTTGTTAAAGATCCGAATGCCGGTGACCTTTAGTTTATGCCAATAGTATATATAGATCTGCGAGGGTAACCGTCGATTCGCCGGGAAGACGTTAATTATTTGTAGAATTTCCGGGCCTATAAACCTAAGATTGAGAATTATTAAAACTGTGGTTCTCTTGTACATCCCCGACCCTGACAGTGATGCATTGCAGGGTGATAATTTTTTTTAGCATATTTTTGTATGTCGTATATTTTTATGGTTTTTTATATGTTTTCTATTTACTACGACTACGTTTCTTCGCAATTGTTTTCTTGATCATCAGGTTGAGCATCGCGATAAAGAGATTGAAAGACTTGGTCATTTGCTTGAAGGCGGACGACCATTGCATGCCGTTATGAAAGACACTAGACAAGATAGTAGTGATAAAGTTGTCGCACATCTCAATGTTCAGGTAACATGTCGATCATATATACATGTAGTATTGTCCTTATTATTAAAACATTGTTACTAATTTTACGTTCGACGGCATTTATCGTTACCATCGGTTTGACAATAAATAAGCAATATATTCCTTTGTCTTTTGAAATACGCTGATTCTATACAATTCTGATACTATTTTTCTACTGTGTTTTAATCTGCTAAAGAACATTGCGAAAGTCTACAGATACGAACCATGTTGTCAATTCGTTTGTTGACTACAGTCGTTGCATGCAAAAAATGTATGGACAAAACCATATATAGTTTGTGGAAATAATTAATGCTAAAGTGTTTTTCCCGTCCTACACTAAGTCGTATAATATGTGAAAATGTAGGCAAAAGATATATTTTTCGATTAAAAAACACTGTAGTTAGGGTGGATATCCATTGTTTTGAACATGGAATGAATAGTTCTAGGTACACGTATATTTGTATTTTTATTTCTATAAATTTAACATTCGCCGATTGCATGTGCGCCTATGCAGTTTTACAAAAAATGGTTTATATTAGCTATTGGTGCATGTATACTCAGCCGAGCTGTCCTTCAAAATCAATGATAATTTGTAGGTGGATTACCTGCAGCAAGCGAACAAAGATCTGGAGAAAAGAATAAAAGAAAGTTCTAACACAAGAGATGGACTCAGATCACAAATCAAAGATCTTAGTGAAGATAATGAACAACTTCAAGTTAAAATAAAGAAGTTGGAAAAGAAAAAACATGTAGCCGAAGAACAGAGGGATAAAGTAGCTACCATTGCCGTGCAAGATGCTGACGAAGCCAAGGTGATGTGTTGATATACTTAAGAGAAGATATATTTTTCTATGTCCTGTAATATGTACTCAAAACCTGATATCGTGCAACTGTATACTAAAATTTTGAACATTAAAAACGTTTTACAAATCAGAGGTCAAGAAAGCATGAAAAAGTATGTTTACTACATAATCACAAAACTTTGTGAAAACGGAGTGATTGTAGAAAGTAGCACTTGAATCGAAGCTGGGTTTTTTAGTAAAGTGTTCAAATATGATTATTATAAAGCGCAAAATACGGAATAAAAAAGTACAAATAAGGAATATAAAGTACAAAATACGGAATGAAATAAAGTACAAATAGGGAATATTATAAAGTACAAAATACGGAATAAAGTAAAGTAAAAAAACGGAATATTATAAAATACGTTGTGTATAAGTTTATATTTGTCTTTAGATCGAGTTGCGAAATGTTGAAATCGAGCTAGAAAAATTCAAAAGAGAAGTTGCTGAACTTCGAAAGGTAATTTTTCATGTCATTTTACATAACATGTTTTGTATTGAACATATTAATATTTTGTTGGTTTGTTCAAGTGCTTATTTAAATATGTCGCGGAAACTGCATGTAATGGTTTCTGAAAAATATGTTCATCTCTTCTTCTATTACTCCAAATTTTAATTCGACACTTTGGAAAAACAGGAACGACAACGGTGTATAGAAGAATGTGAAAGGCTTGGCGATGCTGTATCATCTCTCGATGAACAGAAAGATAAACTGGAACGATTGTTGGAAAATTGTGAGGAGGAGAAAGTACGACTTGGAGAACGCAATGCAAAACTGGCATCTTCAGGTACAATAATATACTTATTGTTTAATTGCAGGAGGGCTAAGGGGGCTGCAGCCCACCCCCAGAAGTAAATGTGTGTCCAAATATATGAAGAATTTTGATACAAACAAGTAACAATTTTAGAATTGAACATTGGATAAGAACTTCACTATAGCGATTTATTTATTGTTTGTTCTCTAATTAATCTGGGAGTATAGACTATTTGGACTGCTGACATTCGTATTTCTGATTTGTATAGTTAACAATTTTATTCATTTTATGGCCTGTCAGAAAACAAGATGAACTTTTTTACAAATTTGGTATATACGTTTCCCCTCCCTGTTTAATTATATATGCTTTTTTTTAATTTTCATATTCCATATCTGGTGTACATTTGTATCAACATTGTCTGGGTTTAACCACACAATTTAATAAGAACACTGATTTCAATAGCTAACATACACGCACATGCATAATTTCTTACTATTATTAATTTTTTCTTTAAATTTCTTTGGTTAACAGAACATGACCTAATCATAAGTCTGGAAAAATTAAGATCCAAAAAGTCGCCAAGCAAGACTTCCAAGGTAATGCTTATGCTTGCACTTTGGGGCCAATCCTTCTTAACAATAATATAAATTAAACTAGATAATAAACCATTCGTCCAGTTTTGAGTCACATCAAGTGAGCTTCGTATATATCTGAAGGAAGTATGTCCAAAAATTGAAGCAAAGCTGGTGGAAATTGACCTCCAGTGTCATCTCTATTTCCGATGCGCGATAAAATATTTGCATTTATTTTTATATGTTTGTTAAATTAAACATGCTAACCAACTGTTGCTGTTTTTTTGTTAAATACCTTAAATATAAACGTATAAAATTTTTTTATGGTATTTTATGGTATCTTCCTTTGGTATAAGATTACCGTATCTATCTTCCCTGCTTCTATGGCTTAAATATTGTATCGCATATATATGGACATCTGGACATCTATAATCAGTATATAAAATGTTGCATCACGTTTTGCAGTCACCTTCTAAACATGACGGGGTAATCAAGTCTTTAGAAAAACAACTAGATTATTACAAGGAAGAATGTGCCTCACTTCAAGAAATGGTTAAGAAAAAACTTGTGGATTCTGCTCAACCTAGTCCACGAAAGAAAGGAAAGGTACATCTATAGCATACAGACAAGGGATAAATCGGAAGTTAAATTAGTTTTGTTTTTCTTTATTGGACTAGTTGAAATTTTGTGATTGTTTAGTTATAAATATCATGGCTCTGAAATGAAGTTAAAAGCAAGTGAAAATATGTCTCAAGGGATAAAAGTTGTTTCAACCGAGAAATAGAGATTTGACGACTAGTCCCAGCCCTTTCCCGCCATTTCAAATCACCCGGAAAAGAAAACAGAGGAGGATAGCTTTCGGCTAATCCCTGTTTGCTCGTTTAATATAACCACCATACTGCTTGTACAAAGGCTAGGACGTTTTCTGATTTGCAGGCGTTTAATAATATCAACGGCACATACAGTGGACTCCTAAACCGTCTCTCAGCCCCATGCCACTGACCCTCTTTATCATCTATACCCTCCTAATTTCCATGAGACTAAAATAAGACGAGTTTCCATGACATTTTTTTTGTCGCAGTCGGATGCACGATGGCAAAGTATGTTAAGGATCATGGAGGAAGAACGAGATTATTACAAGACAGAATACGAAACTTTACGTAAGAAGAAAAGTGCAGGAAAATCGCCAACGAGTAAAGAAAAGGTACTGTTTCGTACACATGCCCATCGCTCCAACATTCAACCCGTTATAATCTTGGAAAGATTAAACGTACATAAACTTATTGTACTTTAATTTCTATTCTCACAAAACGAAGAGCGTAATTCATGAATTGGTACACCAGAGAACATGACTTGTTTCATATTTGCAGTAATCCAATTAATTTAGTGCTTTTGAAAAACCCTGTTGACTTGAATGCTGATGGAATGGAAAACCATGCAGCCAATTCAGAGGATTTTTCTGTCCTTGCTGTTATTGCATTATTTTACTTCTTGTGTGTAGATGTCAAGTAGTACCAGTGAAGTTGCTCGATTAAGAAGGGAAAGAGATGATCTTCAAGCGTTACTGGAGAAATTTGAAAAACATCTTGCTGATGTGAGTGCATTATCTTGTATAGATTCGATCATATAGCATGTATTTTTTTTATTCCGACCCTAACCCTAACCCTAACCCTAACCTGAAATTCCTCGATTTATGCTCAAAAGTTCCAAATTTTGAAAAGTTCTCGTTTTATATGGTAAAATGCTTGTATATACCAACTAAAACCCTTTAAGAACTCTTAGCACAATGGATGTTGGTTTTTCACCTATTGTTCAGGAATTGCCTTTGCATACACTTAGTATATGCATGTTTTTTGTTGTGCGTTCAAATATTACCGACTAATATACCTCAACATGTCTTCTTTGTTAGTAAATTTTGATAGTTCAAATCATTGTTTTTGTGCACCCCATCTATACTCAACGCTGCAGTTGATTATCTTCTTTGCTATAATATCAGATCCAAGAAAATGTCAAAACAGTTGTAAGCGACCGAGACAGTGTACAATTACTATATGAACAGGTATTTATGTTGATGTTTATTTCCTAATTTTGAGCATTGAAGTAAAACTACGAGTATAACAATGGGTAGTTATATCCCGATAGAATAAACTCGATCAGTTGAGCTTTGTACAGTCTTAAGGCAGAAAAATAAAGCACTCCAGGTTGTAAACTTAGCAATTTTGTTCAAATTAGTCATTAATCCCTATAAACTGCGTTCAATCTTTCTCTTTAAATCTCGATAAGTATACTGCTGGTTTGTTACTATTATTGCTTTTGCAGTCCCATACACAAGATGTTTAAGCTAGGGTGGCAGCAATGTTTCTTTCAAAACATATAAGAATGTATTGTATATCCCCTCACTGATCCCCCGAAGCTTAGATAGACCTCACGTTGAACTTCCTCCCAGAGAAGGGTTCCCCGTTATACATTAGAACCTAGCGGAGTCTATCCTCCGGCTTGATTGCGCCCGCAGTATCGCATATTCGCAATTCCGCAGCTCTGCAATACTCATTGTGATTATTGACTTTGTGAGTTATGTCATTTTAACGTTTGCGTCTATGCCTTGTAGGCAACTGAAGAAATTCAGAGATTAAGACGCCAAGTAACTAGATCCAGGTCTCCCTCGCCTTCACGGACAGTATCGTCAATAATATCTCGGGTCGAGGCTGAGAGAGACGAAGCATTGGCTGATCTAAGGAGAGCTTCCAGCGAGGTTGAATCGCTACAGGAACAGCTGAAAGTTAGTTCTTAATTTTTTATAAATATACGTTCATCACAACGAATACTAAAAAGTTGACCGTACTTACGCATAACTTCTGAAACTAACCAAAAATAGAACGAGAATAGTAAAAATACCGCTGGAATATTGTCCTCCTAAATTGAGTTTGAGAGACATTTCGCTCGCAGATCTTAAGTCAGTATCTAAATTGGGTTTTAGGTCAGAACGGACAGTGCTGTTTCAGAAAGACGAAGACATCAACAAAGCATTGCAGATTTAGAATCTGCGTTAGAGAAGGTAATAAACTGTAGTAGTTTGGCACAGAATAAACTTGATGCAAAACTCTTTTCCTGTTAATGTTCACGTTTTCTAATTTTATATTGTTTATTTCTACTGTTGTAGCTCGAGAAAGATAAACGGGATGCTGAGATGAAAGTTGCGTCGCTCAAGAAAAGCGTTTCCGATTTGGACGAACAACTTCGGCAAACATCGTCGAAGTTCGTGTCCTGTCGTGATACCACGCTCGAAAGAGAGGCCGAGGCAAACAAAATGAGGTTGATTGCAGAACAAGCTGAGAGGTCCGTTGAAGACTGTCAACGTCAGCTGGCTAGGAAAAATGATGACCTTAGAGAGAACGATGAAAAATTAGAAAGCATGGAAGAAAGGATAGGTAAATGCATCTAAATTCCATTCATGCTGCCCGCTCTGGTTATACCTATCAATGTATAGCTACAAGTAAATGAATTAATCGAAAATAGACGTCCCCAATGATACGAACCGTAGATTGTATAAATTCGGGAGACAGAGTACTAGTATACTACCGTCAAGTTACCTTTTTCTGTTTCCTTGATAAGAAGTAATATGACCAGTTGTTTCTCTTTAAGACGAGATGGAGAAAGTAAATTCAGCTTTACGACAAGATATCGTCAAACTGCGTGGTACAGTCAAGTCTCTCGATATCGAGAAAGATAATTTACAGCAACAGGTTGACGAAAAAACGGAACGTGTTATGGCACTTGAAGCACGACGTACAAAACAGGTACATTTAACTGCGAGGTTCGCACCGAGTACAATGCGGGAGGAGCTACTATAAGAAGTAACCATAGATTACACGAAACATTCAGTGCCATCAACACATTTGGGCCATCATTTATGGCTAATTGAGTATTCCATTCATAGGTCATCCCTCTCCGTCCTCTTTTTCGTCTCATCCCACTTTCATCTACCTTCACTTTAGCTACTTTACTTTACTCCATCACCATATTTTTACTGCACGTTTACTTCGTCGTGTTTAAAGATTACCTTTCTTTCACTTCATTCTTATTCTTTCACTTTAACGGGAAATTTATTTTAGTAATATCCAATTTAAATAGATAATGAAAATATGGAATTTATTTCTCGTGTCGAGAATGATATCTAACTCGTTCTCTGCGCTAACTCGTTCGATATTATTCTCAACACTCGAAATAACTAAGAAACCTAGTCTTATATAAGAATGCAGTCTTCGTTTTTGCTTTTATTTCACTTTCACTTGCGTTGATTTTCGTTTTACTTATACGCTGCTTTTACTTTCACTTTTTGAAAAGATTTTACTATCGTATTTTAGTTCCACTTCACTTTTACTATAATTTCAGTCACTTCAACTTTACTTTACCTTAATTTTGCTGTTTACATTTCCTATTTTTTACGCTACTTTCACTTTTTGTTACTGTCGATCTTGCTTTATAATCACTTTACTTACTTTTATTGTTTTCTACTTTCACCCAAAATCGAATTGTTTTTTGGTCAATATTTTTCTGGTCGACATGTTAAAACATTCAAAGGTGTTTTTTCAGGACAAGAATGAAAATGAGTTGAAACTGACCATTGATGACTTAGAAGCCAAATTACAGTAAGTACATCAAAATCATACACTGAAAGCTCTTGATGCATGGAATATCCTACATTAGGAATATGAATACATATGTGAAACACATCGCTAATTTGTAATTAAAACTTTTCTCTCATGATGACCCGGATGAAGCTTAGAAATAATTAAATAAATTACATGGTGTATATTACAAACATATAACAACTATTTTAAAAACACCATGCAAAACTTTAAAGAACATAAGGAATATTAAGCGAGGCAAAACACGCAAAAATATGTAATCTGATCAGGGCGCTTATATATATATATAAACGCCCTGAATCTAATTTACAACTCTTCTTTCCCGTTGCATTATTCTTCCACTTAGCTCATTTACAATAAATTTCTGTTATTTCAGGCATGCTCTGAGCGAGGTAGATCAAAAACAGCGAGAAATCAAAACATTGAAACGTGATATGGACAGAAAGGACGATGATTTGGGTGAGACAACGAGATTACGCGATGCTGTTAGTAGGGAGAACAAGAGGGTGCAGGAAGATCTCGTCACTATGACGGCCGAGAATCAGGTGAGTATAGAATCAATATTCTGTCCCTAACGAGGACCCGTGGATGACGATTACTCATTTTCCCCCGCAAATATTTTTAGGCTGTCCATCAAGAGTTGGAACAATCTTTACAGGAGCAAGAAACTCTCAAAATACAAATCAGGGAGTATACAACACAGGTTGCAAGATTTGAAGAATTGCTGGCACAAAAGGTACTGTACGGCTGTAGTGTCTTTTCTCTATTGTGCACAGTCGAGAATAATGCGTAAAGTGAAAAGAACCCGAATACGATATATATATATATATTGTGGTGTAGGACCTCGAAAAAGAAGAACTTCTGGAACAGTTCCGTGCGTTAAGCAGTGAAGCTGAGAAGTTGGTGACCGACGCTCGTGTATCTGAGGGACAAGTAAGCAATTACAAGACTGAGCTAAGACAAAAAATGCAAGACGATCTTGAACTCAGGGAAAGATTGAGGAGTTTACAAGTTGAACTTGACCAGGTTGGTGGAAATTCTTGATATACGTTTTACTGGCACGCAGTCATTTTCTTTGGCCCTTATTTATCTTTTATCCACTGGCCATTCTTCACGAAGAGTGTATAGAACACGATTTGTGCTGGGATAATAAGTATTCTGAGAATTAAATATTTTCATGCTTTGTTTTCGACATTTTTGTAAAATATTTGGTTTTAAAATATTTTGCTATTGAAAAACTTTAACGTGCCGCTAGTAGCTTGGTTGCAATGAAGTATTTTGTCTATAATAACAGGCGAAATGGTGAAGTTGAAACCTCCTTTGAAGGGATTATACCCCGACGTAGCTAATTCGCGTTATCGTGATTGCAATATCTTCCTGTTTCGTTTTGTGCAATTTAACAAATTTGCCAAGTTAAAACAGGCTTACTGTACTGAGCTTTTTAAAGTTTTGAGGCCTTTCTTCCAATGTACCGCCCATAATGTTTCGATGGTCTATATCATTTATCTTTACTTCCTCCTACCCAATAGACTTTATGCATAATGACGTAACAAGCCGTGACACCTGCAAGGAATTCTGGTCTCAGTAGTCACGGCGGGAAATTTTTAAGCTTGAATTTTTCGCTGTGACTGCTAAAACCAGAATTCTCTGCAGGCATTAGGCTTGATACGTCATTATGTATAAGGTCTATTACTTGGTCTGCATGCCTGTCGTGACAATTGTTATGTTCCCGCAACTCCCACCATAACAAGGCACGTATACAAGAGTTTGTATGATTTTTGTTATGCTCCTCTTGCGGCGGCTATACTTATACAATCGCCTGTCATATTTTTCACACTTCCTCCTAATTTTTTGGAATGGTGCACCCTAATTTGAATAAGCAAGGAACGCATACATGCCTTGAGTATTTTGGAGTAGTCCATATATATATATAAACATACAAGTCAGCAACACTTCTCAAGCTCTATCTGTTGTCTTAAATTAAGTAACTTAATATGTTACAGCTTATGGCAAAGTGGAGTCAATCAAGAATATTAAAGAAAATTAACTCATAAAACAAAAATATAACATTTTAAGAAATGAATTATCTAAACGCGGATTGGGTGGGGATGTATATAATGGCAATATAATCTATATCAGGAAAGTGGTTATATTAAGTTATTCCCCCGTCTATAACAGTTAAAAATTAAGACCTAAATTATTTCCATAAAATAGACAATATAACAATTATTCTCTATAATTTATAATTATGTATATAAGTTAATTCAATATATAACTTGTTCAAAAAAAACAAAAGTATAAATGAATAAATAATAAGCTTTTATTTCTATATTAAAATCTGTTTTAATTAAACCACAAAACGTCACTGTCTTCCCGACAGGTAAAACTTTATATATAATTTTATATTAATATATTTGTTCAATAACCTGCATAAATGTCTTTGAATTTTTGTAGTATTATATTTTGTGATTTTAATCTCAATTCTTACGGATATCATGCATGCAAGGAAATTAAAATGTTATAATAAAAAACCTTGAAACCGAAAGGTTCAATTAACGTCCAAAGCATAGCTATACGGATATATTTGACGAATGAAATAATTTGTCTAGCCTTTTATGAATGGTTAGATTTAGGCCAGAGGGTGGCAACTTCGTAACAGGGTATCGATGTTGGGTATGGATGTTGCTCTGGCAGAATCTTGCTTAAATTTAGGCAGATTTTTTCAATAGCACTTTAAGATTCCACCATGCATATAGACATGCATGTGAGAGCAAGGGCATTACAAATTGCCTGTATAAGTATCCAAAAATTCTTCACATCTATAACTTGCCAAAATTCATGATATGATTTATGCCAAATAAACTTTTTTAGGATTGTAAGATTTGCAGATTTGCTCCTACATTATATATTTGCATGCACTCCAATTTTTATCTGCAGCGTACATTGAATGAGAAATCTTACGAAGTTCAACTATCTAATTTGACAAAATCTCTGCAATCGATGGAAGAACAGCTAAGGCAAAGTGACGAGGAAAAGGTATATGTAACCTCAAAATGAGTTGTTGAGTATTAGTCGATTTCGATCCTTGGCTCAAGGCATTCTATTCAACTCGTGCAATTATATTGATTTTTGTTATTTGGGAATTGTTTTCTTTGTGTCGAAATTGGTCGTTTTAGTACATTAGACCAAAATGCCATGCAGAGTCGGTCGTTCATTTTTCGATCTCAACTGAGAATGTGAGTACATCTTTTGCCACAGGAAGGTTTACTTGCTGATCTATCTGCAGTCCGTGAACTTTGTGTAAAGCTCGATCAGATGCGAGATTCATTGACTAAGCAACTTACATCGAAATCAATGGATAAAGATGAGGTAATTAAACTGAAATGAATGAATGTATGCATATAGTTATATTTATATATCGTGCGGCATTTCTACACCACGTTTACAGCCTTGTTCCATTGATGAATGGAATCTCCTTATGTTCTCGCCATGTTTCACAAGGCTTTTCCTTTACTTGCTTATTTGATTGGTTTCAGTTGTGTCAATTCTTCGTTATAATCTACATGCAGCTGTAGAGCCGTATACTTTGCATTGAAAGAATTGTTTGTCCTTTTAATTCTCCATATTCGTTCCTTCTAAAAAACCCTTTTTCTACCATTGCCTATAGCTACAACAAATGTTTAATGATGCTCAAGAAGAAATTGATACGTTAAAGTCCCAGGTATACATAGTATATTAAGTATAGTTGACCCTTTCCGATTTGTCAACATGCATGGGGTGTTTAGATAGTCATCTAATGAATGCAATGTATCTTATTTAGGTGTTTCGTGAGAAGTCAAATGTTGAAAACCTCGAGGGTATACTCTCTGCAACAAGAAGCAGGGTTAGTCATTAAATTATGAATGAAATAAAAATGTCTGTATTTATCCATTTATTTCTTTTCGTTTGTTCCAACGTCGGGCAGCACTGGCCGTTCCTCTAAAAAAACATATTCCAATTTTTTAATATCTAAAATATATGCAAATTTTCCTGAGTTATTCTATCTAACGTATGCAGGAGTATTTGGACAAGGAATCATTGGAGGATACTCTTGATGAAGTTGACCAGCTTCGATCCAGGCTTTCAACTACTGATAAAGAAAAGTACGTGGTATTCCTCTATAACATGCATGTACAATTTGTCCTCATCATATAGACGCGTTCTTATGCTCAAGGCTTCAATATTTGTCTATTGAACCCATATAACCTCATGCAGTACTTACAGCTTAACTCATGCAATAGTAAACGTATATACGCATGCCAGTTCATTCGAGGTATATCTAAATCACTGCATGTGGTACCAGCTGACGGTACAGTATGTATACATGCATACAGCGTATGGCATAGTAACATTCCGTAATACTCTTTCGCAAACTGGGAAAATAAATGCTGATATAGCAGCATTTTCCCTATATAAAGTATGGAATTGTCAGGACATGTCTAGTTCGATTGTTTTACGAGGTTTCACCAATGCCAATGGGTTTCACATATGTCATAATTATCAGTATATTGCTCTTCGTGGTTAATTTCATGGTAAATAATGATTCTTTTTATTTATTATTTTTTTACAGGATCTTGCAGAAGCGAGAACTGGATACGTTGAGGACAACATCCGAGAGATTATCAAGTGAAGTCAGCGATTTACGGAAACAACTAATCTCAGAAAAATACGAGAAGTATGTGGAAGTACTGTATATTGAAAAGATTTTTAAAGGGAATAACAGCGGAATTTGATTTGACGACGTTTTGTTACCAAACATTGCATTATGAATTCAAGTAAAGTAATAACATCAGTAGTGTCGATTTAAGTTAGAAGTTTCGCACGCTTAATGTTATTTATTTAGTTATATTTCGCCAGAAGAAATTGCGGGCTCGAAGAACGAGATTGAAAAGTCTTCGTTACAGAATCTGATCTGTAGATACTTGGGGGTGGGGGGATGTATGGCCACAGCTTTGTAGTGAGGTTATTTTTTATTTTCAGGGAGAGAGAAGCTAGGAGAAGGTCAGCACCAGTCAAATCGGGAAAAACAGGTATATATTAGATTTAATGGACCTTGTGCATAATAGACCAACTTACGATTTAGGTAACAAGAAAGAAATAAATCATTACAGCTAAAAAGAGCATACCGAAATTAGAATAATTGCCAAGTTTGGCCGCAAAATGTCAAGTATGACTCAAGCTAATTACTCATGCAATAAATCAGTGAAAACATAACTTTTATACATTCCAAATAGATTTTACTCGCTGCAAGGCACACCCGCTTTGAAATTATCGACACCTACATACCCACTATCGTCCACAAAGCTGCTGTTTGCGATACAGCTTCTGTTTCAATTTGTATGTTGTTCCATAAAAATTCCAATAAATATTTTTGAAATAATAAAAGTTAGTCCAGTTGCGTTGTGAGTTCAGTGACGTCAGTGATCGCTAAGCATAAAATGTAATATTCCTATGGTTGTTCTTCTAATATATAGTTTCCAGCAAACGTTCTGTGGACCGTGATCGCAGTAGTGACAGCGATTTCTTGCAGACCTTGCCTCGAGGAAGATCATCACCGCTATCATTCCTTGGTACTCGTCACGAAAGCGTCATATCACCAATAAACCACATCGATAAAGCCTTGTAAATAGATCCATGTAAAAATAGGTATAATTTGCCTGTTTAAAATAGGCAATATCTATAGTTAGCTCGCTTAAATATGCCACGTTGTGCTGGAAAATGGAAGACCGAGCGACTCGTCAACATTCTTAATGTTCGTTTTCTCATTTTCTATAATCTTTCTCCCTTTTGGTAGCTGGTAGGCAGGCCTTTGCGAAAATAATTTAGCGTGTTTCTCTCAGAGTGATGACGATGGAACGGGCGTTTGTATTCTGAGATACGTAACTTGAAATATAAACACTCCATGCGGTAGTAAGAAGATTAAAGGCAAATTTTAGAAATTCGAGGAAATACTAGTTCCCAATGAAGATTTTTAGGTCTGTTCACACGATCCAACTTTGCTGGATCCAATTGACTTCTGGACGCGACAAGATTTTTTTCAATGGTCCTTGATTAGAAATACTTTTGTTTGTATAACTTCTTAAAAATAGTCCAGCCCAACAGGTGCAAATTTATACAGATGTGTATCTAGAACATCGTATAGGTTTCGCTTTAAAACAGTGTAAATTATCAGTCATATATAATTTATATTTTGTATTATTTTATAACATTCAACAGCCTGTGAGTTGATAATCACAAAAGTGATAATCACAAAAAGATAAATCTCTGGTGGTTTGTGGTTTGATCACTTTGATGGGTGAAAGGGAGGCGGACTTAATTGGGAAATAGAGGGATTTGGGAAATGTCATTACTGACGAATACCACGAGTGGAGGGTCTATAAATGATATATTATACCGAAAATTTGCTGACATTGAGAACGTAAAACGTACACAATTCTCGCGAGGTGCGTGTCGACTTCCATGATTATTATTCAGCTCTTACTTCTAGCAGAATAGCAGTAAATACGTAGTGGCCGCTGTTGTGAAGGACAGCGCTGGGCACAATAATGGTAGAACGTAGTATCTACTAGTAAATACCGAAATACCATGATAAATTTAATCGGCGCGTGGCCAAAATGGCGTATTTTAATTGGACAATATGTATTTGAGGCAGTTCACTGATTTGAGGTAATTGGTAATCACTGGACTGACTGGCAGGTAATACTGACCAGTAGTGCCCAGACTTCTAATGGTGTGAATTCAATATGGCGGCCAATGTGAAACTGCTGTCTTTAGCCGCTAGTAGAGAAGTTTTTATGAGTTCAGTGCAGTTTGTTTTGGGGAACTGGCCAGCGATTCGTGTGTCCGTAGAGCAATGTTTTGGAGGACAATACAGTAGGGAGAAGGAGAGATGGTTACAAGAGGTTATATACAATGTATTTATGGAAAATGGTATGTATGTATACATTAATACTGTAAGACACATTAATACTGTAAAGGTCTGTTCACACGACCCAATTTGGTTGGGTCTATTAAATTCACTTCGTATGGAATATAGTTGGTTATTGATGAAGCAATAGTCGGCTTCAGTGGATTTGCTGCTCATATACATACATTACAAGACAACAGACTATAAAACATCCATCAGAAGTGAATTGTTGTGAACAGACCTTTATTGTGTCTCAAGTATAATAATGGCACGATTAATGAAATCTTGTTGAATTATTTGAATCATATGATGTATACCGAAATGATGTTTACCTAGTGTCATTGCTAATGCTGTCTAATAAGTATAGAAGTTTTTCGTGGTTACCTCATTAAAGACTTGTTTTTGGACAGCACTGGGACCTCACATTGGGCAGCTCAATTTTATTCATAATTATCTTCATGAGAGGCAATTTTTATCACGAATCCTGTATGGTTGGTTGTTAATCTTATAAATTATAATGCTTTATTATAGGCTCACTAGATCCTGTGGACATTGAAGATTATTTGGCAGAGATATTAACTAATGAATTTAATGTCATAATTGAAGATGGCAGCCTTGCAAAGGTATGATACATATGTAAAAAATGAATGTCAAATGCATTTGCCTTGATAACCTTGACTGGGTCCTGCAAAATAATGCAACCTGAAGTAGAAAGTCTGTGTTTAAACACAACTGCTTAAAAAAATGGTAATTGTAAAGGAATTGTACTAAATGTTTATATATTGCATTTCTCAAATAAACAATTCTCATGTATGAAATATATCATTTCTCATGTATAAAATGCTATATATATTTCTCATAATTACTATTTGAAGGTTTCTGAAAAACTGTGCCATTATTATCAACTTTGCAAGAAAGGAGAACATGTGAAGGTAGCTGAAGAAATGAACTCTATAAGATTACCGAAAATGAATGTGAAATATGAAGATGGTAATAATGATGATGTGGAAATGCAAGAAAATGGCGTAAGTTTTTCTTCTTATGAACATCATAATACTCTGGAAAATGACTTCGCGTTGATGGCTTTATGCCAGTAACATGCACCCCTGAAAAGTAACATGGAAAAGGGCTCTAAACAAGTTCAATCAACTTAACAACAATTATAACTTTTAGGAGGTTGCAGAACAACTTGAAGAATTGCAACTCACAGATGCCAGAAGTTTGCATTCAGCCAAAAAAACAACAGCTGTTTCTGAGGACAATAGTTCAGGTACAGTATGTGAAACCCATTGTGTGGAAAATTTTTGTTGCTGCAATTATTTTATAAGAACAAATTTAATGTGAGGACAGGTCTTTATATTTTATAAGAACAAATTTAAAGTGAGGACGGAGAAAGAGGCTCGATTTTGTGTTATTTTGTGTTTTGATTTTTATTCAAAAATTACAATGGCACCAAAGCAACCAAGTGTAGTGTCATGACAATTGAAGGATGAGCATTGCAAACTGTTTATTGTTATTTTTGTCTTCAGGTTTAACCAGGACAAATAATGCCTCGTGTGATGACGCAAAACGTGGCGAGGAAGACGAAGGATGGGTAGTTGTGGAACGGGGTCATAGCAGAAAAAAAAGATCATAAGTAACCCATTAAATGTATTCAATCATACCGTTCATGCAGCACTACAGTCTTGAAGTACGTTGAAATTTGCAAGTTGCTTGTACTGTCGTTGTACAGCGCTGTGAAATTACGCAAAAAAGGTATACACAGGTCGAACAGAAACGAGCTTCAAGTCAGTGCTTTTATTTGTTGGATTTCATCACCTGCCTTTCTAATTTGTTGGATTTCATCACCTGTCTTTCTAATTTGTTGGATTTCATCACCTGCCTTTCTAATTTGTTGGATTTCATCACCTTATCTTCGCGAAACGAGGACCTGCCACAGGTGATAGCTACAGAGCATTTCCAAATTTCTAGAACCTCTCCGTACTCAATCGCAGTACATGACGAACATTTTTATGTAAAAATGAATCCAAACGCAGAATTAAGTTCTTATTGGAGCAAGTAGATTTCAACTTTTACCAATATATAATGGAAACGTTTTATCATTAAATTAGATATAAGGGATTATTTGATACAGACTGGTGGTTAGTAAAGAATGCAGGATTAGGGCTAAGCAGTGGAATTACGTACGGGGTCATTGTATCATGCGATGTCGATTCCAGTACATTCGTGTTTAAAATCAGCATGTTATTAAATGACGAAATTGCAAAATATACATGTTATTTATCTTTTTTGGAACCAGAAATATAGCTAGATATATTATACAGTATATAGCCATATATTGTAATAAAATGCTAAAAAATCCACAAGAGTTTTCGTCATAATTTAAAAAAAACTCGTATTTTGTAATAAAATGCGAAAAACAGGCAAGATTGACATAACTTTTAGTTAGCCTTTATTATGTTTGGGGAAATAGACTTAGATAGTTCAGTAGATGATTTTAAGAACTTTTGCAATATTTGATAGGTCGAAAATTTCATCTTCATGACTTTGAGAGGCTCAAAGTTGGTGATTTTCACTAAAACCGCAAGATTAAAAGGACTAGGGTGTAAATCAAGATCTGGTCTTTTTGATTCCATATGGATGCATATGAATTCAGAAGAGATCTTGATTTTATGCAGTCCTGCGTATCTCTCTAACCGGCAAAGAAAATATAGGTTTAAAAGAAAAAAATACAAGGAATAATGTGTTTTAATTCAATGTATATAACGCAGCAGTCATGGGTATTTCAATCGTCAACGAGCATAAACCTCGTAGATTATGTCTGAAATCGCATATTAAGCAAATATCTGTAGTTAAACGAGAATTTATTTCGAGACATCGCTGTATAAAGAGTCGAAATACTAGCTTGTTCGTCGAATTTAAAATACGCTGAGAAAAACGTTCAGTTCAGTTCAGTTCAAAGGCGCGATTTCTGCTAAACGCGATAACAAAACAAACAGCAGCTCAACAATATTTATTTCTATTGTGCAGAAATTATATTAACTGCTGACAAATCGATCATTTTCATTATCACAACTGTCGATAGTTTTGAAGCATATTTAATTTATTACACAGACACACTCTTCGCGGGTATTATCATCTTTAATTGTAATGTGTTAAGTTCTTTATTCCCTAATCAGTAATATAATCCATGTAACCTAATCAAACGGAATCATTTTAGAGTATACATGCATGTACATACATGCAAATATATGAAAATCTGCCTACGATGTTGAGCGTGGTTTTGCCCATTGGAGACGATTAACCAGTTTTCAATTGAATTGTTCAGCCTTGTTTCATTAATGCATCGATGTATCAAGCAAACCTTTTTTTAAAATATCGTCAATATGTTGGATGGGCGTGCAATATAGGGTAACGCGTTTTCACATTAGTTTTAATACCAAAACGGTTTCAAACACCGTCAATTTACAATAAACGTTGAAGCTAATTTGACACATTAGGCATACTTTTCCTTGGATCGTGTGGACAGGGCGTCTAAAGACTAAACTGACTATAAAATAGACAAAAAAGTCTATGACTATGACTATGTGCACACAAGCGTCGTTTTCGGGCGTTTTCAAAATTTTGTCTATATTGTTTTGACGCCTTGTCCACACAGTTCAAGGAAAAATATGCTTTATATTAAAAATTTGCTTCAACTTCAATTGTAAATTGACGTTGTTTGAAACCGTTTTGGCATAAAAACGAATGTGAAAACGCTCGCCGGAAAACCTTACCGTGCATGTGCACATAGCCGCTTAGTATCGAAATGTTTGTCGGAACGAAGCGATACTGAATTCATGCGCATATACTAGCTAATAAAATTAAACATACAAATAGAATATTGTCAAATACAATTAAACACAGCCTTTGCGTTATTATTAAACATACAGCCTCAGTTGTATATTTGCGTCACAAATACAAACTTCCCAATCACTCTTAATTAAAACCGATTAGTAAAACTGTGTTTTGTTTAGCGAAGTGTTCATCACTTCGTCAGTGGCAAAGAGTACCTTGTCAACGCACGCAGCGTAACTGAAGTAATTTTGGACGTCGTACCGACAGGCAATGAGTGGAAATAGCGAAAAAACTGAACAAGATAACGACATTAGCATTTCTCTATCTAAAGGTAATTGTATAGATATTCATAGTACAATTTTTGGTATATAGTTGCAGGCGCCACAGTCGGTTGTTATCTAATACGATGCGGTAACCAGGCACACATGCATTCTCATCATTGAACGAGATTCTCAAGTACAACTTATCAAGCAGGCGGCATGCATTCTCCAGAAACGTATGTATGTCAGGAGGCAGCATTATTGATTGGTTTAAGAAATTTAGCAAAGACGTTCGTATCGCCTATATAATCGTAGTTCAACTATAATCTGTCAATTATCGTGTATATGCATGCATGTTTACATGCGACAATCAAAACAATTCTGTAATTATTAGCGTATGCGTATACTTAGCACAATATATACGTACTACCTAGTGTGTATGCATATAAAGATTTGAGTCAGGTATAGCCTGGTAAATTAGGATTCACAAAATAACTGCTATATATATATATACCAAAACTTCATGGTCATTCCTCCTCTGGGTATGTAAGTTACGTACGCAGGGTGTTCAGGTCCCACACGCAGATCTATTTCGTATATCGGTATTTGGAGATGCAGGCAAAATAATGATTCTACTTTCTAGCTAACATGCAGTTCTACCCAACTGAAACATTTGGCTATATACTGTATATATAGCTATCGTATACATTTCCACGATAGCAATTTTGGTATAGGTTGGCTGAGGCCATGCATGTTCACCTGCATGGAACCGGACGAATTGGGATCGTGCAGTCCGGTTTCCTCGCAAATGAACATGTAGAACACTAGAACCGGCCAAATTGTCATCCATTTTTACCGTTTGAACACCTGAATCTGTTATTTCAAGAAAGGAGGCAGCCTGGCAATATTCAGATGTAAACACGATTTCGAAGTGGCGAACGTGGAGATCTTGTCTCATATTATAATTTCGTATTATACAGGGTGTATAAAAAAGCTGCAAAACCACTTAATATGTTATATATACGTTCGCTAAGTTCGCTTCTGATCAATAACAAAAAATCCTAGGCCCCTCGGAATTATTAATGGTTTTTTTACACCCTGACTTAACTCGTCAAATTTACGCATGTTTCTGTTGTCATTTTTTTTAGTGAACATTTGTAATAACTCATCGAGGCGCAGCTCAGTTATACAAGCCATTCCAGATTTACAACCAGCGCAGGCGAAGACGTCTAAATGGGCACTTGTGGCGCAGAAACTTAATGTAAGTTAGTAACACATGCAGTCACTGATCCTATACGGTACTCCCAATTTTGGCTGTTTATTCGAATAACTGTCAGAACGGGAAACAGAAAATTGATTACTGATATTATAGTATTCCATGCAGAAATTTTATATGGGTAGGCCACTCAACCACTGTCAGTTGTTTTGGTAAAAAAGAGCACAACAACAACCGTGGTCTCGCTTTATTTAGTTTTTATCTTGACATATTTTTAGTTTTCACTCTTGGTTTCATGTATATATATATAACTGTAATGGACCTTTTCATAAGAATGCATAATGTAAATAGAAATGTTTGAAACTCAGACTGGGGCCGGTTGTTCGAAAGGCGTTTAGCTTAAACGGTGGACAAGTTCAAAATGGAAAAATAGATTATCGATTCATTGAACAACCGAGTTGAAATATTTTGATGTAAAAAGTTTATTTTTCAATGCAAGTACAAATTAAACGCATAAGCTACAAGTTCAGTCATTCACAAGATCCACTAGATCCATGAGAGTATTTTTAAACTTTGGCTTATCCACCGTTTAAGCTAAACGCCTTTCGAACAACCGACCTCTGATGTTTATTGCGAGTTATTTCAATCTGTCAGCAAGTATATGATTCCACTGCATGTATTTGCCTGGAGTGCGAACACAACCTGAGTAATGATAAGAAGACGCGGTTCTTTGACTTTGTGTCTAAGTTCCATCTAGCTCCGATGTAGGTGGCAAAAAATATCACGAAATTTTTGCGTTATATGTGACATGCTTCTAAACATTTTCTTTCGATTCGTCGTTCCGTCTCAGTCGGAACCCCAACGAGTGAGGAATCTAACTGGCGTTTGGATTTTTTAGCATACAAAAAGATCAAAAGAAGTAAAAAAACGTCGGAGTAGTAACGTAGATCTCGCAAATTCCCTGGATGGCAGACGTGGAAGAAATGATCTAGTCGACAAACTTGTTGAAAGCCTAAAAAAGTCTGCCGGTGATGAAACAGATCATTCAGAACAAGAAATTGCAAATTCAAGCGGGCAAAGTGACGACACTGATTGCCTGTGTCTATCACGCCTTTCAAGCTACAGAAATGTATTTCGACTTTCCGAAGTGATAGGAAGAGAACTGAAGGTAATTATTCTGTATATAATTTTCTGAAAACCTGTGTGTACAATCACTGTGCATGGTTATTAGGTGGGGTGCACGAGATATATTCAATCTTTTTTATAAGGACGTAGTAGTAAATTTGCTATGCAGGGTGGCAGGGAAGCTTAGCCCTCCCAAAATGCATGAAGAACTTTTGAGGCATATTTAAACAATAATAACTAAATAGAACATGAATAATCGGGAGTACCGGTATAATATGTTGTCAAATATATACTGGTATAAAACAGGTATATGATATGTTCGACCTTGGTGATAAAAAATAGTGCGGGTCGAATTCGACAGTGGTATAGGTCAACTGTACAGGAATATCATTATAATATTTGACCACCTTGGTGATAAAATATTAGTACAGGTCAAATATATACATGCATATGGTATATTCGACCGGCGTGATAGAAAATTAGTGAGTACTTAAATGATGAAAATGTAGCCAACCCAAATTTTGTCGAAGAAGATTTCTCATCGTTGTCATTGGCGTTCTTTGCATTTCAGATAGATCCTCTACAAAGGTTCAGACGCATCGCTCATCTTGTCAGGCTGTTGGTGAGAGTAAAATTGCTCTATCAGAGGTATTTTAACGCTAGATAATTCTAAAGGGGCCTCAGCTGCGTAATAATGCAAACATGCAAGCGCTTAAACGTTTATACACTTTGAGAATTTTTGAAATGAATTGTTATCTATTATGATTTTTGGCACTTCACTCGATGCAGGTAGATTCTAGAGGTTTTTAAAGGGTCTTAATTTCGAGTGAAATTATACACACTTTAAATTCAAGCCAGGAACAGTTGTGCAATACTCAGTGGCAAGAGCATTGCACCGGCATCGCATATAAGCGTAGGTTCGACCTGAATTGTTGTCTATACTGTCCCGTATTGCAACCACAATATTGATTTACCTTTGTTTAAAGGCGCTGTTACGCTATGCAATTTTCCTTGCAACTTGCAATGCAATTATAATTTTGAGGGATGTTAATTTGTAAAGAGTGTTCAAATGCTATGAAAATGTAGCGGATCGTAAGAAATGTTCGGATTTGACAACTTTAGATGCCCCAGGGGTAGCAATGCAAGTTGCAAGGAAAATTGCATAGTGTATTAAGACCGCCCTAATGAATATTAAAAATATGAAACATTTGAAAATTTAAACCAATGTGCAGAAGCTGTTATAAAATTCCTTAAAATTGAGACATTTAGTTTCAAGATTTATAGCATAATATTTATCGTTCAATTTTTTGTTTCTGCTAATATCAATTACTTGCGGAAATCATTAAATTGTGAAAATATCACATCTTTATTTTGGATTGGATAAATTTCATTCATTTCCTGTAAATGTTTAGATTCTGTTGTAAAGGTTCATCTCTGACAGTTGCAGTTGAAGAAATGATTGAGGACAAGATTGATAACGCAAAAGTCGAGACAATTTTTGATCCTCTTGATTTCAAAGCGTTGAAAGAGGTAGATTTCTGTTGTACGATTCCCTAATTTTATTTTAATTGCTCCCGCGCAGTTGACATCGCAAATTGATCACATGAATTTCACCTCGTTATGACTTCCACATTAGGTTCCTCTAACTAAAGATGCGATATATTTGCTCTCATTGAATCCATCAAGTCGCACAAGTGAACAAATTCAAACGGTAACGATGGAACGCTTTTGCTTATGTTATACCATGAAAGCAATTATCTGAACCATCCGAAAATGAAGAATTCCATTTCATGTTTCTGTTTTTTCTACACAGGCAATGAAGGCTGTGAAGGCAAGTGTTCCTGCCTTTAACGAATATCCATTGAAAATGCAAAGACAGCTTATTTCAGTTTGTTGGTATGAAAGGTAAAAAGATTATGCATTTACGTTTGGTCGTTTCGTTGGTTCTACCCTTTGGTTCTGCTTCATTGTTTACTAATATTTCCGCATTACGTTTCCGCATCACGCATTTGTAAATATAATTCTCGACAAAACCATTGCGGGGGGACTAACAGAAACGACAGTAACGGCCAATAACATGCATGCAAGAGAACGAAGATCAAACAGATTTAGCAAGGGGACGTGATCTCGTGAACGTTAAGGACGTAAAAATCGCAAGTAAATGGCGCAATGCACCTAATATGGACATGCCGCGTCATGTAAATCTGCATATTATCAAGGAGGTAGTGCCCCGGATCTTGGAAGCGTCACGTTCAACCAATTTAATTTAAGCGTAACGTTCCCAATTTAATTTGGGAGCGTCACGTTCAACCTAATCGCCAGATAGGTTAGTTAATACTTAGTTTAACAGGTCCTTGAATGATAGCAGCTATACTCTGGTTAGCTGATCAAGTAAACCTGTATAAATATTGTATATTATTATTATTATTATTATTAGAAAAGTGTCGCACACTATGCCAGGCACACAGTCTTAACTCAGCCTTACGTGTGTCACGTTGTCGTTTTCTCCATGCAGCATTGTTAAATAAATTTATTATTGAACTGTTTGTGCATATCCCTTAGATTCGAGGAAGGTCGAATGATAATACGTCAAGGTCACCAAGCCGAGTGCTTTTACTTTATTCTCTCAGGGATTGGTAAGAAATTGTCATATAATGTTTGGTAGTAAATTGTTTACAGTGCATGAAATGAAACTGATAAACTTACTTGGAACTTAGAAGAAGTCATAACTTTCTTGTACACATAACAAATTGTGTAAATTCGAACATGTACTTATACAATATATCTTAACTATAATGCTCCCAAATATAAATAAGCATGCAATCCATGCACTCATGCACTGATTTACAGCTCTTTTTCAATCATCGCAATTCGCAAGGGCAAATTCGGAAGCTCGCTGCGAGGGTTTTATCCAATAAAAATGCTTTTAAAATGTTAATTTGAATGAATTTAATGCAAACACTTTTGTTTGCAGCACTCGGTTTTGGGATCAGTCAAAAAAGGCCTTCGCCCTAAAATATATCGCGGTCAATGAAAATGTTTACAGGCCCTATATATAATGCGGGTTGTCGACCAGGGGCCGGTTGTATCAAGCCCGTTTAGCTTAAACGGTGGTTAAGTTCAAAATAGAAAGCAAGTCTATCGTTTTACTAAACCAGCAAACTAAATGTTTCCAACCTTAATACAAAGATATTGTTTACAACTACATATTCAGTGCATAATACTTAAGTTGACTTATTCAAGAGAGATGTAAGAGTGTTATTTAATTTTGACTTATTCACCGTTTAAGCTAAACGGGCTTGATACAACCGGCCCCAGACTGTCCAGACAGGCGTCATTAGCCCCATTTACACTACACTCGATTTATTGGCACGGCACGGCTAAAATGGGTACCCGTGCCCAATTTTACTAGTGCTCAGGGTACCAAAACAATGGCCGGGCACGGATGAAGTGGGCACGGGTACCCATTTTAGTCGTGCCGTGCCAGTAAATCGAGTGTAGTGTAAATGGGGCTATTATTTATATGTTTTACACATATTTTAGTCTTGATCAATAAGACGTTTTACATAAGGCAAGATGGTAAAGAGAGGACAAAAAGAGTTGCTCGTTTAGGAAAAGGGGCCAGCTTTGGGGTAAGGCACATGGATAATTTGCATGGAGAATTCGACTTTCATTCACTTAATATACATGCTTCATTGACAGTCCTAGCAGATTGAGAACTCCGTTTATATTTGAAACTGTGCATTAAAATCGTGCATTAGGATACAAACAAATTGCAATTCACTGAGAGTTAAGCTTCAATCATCCACAAAGAATGCAAAGTATATTTGAGAGAGTAACTTAAATAAGCTAAATAATTTCTTAACGGTTGCAGTTCTCTGAAATAAAACAAAAGCAAAAGGCAAAAACCCAGTTAATTTGAATTCCACAAGTTGCTTGCAATTTGCATGTTTACACGGCATTTTATTGTTGTAATCTTTAGGAATTGGCTTTGTTGCATCACAAATGCAGAAACGCAACCGTGGTTTGTAAAGACGACGTATCGTTGTTAGCTGTAGGGCAAAAGGTATATATACGTGCAAAGATTAATAAATGATGTTGTCTATTCATAGCCCAAGAGAAAATAGAGCTACGCCACTCTATTGACGTACTATATGAGGATAGCTTTTATTCCTAAGAATTTGTTTCTTCCTTTCCTACCTGTCACTTATTCTAAATGAGAGATTTAAAATACGAGAAAATATTTGAACATCCGGAAGAACGACTGAAATCTCAGTTAATTGGCGTTGGATAAACCTGTCATCTGTGCATGCAAAGCAGTTTCTTAACAGGCGATATCTTCCTTATAGGATTTCTGTGATATATTTATGAGTGAAGGCGAAAGGAAGGAGCCAGAACACATAAGTTACCTAAAGTAGGGAGCTTTAATGAATGATGTTTTTTCACTGAGACGAACGTTTGTATGTTAGTGTCGTGCTCCACTGATATCCCTTGAAAATGATTCTTTATCTTTTATAACACTGGTGAATCTATATGAATGTTCACCCCCTCCTGAAATACGCTTCTAGCCAGGCCGCTGGTCCAGCTGATTTGAGATGACGCCGGACGTCATAGGTCGTCACAACAAAAGTGAGTCGTCATGTGAGATGAGCCGTTTGTCAGTTTCCTTGCGTCTAAAAGTTTTAAATTAGTTAGGCCTTAGGGCACCCAATTTTTTTTTCATTACGCAATTCACTAAAAAATAAAAATCTTTCTGTAAAAACAATGGAATTATCAAGTCAAAGGTTTCAGTGAAGTACAGAAGTTGAAAAGAATGAAGGAAATAATAACTGGGTTTTGCCGGGGTTGTGGCTTCTGATTGGCTAATTTTCTTTCTCAGATCAGCTGGTTACATCGAGAATTGAATTGCGCCAAAGAACATTGGCATTGCAATAAATAATAAAATACAATTCGACAACTAGGAAGCCGCCAAATGAAGTAAAATATTAACGTAAAAATGAAGTAATAAAAATATTAACCTCTGACTTTAATTTCAACCCCACGGCATGGTTCTTCATCTGATTTTTTTTTGTTTTGTAATTTGTGAAGAAATTTCTTTTTTATTAGGTCAGTTTCTTACCTAAAGGACCTTCCCTTGAATGAACTAAGTAAACAAAGAGATGCTTGCCTATTTCATTATTTCAGGTGATGCATGATGCAAAAGTAAAATATGGTGTTTATATATAGTTTAAAAAAATAAGGAAACACACAATATATATATATAAACTACGGTATATAACGTGAAATTGTTATAAATTTCCATTATATCTATGCATCCTAGAACGACAAAATAATATAGCTTACTACTTAATTGACAATTAACAAAAACTGGAAAGTGAAAAGTAATAATTTATGTTATGTTATATTTTACATTCCTTTTATTTATGATTGTCTATTGATCTACTATTGATCGACCGACGAATTTCATCAGAGTTTTCTTATTTAGGCGAGGTTTAGTTATGGTGAACAACAGTGAGTCCGACTGGATTTACATCGCGAAAACGGTAAGGCTATTATCATATGAGACTATTAGACGTGACGTTTTCTGTACGGTGCCGACAAAAAGAAGCAAGAGTCTGCTTATACAATGCAAAGGAATTTCCTTGCAATTGGTAATCACGAGGGAGGAATCTGTTTTAATAGATATATTATGCATTCTTTTCAAAAGTTCTTTGTTTCTCTCTTTTGTCATTGCCATCCCCCTCTGAGGAAAGTCATATGCAAGTCATATGGAAGCCCTCAGAAAGACACTGAGGAGAGTATAGAGATGTCTGTCCATGAAGGTACTTGTTGAGGCAAAATGATTAAATGAAGTTACGAAGGGGTAAACTTTTACAGTCCCTTTCATCTTTCAACTTTATTTACACCCATCATATCAAATGTTACCAATTAGTGCCCCTTACATCGTAATCGGCGAAATCATAAAAGGGGTGTACTTATATGTCTTTATGTGGTCTTTAAATTTCTTCTCACTGGAGTTTTAAATAAGGAATATACTCCTCATTTTGTTGGTCGAACTGTCGAAGTATAATGCTCACTGTGCGAGGATACGATGTTTACCAGGAATATGTTTTTTCATATTTTTAGAGACATTTATAGTACATGCCAATGACTTTTTATAGGTATAAAGAAGTGTCCATGCATATTGATCCACACACATATGGCAAGATATAATACTGACACAACATATCTTAATGCATGTCATAGCTAACACGATGTGAGCTAACGCCAATATAATATTCATGCGTCAATTCATGCAGTTGCATCTGTAAAACATCGTCTTTTAAGCAAATCGCGTGAGCATCCAAGAAATATATGTCAAGTAAGAGATATCTACCATGTTTGCAAGCAACGACACATTCAAATAAACTTACTTTGCATTTAGGGATCATTTCGAGTTTTAACGAAGATAATGAAACGCAGACTAGATTCAAAACGGCCCAACACTCACATACCATTACCATTGACGAATGACTTCCCACTGATCTCTATGAGTGAAGCTGAACGGATGAGAACCATCAGTAGAGGTATGATACAAACAAGCACTTTAATTGTTTTTGATTAATTATTTGAAGATTTTTATTTCCTTTAGAATACCGCTCGAGGCCAAATGCAGGACTGCCGCCCCTTACAGCAACATCGGAGGTTAAAGCGCGTGATCAAAAATTGCCAAATCAAGCAACAATAAAAGCGGACAGCAAACATGGTGTAAGCAAAAATGCAGATTAAAATCACTGTTTACCCTAATAAGAATTGCAAGTCAGTGACCTCCTGCGAGTGGAACTTAGAGGGTGGATAAAAAAGTGTATCAGCCCCACAGCATGGACCCGCATGATGCTTCATCTGATCTGGAAATCTTCAAGCCGTGCTGTCTGCATGCAGATTTGAGATAACGCGCAAAAATGATGCATCATGGTGTAGCTAACTTCAATTTATATATATCATTGTCAGTTTAATCTGAGAACCTTGTCTTTCACATGATATAAATGACATACATTGGAGGTCAATCTCTTGCATAATAGTCTTTGAAGTCATTTTTTTGGAAATATGGATCTATATTTAGGGGAAAGGCAGGTACATTGTGGTACAAGTTGAAGTGTTGAAACCTAAAGACCAATTTGTAAGTCGTATATAGTTAGCTAATTTCATTGAGTATTTTAACGTTCTCAGCACGTTACATTCTGACGTTGACGAAAACGATTGGTGTAAGTAAAAGTAAAAGTCCTAATATGGATACCCTGTCTAATACACAATTTTATTCTTGACACACCAGGTATGGTTGTACCTTAACCTGCACCCAATAAAAAATTGCAGTAACAGCGATATAATAAATATCACTCCTATATATCTTTAGGGCCTATCGTCGCTGCTGTTCAACTCGAAATCTGTTCAATGCCATCTGGTAGGTTACCTCTTCGCATGCAAAATGCCTGTAAATCGGTTCAAAGCGACTTAGAGAAGGGTTAAATTAATAGGGTTAAAAATAATATTAATTCGGTTTTGTGTGGGTCACAGCAGTGAAACTTTCACTCATGCATGAATCTCTTGACTTCTGTAGTTTGTTCAGCAATATCATAATATACTTTTTGGCGCAGTATCGCATCGTCCAAAGTATGTTATGAGCATTTATTCTGTCGATCGTCGTTTGTTTATCATTTTTACTGTGATTTTTTGTCCCAAATAAGAATTTTTTCGCAGAGAATAAAAGAGATCTCTATAGTTAAAAATATTAAGTTGTTTAAAACAAAAGTTGGAACGTGATATATTGAAGAAAGTGCAATATGAAAAATATTCACGGGGAACAACCACCATGCTCCATTTGATCGAATTCCTCAATTTTTCTCTTGCACTGGCTTGACATATCATAAAAGGGCTTTCAATATTTAATATACTATGCAACTTTATAACGTCTTCATGATCAGAAGGTATTAAAGAATGAAATTCGAGCTTTCAAATCGAGCAAAGCAAATGTTCATTCAACAAGAGTTCAAAGAGAAGCACTTCATACATTTTCGCATACTGAAATCAGATAAATTCTTCCCTGATTTTTCGTTTCCGCCAATTATATTTACTCCACTGCTATGCAGAATTGATATGAATAGTTTTAATGTTCTATATAATGTTCTTTAATGTTCGTATCCTATACATAAGTACTTCCAATTTTAAGATAATAATTATTTTTTTCAATCGAAGGTAAGCAATGGTGGAGAATGCATCCTTATCTCCAAAGAATGGTTATTGAGGCACGCAAGTGAAACCACACTAAGAAAAATGAGGGCCCAGGTATTTAAGTCTTGATTGACAAATTGAATATTCGCCACATAATCTTCGCGTGTTTATTGGGTATATAAGAGGGTGATTGAGTCACCTCTTTCAGACTATAAAGTTGAAAAAACTGAATTGTTGAGAGCTGAAACCTAGTGCTTGGACATATTTAGAGTTGGAGTTCTTTTACTTAGCTATATTCACAGATTTAATGGCGATATTGTACTCCTGCACGGAATTAAAGCATGTCAGTTTTATACATGATATTAATTTTATCATTGTCTTTATATTATGTTTATTGTTTACTTTAAATTATTTCCCACGTCATTCCCCAGATCCCTCCATACCCAAGTCAGGAAGAATTGCAACAGCGTCTGGTAGATCAAGCTAACTGGAACTTCTATAAAAGTCAAACACTTAATGACATTTTACAGACTTAAAGGATGATTATCGATGCCGGTTTAGTGGTCTATACATAGCGTATTTTTTATACGCGAGTATATAATCCTACGAAATGTGCTATACGTGCCAAATTATATAAAGTAAACCTTCTTTTCGTTGACAAAGCAGTCAGTTGGACAAAGCGGGCACAGATTCTTCTTTATCGAGAACAAAGCAAGAATGGTAATGAGTGATGATCGTAATGAGTGATGAACTCTGGTCTATTTCTTTTTGAAAGTTTCGTACAAGAATGTAGTCAACCCACCTGCCAGCAACGAAACCAAACAGAGCATTCAGTAAAGGAGATATCAACTTGCAAAAACCTCTTGAACATCTGAACAAACTGCAGTAAAGCGTACGGTTAGTTGTCAAAGTGCGATGAAGGATACATGTGAAACGTGTGCGATGAGAAAACAAGCGATCTAACCCATTCCAAAGAAAGTTGAACACAAAGCGAAGAAAGCTCGCGACCTTATCAGTTCACTGGACCTCAACTATTCAGACATCCTATAGGTCCTTTCGAAGTGGCTCGGTTTAAGTGCATGGAAATACGCAGTTACATTCGTCGACGAATACACGCAGTCGAATTACGCAGTCGAAGTGCGTAGTCGTTAAGAACATCAGGCACAAATTTATATATATTAGTACAAAAATAATCTTTAGTTGCACTTCTGATAATACGTATTATGTTCTGAACTAAACAAAGAATAAATAGTACAAGCATGTGATTTATTAATACTTTTCATAGACTAGATTTTCATCACAGCTTTCCTTAAGACTTTTACGAGAAAATATTGAATGCATTTTATTGAATGCATTGAAGCTTTCCATGCAAGGGATTGACAAACATGTGGCAGTTATTAGCGAGAACATTGTATTTTCCAAATTCTTGCTTGTAGGCGTTACACTCCTGCACCTGGTCACTTGAACATCGACTCTTACCTTTGGGTGTAAAATCCCAGGTTATACCACACATTGATGGAGAGCGATTCATGCCGTCTGGCAAAGGATAAGCGCCGCTTCCCCATTCATATATTTTTCCTCGAAACAGTAGAAGGCTGTGCTTTATTTCATAACAACCGACCATATCAGACTTTTTTCCACTTTTTGAGTCTGGCTTGACACAGCAGCCCAGGAATAAATACTTCTTCGTCAAAAAAAAATCTCGGAGAATTTAAATAAAGTGAAAAAATGTGAATTTTTTCAGTCTCGGGAAAATCACCCTGTCAAATTTTCGTGAAGAAAAATTAAGGTAAGTAAACATGAGGTTTTTAAAAACGGAAAATTTTTAATTTTTTTTTCCATCTGACTTTCTTCATTTTAAGGCCTTTTAGAAGACACATGTTTTTAAAACTTTTTTACTTGTGCTTTTCTTTCTATTTTCAGGTACCTTTGAACGCGATAATTTTTTTCCATTTTTTTAATTTCAAATTTTTTATCAATTTACAGTCTTTCTCAAAGACCGAGAAGTCTTTTAACTGTTTTAAACTTCCAAATCACACCAAAATTTTCCAGGCTAATTTTGTTGCATTGCCAGGAGTTAAAACGTTTGTCGTCGGAGTGAGGGACAAACGTCTTAACCACTAGACCACCACATCATATGTCGAAAGCTATTGTTCTCTATTTGACCTAATCCTTTTCGAAGAATTTTAAATTAAAGTAGTATCGGTTGGAAAAATCAAACCTTTCCCATGCAGGATTCGAACCGCAGCCTTAACCACTGAGCTACCGCAAAAACTTCTATCAACATACAATCTGATGGCGCAGTGGTTAAAGCTACTGCCTACTAGGTTGTGAGGGAGGGTTCGAGTCCTGCGTGGGAAAGGTTCCATTTTTCCAACTGAAATTACTATTTAATTTAAAATTCATCGAAAAGGATTAGGTGAAATAGAGAACAATAGCTTTCGACGAATGACGCGGTAGTCTAGTGGTTAAGACGTTCGTCTCTCAATCCGAGGACAAACGTTTCAATTCCTGGCAATGAAAGAAAATTAGCCTGAAAAATTTCGGTGTGATTTGGAATGTTTAAAACAATTAAAAGACTTTTCGGCCTTTCCGAAAGACTGTAAATTGAAAAAAATTTGAAATCAAAAAACACATAAAAAATAATTGCGTTCAAAAGTACCTGAAAATTGAAAGAAACGCACAAGTAAAATAAGTTTTAAAAACACATGTTTTCTAAAAAGCCTGAAAATGAAGAAAGTCAGACGGAAAAAAAATTAACAATTTCCCGCTTTTAAAAAACTCATGTTTACTTACCTTAATTTTTTTTCACGAAAATTGGACAGGGTGATTTTCTCGAGACTGAAAAAATTTAATTTTTTTCACTTTTTTGAAATTCTCTTAGATTTTTTTTTGAAGAAAAAGTATTTTGTCTTGGACTACCTGTGTCTGTCTTGGGCTACCTGTGTCTGTCTTGGGCTACCTGTGTCTGGCTTGACACAGGTAGCCCAAGACAAAATATTTTTTCTTCAAAAAAAAATCTAAGAGAATTTCAAAAAAGTGAAAAAAATTAAATTTTTTCAGTTTCGAGAAAATCACCCTGTCCAATTTTCGTGAAAAAAAATTAAGGTAAGTAAACATGAGTTTTTTAAAAGCGGGAAATTGTTAATTTTTTTCCGTCTGACTTTCTTCATTTTCAGGCTTTTTAGAAGACATGTGTTTTTAAAACTTATTTTACTTGTGAATTTCTTTCAATTTTCAGGTACTTTTGAACGCAATAATTTTTTTGTGTTTTTTTATTTCAAATTTTTTTCAATTTACAGTCTTTCGGAAAGGCCGAGAAGTCTTTTACCTGTTTTAAACATTCCAAATCACACTGAAATCACACCAGGAGTTGAAACGTTTGTCCTCGAATTGGGAGACGAACGTCTTAACCACTAGACCACCGCGTCATTTATCGAAAGCTATTGTTCTCTATTTGACCTAATCCTTTTCGATGAATTTTAAATTAAATAGTAATTTCAGTTGGAAAAATGGAACCTTTCCCATGCAGGATTCGAACCCACCCTTACAACATGGTAGGCCTTAGCCTTAACCACCTGGCCATCGGATTTATGTTGATAGCAGCCTTAATATATGTATATAAATGTTTTTTCGGTGGCCCAGCGGTTAAGGCTACGGCCTACCAGGTTGTACGCGTAGGTTCGAATCCAGCATGGGAAAGGTTCGGTTTTTCCAACTGAAATTACTATTTAATTTAAAATTCATCGAAAAGGATTAGGTCAAATAGAGAACAATAGCTTTCGACGAATGACGCGGTAGTCTAGTGGTTAAGACGTTCGTCTTTCAATCCGAGGACAAACGTTTCAATTCCTGGCTATGAAACAAAATTAGCCTGAAAAATTTCGGTGTGATTTGGAAGGTTTAAAACAATTAAAAGACTCCTCGGCCTTTCCGAAAGACTGTAAATTGAAAAAAATTTGAAATAAAAAAACACAAAAAAAATAATTGCGTGCAAAAGTACCTGAAAATTGAAAGAAACGCACAAGTAAAATAAGTTTTAAAAACACATGTCTTCTAAAAAGCCTGAAAATGAAGAAAGTCAGACGGAAAAAAAATTAACAATTTCCCGCTTTTAAAAAACTCATGTTTACTTACCTTAATTTTTTTTCACGAAAATTGGACAGGGTGATTTTCTCGAGACTGAAAAAATTTAATTTTTTTCACTTTTTTGAAATTCTCTTAGATTTTTTTTTGAAGAAACAGTATTTTGTCTTGGGCTACCTGTGTCTGTCTTGGGCTCCCTGTGTCTGGCTTGACACAGGTAGCCCAAGACAAAATATTTTTTCTTCAAAAAAAAATCTAAGAGAATTTCAAAAAAGTGAAAAAAATTAAATTTTTTCAGTCTCGAGAAAATCACCCTGTCCAATTTTCGTGAAAAAAAATTAAGGTAAGTAAACATGAGTTTTTTAAAAGCGGGAAATTGTTAATTTTTTTCCGTCTGACTTTCTTCATTTTCAGGCTTTTTGGAAGACATGTGTTTTTAAAACTTATTTTACTTGTGCGTTTCTTTCAATTTTCAGGTACTTTTGAACGCAATAATTTTTTTGTGTTTTTTTATTTCATATTTTTTTCAATTTACGGTCTTTCGGAAAGGCCGAGGAGTCTTTTACCTGTTTTAAACATTCCAAATCACACCGAAATTTTTCAGGCTAATTTGGTTTCATTGCCAGGAGTTGAAACGTTTGTCCTCGGATTGAGAGACGAACGTCTTAACCACTAGACCACCGCGTCATTTGTCGAAAGCTATTGTTCTCTATTTGACCTAATCCTTTTCGATGAATTTTAAATTAAATAGTAATTTCAGTTGGAAAAATGGAACCTTTCCCATGCAGGATTCGAACCCACCCTTACAACATGGTAGGCCGTAGCCTTAACCACCTGGCCATCGGATTTATGTTGATAGCAGCCTTAATATATGTATATATATGTTTTTTCGGTGGCCCAGCGGTTAAGGCCACGGCCTGCCAGGTTGTACGCGCAGGTTCGAATCCTGCATGGGAAAGGTTCCATTTTTCCAACTGAAATTACTATCTAATTTAAAATTCATCGAAAAGGATTAGGTCAAATAGAGAACAATAGCTTTCGACGAATGACGCGGTGGTCTAGTGGTTAAGACGTTCGTCTCTCAATCCGAGGACAAACGTTTCAACTCCTGGCAATGAAACAAAAATAGCCTGAAAAAATTCGGTGTGATTTGGAATGTTTAAAACAGTTAAAAGACTTCTCGGCCTTTCCGAAAGACTGTAAATTGAAAAAAGTTTGAAATAAAAAAACGCAAAAAAATCAAACCTTTCCCATGCAGGATTCGAAGCTACCCTCAAAACCTGGTAGACCGTAGCCTTAACCAATGGGCCATCGGATTGTATATTGATAGCAGTTTTAGTACATGTCTTATTGCGGTAGCCCAGTGGTTAAGGCTTTTTGTAGGCCTATTTAGAATTTTATAAGTTGGGTTAAACAATAGGAGCAAAAATTCGCGAAAAAATAATTGAAAACTGCAACAAAGGTGACTTCAATAGCTTTGGGTTTTTTTGGGACACCCAGTATTGTCATTATTGTCCCAGGCTTAAATATAGTTATTACGGTTATGACGTGTATATCTATATTTTAAAACAGGCTGTCGAAAAACATGAGCCAAATTCCAAAGTGACTTTAATCATAATTATTTAATTATTATATAAATCACAATTTACATGCTGCATGTAAAATTTAAAAACCTTGAACAAATGTACATTGTAAGTGTTTATCAATTACAGGTATATAAATTTACTACACAATACTTTCGAGGAGTAAGACAAAATTATTTCATATATCACGAGGAGCATTACCGTGGTCAATCAGGTCAATCTTCGGTTGCTAGGATTTAAAGCTATATCTGAAGACCACTTAAAATGATGCATGCATGCGTGAAGCCGACGACATACACCGGACGCGATCGGGCAACGCGACGCGATTTTTACGAATTTTTCAGTTTTCAAAAGCAACTATGCTTCATCATGTTATGATATTCTTGACAATTATTGAAAGATAGAACATTTTAACAACAAAAAATCGCGTCGCATTGGCGAATCGCGCCAGTGTGTTTTCACTAGATTTGGCTGTTTTTCATTACATTCCTTAAAAAACAAAGCGCACTTCGCCCGTGATGGAAAATTACCTTAATCACGAAAAGAATTCCCCTGGTTCAATTTGTATCTCAAAAAAATTTATGCGAGATCAGATAATTTTTCTCCAAACTACTAATTTTTTCTGCAAAAGTGACCCGTTTGATCGAGGACCTTATTTAGCAAAAAATTGTTTTCTATACATTATCATAAAAAGGTTATAATCATAGGCTTATTCCTCAACAGAAAATTATACACATTTCGACAAGTAAGATTAATCAAATTTAACACCGCTAAACGGTAATTTGAAATGCACTTTGAACAAATGAATATTCTACCGATATTCGGGTCATAAGACATTACGTCATATTAAGCTTCTACCAAAGGATCATCATCAGAAAAACCTTGGAGAAGAGGTGTATCGTCATCGTCTTCCTCTAAACAAATTTAGAAATGAGAATATTTCACGTTTTCAGAGCGCGAGTTCTGAAGGAAAAGACAAAGACGAATCAACAGCACGTGGCCGACATTTGGAAGAATTAAAACACGATAATAAAACATATAAACAATAAAAATCTTCTATTAGGACTTATTTATTAGGATCATTACCGTGTAAAGAGCAATGGCAGTATTACTCTACTTCAGTGGCGGGCCCAACTCGCCTGAAGAAGTTTTGGGCGGCGGGGGCGGGGGTGTTAGAATAAGGCACATTCATTTTTCCTTATGCAGTGCCCACAGGGCTGCCCTGACTGGATTACGCGGATACGGCTGGACTTGGATTAGGCAAAGGCGGATACGGCTGTTCCCAAATCGGACCCATATAGCCTCTCCAATCCGGGAAAAATCTTGTGTGATGAAATGCTGGCTACAGACGAGCCTGTTTTCTTATAACGGTTTTATATGATATTTTTGTTTACTCGCTTCTATGGATTAATTTTTTTGAACTTTTTAATAATCACAAGATTCCAGACTCCGTAGTGAGAAGGGGGACAACAAAATCTTAGAGTACCGTAGAGGCAATTTCCTTCGTTTTTTAGGTGATATTTTGTACTGAAATTGAAAACATTATACATTAACCTTAAAAACCCAAAACATGCATATCTAGGACCAGGGCAAATTGCCTCTCTTTGTCCTACCCCGTCTCTAGACAGCGCCGCTCGTTTGTACAAAAAGAGGGCATATGCACATTCTTGTAAATTGAAAATCGAGCGCGGCCAATGAAAATTTGCCATGAAAAAAGAACTTGTCTATAACCGCGAGCTAAAATCTATAGCATTGTGGTACATTTCTGCAAAATATAAAAGTTGGTAAATTTCTTACCGACATTATGATATGTAATCCCACGATCAAAACTGTCGCTCCGAACGAGACGATAGAAGCTACGATGCAATCTTCGTGACTTCACAACGAAGTATACCAGAGAGATAACCAAGACAGCAAACACTACCCCAACAGGGATGGCCCACATCAACGTCTTCTTTGTTGAGTGTGAATCTGAACTTTGTGCATGAGCAACTACATGAAAAAAGACTCAATACAGTTAGACGGTTCAACAAAGTCTGGGCATGACACAGGCGGTCCGATTATTTTTTTTATATTCACGTTAAATTAAAAAAACAACTTTTGGACGTTGAGCACGTCAGCAACTAAAGTTTCGGAATAGAAACATACACGAGAAACGAGAATACACACGATCGAGGCCAAAAGACTGAGGTCAATGAAAGTTACTGCAGGAAATCAAAATGGCTCGCCGTATAGATTTGCTCGCATACATGACGAGTTTTGTGGAAGCGAGTAATAAATTCTCAATATATATATATATATATATATATATATATAATATATATATATATATATATATATATATATATATTAGCTTACAGCCTCAAGAAACACTGTCCTTTCGACAGGGGTTGCAGCTACCAGGGGTGCATGTGCATTCCAATCTTTTTTGACAGCTTTAATATGGATTTTTACATGCATACACAAAAAATTATTATCACTGATAAACTAAACTATATTATACTATAACCAGAAGAATTTTCTTGTATATATACCAAATATGTATTTTGAATCATATATGAGTAGAGTGCTCGATATATCAAAGTTGGTTTACTTCATATTATTTTATTCACTACAAATTTGTTTCGTATAACACGCAGTTCTTGCCACATTTATCAGGTGAATTTTTTTTTCACCTGATAAGTGTGGCAAAAAAAGTTGTGTTACCTGGTGCAACTTTTCTGGTGCTGGTTCCTAAAAAATAGCAATAAAATAAAAGGAATTGAAAACGTAAACAGCAGCTTTCCCAAAGACCTTTCAACGCCTGGCTGAGGGATCATTTGCAAAACCGGGAAATGACGAGCAAGTTAAGAATGCCGGGTTTCGCAAAAAGTATCGGTGTTTGTTATGCTTTGAAACTGAATAAGCTAGGAGTTTTAATCAAATAGACTTCACTGAATTCCGACCTATAAATTAAATTTTTATCTTTGACTTGAATATATTTGAGCAATGTTGAACGAAATACAATGCATGCACGGTTTCATTTCATTTTGAAAACGCCAAATATAAATATATATTGTGTCTGGAGTTGTGCCTGAAATTTGAAGGGAAACATACAATCAATAAATCAGCAAGTAATCACAATCATACAATGATACTATAACAATAATTATTATAAATTTAAAAGTATTCACAGTCTTTGATTCCAACGTGTGACGTCATAACATGTGATACGAAATTTGATTAGCTTAAAAAAACTATCGAGACAAATCAAACTTCGTGTAACATCGGAATTTGCGCGTTTGACTTCATTATGAAAAAGGTCTATTGCCGCTCATCAAAATCATGATGGAATAAAGCGGTCGTAGAAGTTATTAATAATAGTGCTAAATCTCATTCGTTGTGGACGTGTAATGAAATAAAACATAAGATATATCTCGTCCGATGTAAGATTTGTCCGATATGAAATTTTAAGTGTCGACTGGAGCTTAATAGCTATATACGAGAGGGCCGCATCCCAAGAATACCGATTTATTAACCATTCATTGCTTTTACGTACTTACCACACCATTCGTCGGAGCCATCAATGCAATCCTCCTTACCATTACACTTCAATTTTATAGAAATACATTTACTTCCGTCTTGACAGAGGTATAAATTTTTCACATCATGACAGGAGTGTACTGTGGTCATTTTTTTAAAAAGAAAAATCCCGCATTAGAAAGGGGGGGATTTGGAACTACATCATACTCATTGACAAAATAATTTACTATACTATCGTACTTCATATTTACATATATACAACAAAGGAGCGTGTTCCGTTTCATACATTTCAGTCAGTGACGCACGCTCGCAAGCCTGAGTGTATATCGAGTATATATTTATACTTTACTACACAACCAATGCAAAAAATAAGACTGGACGCACATACTTCTGTGATACTCCAGTATTGTTTGCACATAGCAAATGTGAAAATCGTGATAAAATAAGATGTTTTAAATTACACTAATAATTAATTGTTTTATTGTAATCACAAAATGTGATTATACATACAGGGTGAGTCAAAAAAAATGGACACCTTTGAAATTCAAATTAGCTGCGAACTTATGGCTGGAATTTGACAATTCCCATGTACAATCAGCAAAAACGATTTGATAATACTGTTCTTTTGTATTTACAGAGCTTAGAATGCATTTTAACTCCCAATGGGAACAAACTTTATGTCTTAGGTTAATTAATATGATATGCTTCGTATACCTATGAAATATTTTAAGCAACTTCTGTCACATTACAGCCGCTATGCGACTAATTTGAATTTCAAAGTGTCCGTTTTTTTTTACTCACCCTGTACCATTACTATATACAGGGTGTCCCAAAAAAAACCGCAACCACTTAAATATGCAAAAATATTAATATTGTTCGGGTTTGCACCATACAGGGTGTCCCAAAAAAACCCGAAAACTATTGAAATCACTCATTGTTAAAATTTGAATGCGGTGTTCACGAATTTCAGCCCGTGGGGATTTAATTAATGCAACTTATAAAATGCTAAATGCTTTGTGTTGCTAGAAAAAGGGGACCTGTCGAAGGTCATGGTCCTTGAGATGCACATTTAAATAATGTTATCCATATTTGTAAATAGTAAATTGTAAATATGGTTAATAAATATCATTTGTGCGAACAAGCAAATTTTAATGCATCATATGCATGCATAAAAATGAGTATGGTAAACATTTACACACCTGTGGGTCCCAACAGAGTGCTTAGGCATTCAAACTCTAACAATTAAATTGTTATGGGTGATTTCAATAGTTTTCGTTTTTTTGGGACACCCTGTAGTTCAGCTAAAATGACTTTTGGCATTGTAAATGAAGGATTAAGAGCCATTTTCAATTCCCAGAGGTGCTTATCTATTGCGCTTTAGAGCTGTATTAATATTCTGGCATATTTAAGTGGTTGCGTTTTTTTTGGGACACCCTGTATACACTAGCTATATATACAATTATAAAGAATTTCATACCACAGTTGATTTCGTCTGATTTGTCTGGGCAGTTCGGGTATCCATTGCAACGTGCTTTCCCAACGATACACATACTTTTATCCTCGCACATGAAATCGCTAGGGTTTTTACATCCTATAGAAAAACAAACATGTTCGTATTTAGCTTCGATTAATTATTACTGCAGTTTGTACCTAATGATGCACGACGCTTTTCCAACGTAAAACGCCATTGTTTGCGCAATTATACAGGGTGTATCAAAAAACTGCAAATACCATAATTTGTATGCATGCACTTTAGAATTTCAATGACTGTGCAACTAATTACGCTTCTGTGATTTGAAAATACGTTTCCCAGGGTTATCAAAACAAGCACACAAAGTGAATTAAAATTAGGTCGATTACGAATGTCTTAGCTAACAACAGAGGAAAGAGTATTTCTTGTTTTAAAGTACGCCCAAACTCAAATCGAAACCCGTAATCGAACTCATAAGTTTAATTCACTTTGTGTCCTTCTTTTGATAACCCTGGGAAACGTATTTTCAAATCCCAGAAGCGTAATTAGTTGCACAGTCATTGAAATTCTAAAGTATAATCTCGTGCATACAAATTATGGTATTTGCAGTTTTTTTGATACACCCTTAATCACATCCTTAATACAACCTTGATACATCTTAAACACTACAAATTATGAAAGCACATGCAGTATAAGTATCTATACCTAATATGAACTATAGTTTTGTGATTGGCTTTTTGTAACAATAGTGGACAGTGTTTATGATTCGTTCTTTTAGAAATAAATTTCAATAGTTCATTGTGTTTTATTGTTATCATCAACCAATAGCAAAGCTTGTTCATATAGGCTGTGATTACTGTGCCTCGATGTCCACCGAAAACTATAACATCGCATTTAACATGTAACAAATACTCTGGGGCCGGTTGTATCAAGCCTGTTTAGTTTAAACGGTGGATAAGCTCAAAATAGAAAGCAAATCTATCGTTTTATTCAACAAGCAAACTACATGGTTTTAACCATAATACAAAGATACTGTTTACAACTACATATTCAGTGCATAATATTCAAGTTGACTCATTCAAGAGAGATGTAAGAGTGTTATGTAATTTTGACTTATCCTGTTATCCACCGTTTAAGCTTCACGGGCTTGATACAACCGGCCCCTGATGTAAAACGACGCTATGTTAGTGTTTTTAGATTTTAGCCAATCAGAGCATGTTAAACATGATTTGCTAATTATCCAAATGCTTGCAGAAAAGGTAGTGTTTTTATTATTGCTCTCCGTCCTCAGATATATTTGAACATGATTGTGCATAAAAAACTGAACTTTATTTCTAGCTCTATTAAATAGCAGAAGCCACTGCAACTCTAAATTCTATCGTTTGATATAGCGAACTTTTGCGTAGAACGTAACTGAATATCACATTTTAATTTTATTTTCTATATAATGAAGGTAATTTGGACCTTACCTTTGTAGTGATGTGGACAATTTTTCTCATCAGAATGGTCTTGACAATCGTAGTCCCCGTTACATTTCGCGGTCTGATCAACACACTGTCCGTTTTTGCAGCGAAAGTCGCTAGGAATCGGGCATGCTGTACGATCTTAAAAATCCCAAGTAATTTTACTTGAATTGGGTCGAGCAAATAATGCGTAAGATGTAAGGTGAGGAATTAATTAAGAGCAGGGCATACGTCGGTCAATGTAAAGTCTTGAGCAAAATCTATAGATTGAAATCCTGAAATATGTTCTCAGTTCGAAAAAAGCCCAATCGCCTTCAAAGATCATCTGGAAACAACACAAATATGCGAACACGTACTCTCCCAAGTATAAGCATCTAGTTATGACCCTGCAAATATACTGCGCAGAGACATTATTCAAAAATAAAATTTCAGCGCTAAACTGATATGGGTGCTAAAAGAATGATAAGGGTGGTATATTCGTAGTTTTTAAGTCCAGCATATCGGACGCCTCGTGATAGCTCGCAATGCAACCCGTTAGAATAACGTCATTTCTGCCATCGCGAGGTTTTGGTTAAAGTGGCTATTATCACGAGGCTGCTCACATACAAAATATAATCTTTATAAAAAATCGACTTCGATTTGTTTACATTCTAAATTTGACACAGCAGCATAAGCATGCAGATATAATAAGAAAATTTTACTTACTTTTGCAGATATTCTCATCAGCCCCATCCTGGCAGTCTTTCTCGCCATCACACAAATTATCCCTAGGAATACATCTTCCTCCAGGACAAGCGAACAGAGTTTTGTTATTATTACAAATACTCTGGCCTCCTAAAGAAGAAAAATATATATACTGGTGTAGGAAGATAAAAGTGATCAGTTGACTTATGATCTATGCTGTCTAGAAATAAGTGTGAGAGTGCATGCATGAGCGCTGTTAAAAATTACATTTAGCATTCCTATTGCAAAAGACCTCCGCGATCCGTAAGCGTAATATCTATCTGCATGGACAGTTCACAGATAGTGCGTAATATACTTAATGTTGAAAAATTTACAGCGGATATTCACTACAGTAATTTTCTTACCACAACCCTCTTCATCTGATAAATCCCCGCAGTCATTATTCCAGTCGCATCTCATATTCATAGGTATACAGAAATTATTTTTGCATAAGAATTCGTCGGGTGCACACGACTTTCCAGCTACATTGACATGAAAATAAAACAATTAGTAAAAACAAATTGTTCCTCATCAGTAAAATCACTGCCGGAGTTTTCGACGATACATCTAATGTGCGCACCATTCCAAATAATTCTTTCTGCATTTCATTCCATTAGACATTGACAGTCGGTTATAGTGGTGTATAGCCCGCGCAATTTAGCACCAAAATATTAGCGAGCAGTACTAAATCTTACTGCAGAAAATATATAGGGCCGAGCCGTTCCTATAATATATTTGAACATGCAACCCTGAGCTATAGCTATAACAGTAAATTTCATCATGAATTACTGGAAAATATGCAAATGTTATCGGGCATTCTTCAAGATCATTGGTAATGTTGGTAAACTGTGATTTAATTATTGGCAGCATCGGTTGACAGCAACAGCATGCAGTAATTTGGCTTCTGTGATTTCATCCAGGATTAGCATCGTGTTGTTTTACACAGTGCCATAATTTTCAGAATGCGTTAGTATTATGCAGGTTGTTTAATTCTTCAGTTCCGTGCGATTGAATTCACGCACAAATTGCAATAATTAAGATTAATTAAGATTATCAGTGTAATAATTAGCAATCTTCAGATTAATAATCTGACATATGAATATACTGCTATAGCTTTCTCATGCGATTTATTATAGGTTATACTTATATATTTAATATGAAAGCCCTCCAAAGATCGGCTGACTTACATGGTTTGTAACAAGTGCCATTCTTCATTGTTATCAAACCACCTTTACATCGGCATTCTTTAGTCTTTGAATCTGGCTCGAAGTCATCTCCACATTCGCAAGCATATTGATTGTTCGGTTTAGGAAAACACAGTTGAGAACATTTTATACCTGAACACGAGCTTTTGGCTGTAAGAAAATTATAAAAATAGCCATTCATGGGCATCAGCGAGAATGTAAAAATAACTATTAGAAACGATATGATATATAGACCCATGAGAGTTGTTCAGGGTATTGAACTCCCTCGCGTTAGAATTCATTCTTCAACACCCGTCGACCCCATGCATGCATTAATATTTTTAGCACTCTCTTGACTCCTATATATATACATCATGGAGCATTGAACTAGTTCAAATTTTTATGCATGGGTGCTTTTTCTAGTTTCGTGTTCTATTTCCCGGGTTCTCCAGTGGAGCGGAGGTAAAAGACCCAGGGTACGAGGTTGATATATATGCAGCTTACCAACTTGGCTACTGTTATAATACACTTTGATCTCGTATCTGCTTTTGCTAGGCATGCCGACAGCTTTTTTAATCAGAGTGGACGGCTTCCCTTTGAAAGATTTGTGTATTTGGTAAACGTTTCCAGTTTGCCAGTCGTCCCAATATACATATTGATCGTCCACAGCAATGGAGTACGGATGTTTAAGGATGCTGATCCATTTGAAATTATCAGTATGTGAACTTCTGCTTGCGAGGATCTGCATGTAAGATCAATGATTACATATTGTTTTAAGGCCTCTTGCATCAACCACTTGCCAAAGAGTTGGGCCACGTTTGACACGTTGAAATAAAAATGGAGGGTGTGCATTTTCAACTTATATACAAAATGCTTGTGCGCGGAGTTTGACCGGCATGCCTGTCCTGGCGCAATCTTTTTCGTAAAGCTGATTTGAACAAATTTTGAGCATTATAATACAGCTACCTAGGCTACTAAATTAAATCATTTATACTGAGTTTTGAAAGCATTTTCGTTCATTTTACTTCACATGCTAGAACCAAAAGATAAAGCTTATGGAGCTGCATGCTTCCCAAAGGTAGGAGCGATTTCGGTTATTTTTTCTTTTTATGCACTCCGTATTTAGTTTGGATTCATCCTTCAAAAATTAAAAGGAATAGCACCCAAAATCTCGGACACAGCTAGTAACTTGCGAGATCACAACGGAATACACCTAAAGAAAGCTACATGCATGTTAACGACACGGTATATGATATATATTTACCTTGCTAGTGTTGGTAATCAGGTCGTACTGGCCAATGATATCTTTATAGGCGTCCGTGTAGTAGAGATTTCTCGAACTCTTTGGGTTATATATATCAATAGCCAGCCCATTTGGCCACACAAGGTCTTTGTCGACCAAAATCCTCCTGTTTTTTCCATCCATATCTGACATCTCTATCTTGGCAGTGCTTCCCCAGTCAGTCCAAAACATCTGCCTGTAAGAGAAAGTTACTCTCGGTTATTTTGATCTCGCACGCGGGGACTTTGACTTGAAATCAGGTCATGCGGGTAACTACACTGTATGCAGAGAATTCCCACACATGCGGAGATCACATGAAAGATCTGAGATCACATATACAATTGAGGATTATAAGCTGCGTGTATACTTCATGACTAGCATACGTACATGTAGATAGAGTTAAATAAAGATAGAGACTTGTATAGGCACAAGAACAAAAAACTAGAATCCTAATGCAGGAATGAGGGAAAGCCAAAGCCACTAGAGAATTAACGGCGGTTCCTTTTTTGTAATAGATTGTGGAACCGGTCACAAAAACCGAGGTAAGCCCACACACAGTACTTACCCGTAAGGTGGATCTAGTGCCAGTGCGCGAGGTCTATCAAGATCATCAGAATGAACAGTTTTTCGGTAGCGACCATCTTTTCTGCAAACTTCGATCACCTTTTTACCCGCATCAACCCAGTAAAGATTATCGGTGGTCCAATCAAAGTCCAGGCCTTCGACTTGTTTAACTCCAGCGATTGTCATGTCAGCTAATAACAGAACTTCCATTAGACACCAAGGAAACCTCAATGAGATAAACTTATCATAAAACAATTATAAGATTAAAAATCTCACCACTATCGCCATCTAATTTGCGTCTAAAAATCTTGTGGTCCTTCATATCGGCCCAGTAGATATAATTCTCTTTCTTATCATACGCCACAGCGACGGCAGCACGGAGACCCTCAACCGCAGTCGATCGACTTGAATTCACCAAATCCATGTATTGGATTTTAGTTCGCTCGGCATACAAAAGAAACGCTGAGTCAACTTGAAACAGAAAAAAGTTCACCGTTTTATGATCAGTATATTAATTGAAATCGGAACGCAAGAGAGGGGAAAGGTGCTGATTGGTTAAGACGAGTACAATGTAGCGTCATTTCCGGTGAAATGGAACAATGTGATTCGTTGGGAAGAATCTTCAGCTTTCCATTATTTTAACGAAATGGATCGGCAATCGATTACGGGATGAAAAACAGAGAAAATGTAAAAGAAAATGCCAAAAGAACTAAAAGGAAAATTGATATTGTCGATAATAACATGTCTGCAAGTGGTTTTACTAAATATTGTAATGTTTTTCATAAATGCCGACATCATGCATTTCTTGTTTAGTTCAAGCATGGCTTACGTAATCTAAAAAACTTTTAATTGACATCGCCTGCTTCCTCTTTATCAAGAAATATCGGACCTCGATCTTTTTGTACCAACCTCGCACTACGGGCTTAGTCTGAACAGAAAGACCCCGCGCTTGGTAAAAAAGAAGTCGGTATATAATCGTATAGTTTCTTCAACAATTACCGCAAAACATGCAATATTTTTAAGATGCGTATCGCTTGCATATGTTTATCGGTAATTGCACTTACCTTTAATTGGACAGGAAGTTTCGTAAGGCTCATACCACCACTTAGTATAACTAACGGAACATTTATCTCCTGAGATTTTTCGGTATCTGTTGTACATGAAAACAAAGGAAATTTTAAGGACTTTTTACACAATCCAATTCAGTTCAGCTGTAGTCTGTTAAATGGCACTGTATATAGTAAACAGAAATTAACTTAAGCCACTGCAGTACTGCTGCATGAATAACAGACCATTCCATATGTTAAAAGTGGATTGGATCGGACTAAATTGGATCGGGTATTGAGCTATCAAGCTTTTCAATTTTTCAACAACAGTCTATATTGAATTTAACCTCTTTCTTTTGAGAACTTCAGTAACCACCCTTAAATTAAATGAGCCTGCGTTTTGTATTTAAATTAGAAAGAATTCGGCAACATCTGTCCTCTCTGTGTTTGGATGAACATACTAAAATCCATAAACGTGCATATACACCAAATGGAACTGTTTTTAGAAAGATGATGGGCTACATCGTATCACGATGCCGCATATATATAGCTATAGAATTGTCGGCAATTTAGTACAAAAAATAATTTAATTATGGCAATTTTGATTGCACATTATCAGTGAGAGGCCATTTATACGCGCGATGTTCATATATATTTACCCTTGAGTCCTGTTGTAAGTATGCCCAGGTGGACAGGGTCGGGGGGGTGCGTATGGATCAAAACCAGAACTGCTATCCCGTAGACAAAGAAAACCCCAGTAAGATTTAAAACCTCTGTCGCTAAAGATAAAAAAGATGCAATTGATATAAATGCAGCTAACCTGCAGTCTAATGCCTGCATGTATTCCAAAATCTCACTCGCACTTATTGAGTGTGACATAGAAATTCTGTTATTACTGTTGAATCTGAGTATATTAAACACGGATTCCGCATATTTGGGAATCCAAACACGCGGGAATGTTGCGAGAGTTAAGAAAGCGCGCGAAACACGAGCGTGTTCTTTATAAAATAACAACAGCAAATAAGGTATTCTTCCAAGTGTTTTTTAATTAAGCGAAATAAATTTTCGTGACTGCATGGATGGACTGATCCAAACACGGGCTTCGACCAATCAAAACCCGCGTTATATATATGTGTTATTTTTAAAGTCCTTTCTTAATTAATGGAACTGAAAATAAAATCTTATTCAATAGAAATTCATATATTTCAACAGAATTATATATCTTATTCAATAAAGATTTAACAAGGAGAAGGTTCATACCATTCATAATCCTGGCCTCTGCAGGGACATATTGTTGTGTTAATCGGTCTATCGTAGTTTTTACCATTGTAACAAGTTGAACTTCTTCTCCGACGTTCGAACTCAAGTCTTTGACCAAGAATGCAGCCGTGACCATGGCCACGATGATATGGTGACCACGTTTCATAATCAGATTTAGTACACGGTCTCCCTGGAAAATTATTATTATTATTACTATTCAAATATTTTATGCACCGTAGCTTTTCAGTGAACTTTTTTACGATTTTTTTCATTGAAACTCGCACGACTTGGAAGCAGTCGTCCTGATAGTCAATAATTTAGCCCCTCCATGCATATACAAATGAAGCAGTCCAAAACCACACGTGATTCACATGTTGTTTTGTAATACGGTAGTTTTAAATTTACTTGAACTTACCCAGAACATTTTTGACGTCAACTTGCACAACTAACCAGCTATGGTGCCCGTGATACGAGCCGAATATAGTGAATATAGTTGTATTTTCCCCTGGTTCAGTCAACAAGCCATAAACATGTACATGCTGGTCTGTAAAATTGTATCTTTTCCACGTTAAACCCTCATCGGTACTATACCTGAAGATGAGGAAATTGTAAAAAGTTAAACAAAAAATATACACCTCAAAACTGTCAGTGTCACCAGTTGCGCTATATCAACAGATTGAATTAGCCTTTCTCACGATTATTCTGGCATGAGATTTATTAGTAAAAATATTTCAAACTTACAGAAGCTCCCTAGTCGCCGACCACTGACGAACTGCGACGATTACACCACCATGATCACCAAAGTTGAACCACCAACGATCTTCGAGAACCTACATTAGTAACGAAACCGAAAATAAAAGCACAATCATGCAGTTTCTGCGGGCAAAAAGCTGGAGGCTGGGAAAAAAGGATCATTTATTTTTCCACTGCGGCATTTTCAAAGTTAGACGGAGATGAACCATATATATTGTGATGGCGCAACTCTAAATAGCCATGTACGCTAGCTGGAAAATTCCCAAAATTGAAATATTGGTGAAGTGGAAATTAATAAAAAACATGAGAAACCTCAAGCCAGGACCGTCCTGCATCGTTCGATACGTAGAGATTTGAAGCGTATGTCAGACTCTTACCAATATTCCCTAAAGAAACAAACGTATTTTTCTATATGAAGATTGCTTGATATGTTTAGTGATACATACTTTTCTCATCCTGTTGAGAGCGACTTTACTTATATAATTATTTTCTCACATTGTTGAGAGCGACGATTTTCGGTACAAAAATGGATTAAAAATGGTTCAGAAGCATGGACTATATAACCCGCTGGGTGATACGTGCGTGTAAAAACGTGTGTCTTTTACGAAAATCGTACAAAGTGATGAAAAGTGTGAAGCAAGAGACTCACCAGAAGAAAGGATAAGCCCCGGAGCAGATGGTTTTGACATTATCGATGGAGCGTAATACCGTGGGTGTCTTTGGGCATAGTGCTGGGCTAAGTGCAGTGAGCATTGATCCTGAAAATATCAAAACATACTTGAACAATTCAGTATAACAAATACGAGCAAACCTGCAAGCAAAGCCCTTCATCAAAAGTCGGCTGTGAGGTGGTTTGCGGAGAAAGCATGTTCTTATATATATGATTGGCGAATTGGCCAATCAGAAGCATGCTTTTATCGCAAATTACATCATAATTTATATCAAGGTCTATAGTAAGATAAATCCATCACATATGACGGGTTCCGAGTATACTAAGAGAAGGGGTCAGTACCCAGTTTACGCGAAACTATATCACACTTCGCCCGAGAAAACCCACCAAAATATTATTTTTACTTCGGTATTTGAAATTAACCGCTCCACTCCCGGTGGGAATTTGCTCTTCGTCGACGTCATGATATTTTATGTCTCAACTTCGAGGCGTGCACGAAACTGTCCTAAGCAAATTGCTCTTAGCTACAATACTGACGATACTGAGCGTGATCTTACCCACGAGCTGCAGTTGACCTGCGATCCGTTCGCATGTCGCACAGGAACACTCAACTTCCTCCAAAATCGGCCTTTGTCATGTGAAATGACGGTATAGATTGCCCTTGTGCCGACTTTACCATACGATAACTGGCTTGCTAAGTAAACACCTCTCATTGAGGCCACGGGGTAAAGATCAACGAATGATTCCGTCATATAACGTCTATAGAAAAAAGGGAAAATCTATATGGGATGTCCTAGTTGCCACGTCTTCGTTAAAATGTTTAAATGGTTAATTCTGGATATAAGGAAGGCACTTCTTGCGTTCATTATTATTAAAAAAAAAACGCTAGCCCTCGTCAATTTACCTTGATTTCCACGGGGGCGTCTATGTACAAGTATAATCTCTAACTGTTGATACAATAGACGTTTAAATTCAAACATTACGGATCGATTGATGAATTTCATAATTCCCAAACAACTATGTAAAATTATTTATGATGAATATTAACAAGCATATAAAGTTCTCTAGCTGCCTGATTAGAAAATCTTATTTCCAAAATTTTTCAAAAAGGTTCAAAAGCAAAAAATGTTCGATCAACTTTACTCCTGTCCTAATTTAACCGATCAAATACCTACATATGTGTATATACAAAATTCCATTACCAAGATTTCATCGATTGGTTAACACTTTTTTAGCTTTTTATATAAGAACCATCCATGTAAACAGGGGCAAATGACGTGTTTCATTTAATATTTTGTATTAACTTCATGTATACAAAATATACAAATTTATTTTGATTCTACAAATTTTGGACATATATCTGACCAATTATCCGCTGTGGCTCCGAACTATTATAATGTTACTAGGTCGATCATTTTTGGCGGATGTCTGAAAATATGACCAAGTTTATCATACATTTGGCAGAGCGGAATCGTTATAATCAACAGTGTATCAGGCCACCTTGATATGTGACTGAATTGTTAAATTACATAAATTACATGCACTACTCCTTCGACGCTTACCTTAGCCAGTGATCTTTTTGCCGGTCGGGAGAGTAGAAGAGAATCCTTTCCAATGACAAGGTATACTTCACGCCAGTCATGTCAGATATGTATAAATGTGATGTGTTTGAGTTGTGGTTCACGGCGACAAAAACCTGCTTTTCACTCGTATCAGCGATAAGAAAATCCTGCACAAAATTCAAAGGATGTGATGTTAATATTCATAAGCTTCAGAGAAGGGCGATTAGGTTCTTCCTACCCTAAAAAATATACCATTTGGGCGACAGTCATAACGGAAGCCCGCACATATGGAGGATTTCGTAGGACATGCTTACCTCGGTTCGGAGTGTGTTTGGAAATTCCGCCTTTCTAAAGTCGTGGTAATGGTACGCGACATACAAATCAAGACCATTTTTGCTCTAGTGAAACAAACACAGGTTCAGAAAACGTCTGATTATGTCGAATGCAGGGGCGTAGGAACGGGGGAGGGAGGTGGTTCATACCACAAGACCAGGCCACAGGTCTTTTCCCTCGAGCCTCGTTTTAGTGTTACAGTTTATTTCATTATTTATTGATCAAACATTTTCATATATATAGCATTATATATAAAGAGTGATATTAATGAATAATGGTGCACTTTTTTGCCTTCAGTTATAATGCCAAACACCACCAGCTAATGCATATCACAACTGCTTACATATCACAACTGTCGAATTAAACATTGTATAGCATTTACATTCAATATATAGAAGACAACCCTTTTTGTAAATCGACCTATGCATACAGAAGGATGTTTTGCATACGGTTTTGAGGCTAAGACCTGAAATCCATTTAATTTAAGGTATCAAATTTAAAACGATAATCTTGTGACGTAATTATCGAAAGAATCTATTCAGCCACTTCAGCTAACATTTTTGGGACACTTTTTAAACAACCAAGTTAAAAGGGGCAACACGCCGTAAGGACGTTTGAGAAAACATATACAACCTATAGTATGACTTTCATAGCGATATTTAACCACAGCAAGAGCATACACGACGCTTTTCCAGAATTATAGTAAATTGCTAAATAGAACTTAAAAAGCATTCAGGTCTCAGTTGTTGTGGAACGTCATAACGAGTGAGGTCCAAAAAGAGTAATTATCTTTCGCTTTTTTTGCACTGACAAATCTTTGATATTTGTCTTTGAAAAGGTGATCGATATACGCTTCTTTGGTAAATTTCTGTCAGTTACAAAAAAAAAGAAACGATAAATACATTATATATTAACTGTACCTTCTTCGTTGCAAACATGTAAATATCGCTGATTTCAAAATCGGTAACATTTCGCATTATCATGTCAGAAGTAAGATCATGATTCCAGTGACCCCGCAAGATATCCGATGTGCCGTAGTCTAAACCAAAGAATTATCTCCTATTATCATGATTTTGAAGATTCTCTCGTGCTTCTACTTCTAACTGCTGCATTATTAGCGTCTCCCTTGCAACGTTATAACGACGTCCGCAGGAAGATGACAATAGAAACCAATAATACCCCAAATTTTATAAAGACGACAAAGGTTATGAAGATTCTTTCATGATTATGACAATGGATACGATTTTCTCAGAAGGCTTGACAAGAAAATTGAACAACACCGTCTCTCCCATAGAGATGTGATATGAATACTTGTTTATGCCGGTATCAAGAAAAGGAAGACTTTTTGTAAAGGTAAAAAAATATAAGACTCTTGATTCAATGATTTTCTCCAACGAAGGTAATACAGGGATAATAAATATGACTCTCTTTGAATCAATGACAAGGGCAATGAAAATTCTCTCTCTCAGAAAGGTAACAACAAGGGAAATTCATACACTCCCCTGGATACAGGGGGGACAGGGGCGATGAATAAGACTTTCTTCCATGCATAGCATATGAACGTATATCCATGACAAGAAAAATGAGTAACACTCTCCACCACGTTTAATATAACCATGCACGCTTAATAATATCGATGAAGTAGGACTAGCTGTCATTTTAATTCTTACCATTTTTCAATTCCATATAGATAACTTCGTCTGAATCCAAATCGGCCATTCCCCTAGAAACATAAAAACAATAGCGTGGATAAACCTTGACCTCCTCCTATATTCCATGTGTCGGAAAAATTACTTTCGAATCAAGTCGAAAATTTATGATTTTTTTATGTGAATTGAATAATAATACACCGTATTCCAAAGATGTCTTGTTTATTCGGAATTTTCATGGTAACTTAATAATACGCACGTTCGTTTGCATGAAAACAGCAGATGCTGTGCGAAAATATAAACATACCAAAAATATGATCTTATTTTCTCTTTTCGAACTAGCCACGACGACCCAAAATTGCTGGAGTAATGAATCTAAAAAGAAATTGGAGAGAAAACACGTCAAGATGTGCTTCAATGAAGAAAAACGTTCTAGAAGAAGGTTTTGTCGACAGTTTTAAAGATCGTTAGGCATGCGCGTCAATCGAACGTTAATTGAGGGGGACGATATTCATGTATTCTGTTATGCCAGCCTGTTTTCTATTGAAAGTGAAATGGTTTTCAAAAGAAATTAGCCAGGCGTAGCAGAATATATGAATATCGTCCCCCTCAATTACCGTTCGATTGACGCCAATGTCGTTAGGTATATCGTGCAAAAATAAACAACCACTATATTACAACACCACTCACTATATACTTTTCTTTGTCTATACCCAACACATAACCATGTTCCTGCATGCACTATAGCCTTATTCTAACGTAGCTATATAGACGTTGAACTATCACAAAATCTATCACGTGCATTACTTTGGCACGCAGTGGACTCCATTAATTATTTTTTAAGCAACATAACGTATTTAATAACTGGTCGTTTCAATGGAAGAGTTGCAATGATATACTGCAGATATTGAATTATTTGCGCAATTATCCGTTTACTATCGTTGCAATGGATTAGTTGGTATAATATTCAGATGATTATTGGACAACAATAGTTCCAATTTGCCATTTATACGCTTTATCCACTCATGTATTCGATGAAGAATTGCTCAACTTTCAATGTGTTTAAATGATTACGCTATCGTTTATTCAGCTGCTGGTGACCGATTAGGAATTAGCATGGTGGTACATTAAGGAACGTGGATGCCGAGATTACCTTTTCTGTACTAGAATCGTACGCAATAAGACCACCAGTCCTTGAATTATGAAACGTGATGTCCGATGGTTTAAACCCCAGCTTAACTTCTTTTAGTGTTTTACAATCATCTTTTGAAACGAATAAAAGATTGTTCGTAGTATCGGCAAAGATGTACTATATGTAAAAAAGGATGCAAATTAATTAGAAACGAAAAACTTTTGCATGGGGAGTAGCTATATAAGCTACAGACATGGCGGCAAAACTATGGAGGTAATTTACTTATCCCTAGCTAGCGTAGTTTGTATAAATCATTCTTACTTAGTAAAAAAGTGTATAATGATGGAGGGTTTGGCACACATGCATATATCGGCTAAAGGCCGCCTCCACTTGCACGTACGTAAGCGCCTAAATCGCACGTACCGTCGGCTTGCGCGTTGACGGCCGCCTTGAAAGTAGACTACAGTTCTACTGTCATACGTACAAAAAATTATTCGCGACGGCCGGCTTAGCGACCAGTTTCTAGTCACCGATCATGCGCCAAATCGGCCGAACTGATTGTACCTGTGAGTGGAGGCTGTCTTTAGCTTACGTTTACACAACAGGGCGTTCAATTAAGTCATTCAAATGAAATTTAAATCTGTATACATCCCCTCACGTCCCAGTAACCCCTTCTGAAATTTCGCCTTCGGTCAAACTAATAGACACACCATGGTCATGAAAGATATGGTTCGGTAGATTTATACGAGATTTTTACCGGGAGACCCAAAAAAGTTTTCCAGTTTTATTGATAATAACTTTTTAACCCGTGAAGCCGTTATTGTGACATAAATTTTATTACATAGAGCTAGGGAACGCTAACTTTATTCCATAAGAAGCTATTTAGAATCGTAGTCCAAGGCATGACAGAGTAAATTTGCCATCTACCAATGACAGACAAAATCACCTACCCATTTCGGTTTCAGAGGGCTGTTATAAAATTTCTCAATCACTGCGTACTTCTTAACTCCATCTTTCGTGAACTTAAGCAAGTGTGACATGTTGTTGTATGTTTTGCCATAATTATTAGAAATATAGAGATAACTGGTGCTGTCAGCTTTTGGATTAATATCGCGACTCAGCACAACCACCGTATCACTGACATTGAAACCACTCCATCCCACATAAAGCATGTAGTGACTGTCATTGAATTCATACTAAAACAAAATACAAACCGATGATCAGCTGGAATTAACGGTAGGCCTGCCTCGTACCCAGGCGTTTTAATAGTAAAATATATAACGTTGCATTCAGTTATTGTATAGAGGTCAACTGAAAAAAAGCGAGCGCGCGGGGGTACATGTAATACTATAGGAAGTTACTGTTGCAAGAGCTGCCTCGACGTGTACTAACTGCATCTAAAAGCCCTGATCAGATTAGTGATAAAGAACTATACTGTTAAAAATACTAACGAGAAACTGTGGGTATAGATTCAAATCAATTCAAAAATATTCAACATTGCCGTTTATGTACGGTCAACACATTTATTTTACATTTTACATAGCATACAAAAAATACTTTTATTTTTACATCTGAACTAATGTTCCACCGTCGGAAAAATCTTCAAACAAATGTGTCATTGACACCAGTGTTCTTCCCAGTTTGTAGGATCATCCCCAGTCATGCATTTTGCACTTATCTTTATGTGTGCATGCTTGTCCAGTTGGTAAAATGCCTGTCATACAACAAACTAACATAAAGGATGTGTACTTCATAGACCAAGATGTACATTAGATCAGATATGCATTTCTTCATCACACACATTAAGTCTTGGCCAATTAGAGACGCATTGTATAATTACATCACTTTATAAAAAGATAGTTACATCATAGATTACATCTTGCAATACGATGCTTTGGTCAGAGCTGTATTTATTTACATAATTTACATGATTTCACATGAACTGAATGCCACAGCTAGCGTGGCCCTATCACACAGGAATTACTCGGTGTTCATTTAGTGTTCCACGACGCCACGTCACGAAACATACCAAAAACAGCGGGGAATCTGCAACTATAAACGACAGGTGACTGGTACATAAGTTATAAGTATATTGTATGCCTTTGCATGCAAAAACAAGCACGAGACGAGGATTGTGGTGGGCTAGGGGAAAAGGAATTCTTTAAAACCCCTAATTCTACTCTGTTAACAACCACACTTTCATGAACAATATTAATAAAGAAAATATATACTAAAAAATTCTGTTCAATATTTTAACTGTTCAAGTCCGTCATTCCAAGAAGAAAAGATTGCTTATCTCACAATCCATCACTATTTGTTGCATGGTAGTCGGTAATAAATGCCTAATAAAGCCATCTTTAAAACTGAAATTAAATAACTGTGCTAACTGGGACGTAAGGAACATTCTTCAGGCGTTTGCCCATCATAAATACATCCACAAGCAAACTAATGTAGAAAGAAAACTAAACTTATGCCAAAATTCTTGAAACGTTTTAGACATGGCGTAGAACGAATGTTATGAACAATAAAATGACTCGGGCATATGACAAAAGTCGTTTGAAATGAAGCACTTCGCATATGTGGCTGAAATTATAAACTCAGTCTCGATATGTATAGCTTCAGATATACATAGTGTCTTCTGCATTAAAAAAGAGACTATGAAAATTTTGAACATTCAGAAGCTCCGATGAGGTTAGAAAACCACACTACTTACCTCTAATATGGTCCATCGCCTTGAAGTAAATAAACAGAAGGGACATATCCAACGAAAACATATCTTACGATAGAGATTGTATAACCGTGTCGTTATTGTGTTGAAAATTGTGAAAGTAACGACACGGTCACGGCACGGTTGATATCCATTATCCCATAGCTAGTGTAAAAGCTGTGTGCGTATTAGCTTCCAGCCTCTCTTGGTGCGTAAATCCCGGACTCGCCTTCCTGCAAGTATGTTTATTATAATACCATATCTATGGAAAGCTTCGGCAGAAATGGGCATACAACAAGAATTTTTTTCACTGTCATTCCTTTTTCATTCCACTCTCTTTCAATGTCTATATTCATTTTCCAATCACTACAATAAAATTTTTTTTCACTCTCTATATTCATTTTTCATTCCACTCCCTGACTCCAGATTTCCTGAATATTTAAGCTAATGTATGTGCATTAGTGCTTCCTCATGTTATATAACTTCAATATATTTGCAACACCCCACCTCATTTTTAGCCCTAGCAATGGTGGGTACACAAAATTAACAAAAATAGACAATACGTATTTGAAGTCAATTAACTTCCAACTTTTAACCAAGGTGGTCATGTGTAATGAGGCTCAAAAGTCTGACTTCAAAGTTACTTTTGAACTATAGTTCTAAAAGTACTGCCCCCAAGTACTACAAACTTACTATTTTGCCTAAAACTGAAAAAAGTGACACAGGAAAACTAATTGTACAAAGGCAGTCAGTACAGAAAATTCATAAATACTGATAGCACAAAGCATGGTGGGTTTTGGGTCTTAGCTTATTTCGAGCTTTACATTTGAGTAATTAGCAACGTTAGTGGCAAAGCAATGTATTAAAGAGCACACACTATACATAAAGGTTTGGAAAAGTCAAACAGTCATAAACATGTGTGTTTAAGCAATTAGTTAAATGTGAACATGGTTGAAAGACAAGAAATGCGGTATTTAATGATAATTTATTTATTTGTACTTAATTATTTTTTTCTGAAGGACTAGAATAACAAATCCAGGGTTACTGCTGATTTTGGTCATGTGAGGTGTAATTACAATACGAAATCTGAGAGATACCAAATAATTTCAGGAAAATCTGTGAAATTCCAAGGCTTCTACTAAGGAGTTTTGGTTTTCAGAGCACCAGTGGCTTACTAGCATGCTTATTCCCCAAAAAAGCCAACATTTGATAACAGGATAGTTGATTATCACATTCACTGCAACAACAGTAGACTAATGCACAAATGCCCTATTCCTAGGCCAGACTGTATAATTCAGGCAAAGACTGGCTATTGATGTTTGATTAGGAAAAGAAGGGGGTTGCAGTCGCCTATCTAAACCTTTTAGCCCAAACTAGGAACTAATATTACTAAGTACTAACCAATGCTGGCACCAATAGAAGCAATTCAAAATCTAACTGCTTTGGCAGAAATCCTCAATATTTTCATCAATGCAGTTTTAATGTTTCAGGAGCTATGACATAATTTGAAATAATTTATAGCTAATTTTTTACGAAAATTACAATATGCATTGACAAGCTGATATGACAAATCCGAAATATTGCTTATCCAAGTAATGGGTGATGGTTAGGATCGAGGTTGAATTATGATTCAAGGGAGGATTAGATTCCCTACATATAAACCTAAACCAAATCCTAACCAGCTTCAACATACTCATTGGTAAACAGAATACAAAACCCTGCAAGCCTACAGCTAACATGTTCATTTACAATTGACATTTGAAATTTTCTATACATCTTATGATGTAAATAAAATATAAATATGAAGCTGAATTAAAACGCCTAATGGTGACATTTACATCAAAACGACCCAGTTGTTGGAGTGTTTCATTTCTGCTGTTGGCACTTGACAACAACTTTACTTCCGCATTTTCGGTATTCGGTAATATTTATATGACAGCATTTTAATTTCATATACTAATATCTTGCAAATATTAATAGATACGTGTGCTTATAAATATCACAGGCAGTATAAAACGAAAGTTAAAGAAAATTAAATTGAAGTTGTAATTTGCCATCGGCATTCTACTTCACTGTCTTCACAACCACGCAATTTTATTACATAACGTCATGTTTTGGCGATGCTCAAAGTCAGAAAACAGCTGTCGTTAGTGTCTTAGAAGAATTGTACGATATTGAACAGTTACGACTCGTTAATATTGTTCAATCTCGAAAGTAAAATTAATGGCACGTTATTAAGTCTTACTATATTAGAGGGATATAAAGCCATATCAAATTTCGCATGTATAAATTTCGCATGGTGTTATAATAAAACATGAACATCAAAATTGTCTGCAGTCAACTGCGTGCAATTTGACATACTTCCCAAGACAACAACAATGAACTATAAACTCACCAATGACTTTGTTGGAACTTTGCTAGTACTCCTTCTTTTACGAACAGATCGCCTCGATCTTCCATCTTCGGGGACTTCTTTCCCACTTCCGTTGTCATCTTCAGACAGATAGATCTCACGATGAGGCAATGGTCCGCCTCGAAGTGGTACCTTTCTTTGCACGAACAAATGTTTTGTCCTTACATTTGTATCTTTACCTTGGATAAGTGTTTCGCCTAACGAAGCGAGGAGAAATAAAGCAACTAAGAATGTCTGAATCATAATCGAATTGACTTGTAAAATGTGCGTAACTGCTGCACAAAGTGTCGTCACTGTCGTATCGATTTTACTGAACCGAGCGATTGGAACGAAGGACTGGTAACGAATTCTTTAAAAATCGCGCTTGCACACACTTCTTATCACAGGCTTTGGTTACGAGTTGGCTTTTTGCCTTTTTCTAGCTTGCTAAGCTGCCGTTTTTCCTCCCGTAAAAGTAGGGACCATTCATTATTTATCACCGGGGGCGGGCGGCAAAAATGGGGGGGGGGGATTTGAAAGTTTCTTTAGCCGTGTTTACACTACAAGCCTGAGCCTGGCCTAGGCCTGGCTTTGGCCTAGATCTTCCTTGTGTAAACACACTTTGGCCTGACCTAAGCCTGGCCTAGGCCAGGAAATCTAGGGCCATCATAACAGGTGGCCTAGGCCGGGCCTAAGCGTGGCTTTACGGTAGTGTAAACACTTCGGTGTGGACCTAAGGCTTACTTCTATAGCAACGCTTGGTACGAACTTAGGTATGAAGTTTTAGTTGGCGTTTAAGTTCTATTTTACATAAAGTAAAAATATGCAAACCTCTGAAATTCTAGGCCAAAGTCAGGCTGTCGAAGCGTAAGTATAAACGCTTCGTTCTAAAAAGATCTTGGCTAAAGCCAGGCCTAGGCCAGGCTCAGGCTTGTAGTGTAAACACGGCTTTTGACTGAAAAAGGGGTCTACCTAAAGGTATTTGTCCTGACAGGGGGTGACCGGGTGTAGTGTTTTAGTGGGTGAAAATTTGACATGTTACGATTATTTCTAGCGTAGGAAGAAAGCAGGAAACAAATTGTGTCCCTGCAAGGTGCATAAAATGCAATGCATACAGTGCAAATACATAAAATGCAATGCAAAAAATGAAAATAGTATTCCGTTTGTATAACTGTGGTAAATATAACCTTTGCGAGTTTGCCATGGACTAGGTCTTACGAGACAGGCCAAAGGGTGTCAAAAAAACGAAATGGAACTTAACAGACTTTTACGAAGTAAGAATAGCATTTATTTACAATTAGCCTTCCAATGATAACCTCCGTTCAATAAAAAGCCTACCATCCAATTGTAATGGCTTTGGAGATTGATTGGCAAGGCGTTTACTTTCAGTTAAAGCAAGGCAAGATAAGAATTTGCCATAGCAGCGTAGCAGCCGTAGCTTGTTTAAACAATTGGGATATAATTGTTTGATGACTGTTTAACAGAATATATTTTTCGATAGTCGCAGAATTTTGGTATTATAAGTATGGTAAGAGAAAGTCATCCTACACGAGTCTTTCTCAAGGTTTGGATTCAGTGGCTTAGGTTGCAGCTTTCATTTCAGTACTTCCTTTTCAAGAGAAATTGATGCACCTGTTTCTGGTTATGGTTGCCATAGGAATAGATCGTATGGGCGGGGCACCGCCTACCCGATCTGCCAGCTATATACATACATATAGATATCAAGTGTTCTACGAGAGAAATAACGTCAACAAGCTTTTACCAAAGGATAGCCATCATATTGATCAGAAAAACCTTGAATAAGCGGTATATCGTCATCGTCATCCCCTAAAGAAATTAGGGTTTTCAACATTAATATTTTTTAAATAAAAAAAAACGTATCGGGGCCGATATTTGGGATAATTTTATAAGTAGCTTTTATAGGAGGCTTCTATAATTGTATCTTAATTAGGAGTATGCATATAACACCGATTCGAATTAGTAAAAATAATTATAGTCCCGTTAAAGAGTTGGTAGTCAGCTTGTTTACTGGTTAACCCAGTAACCAAATGAATTTACATGATCGAAATTAGTGAAAATCAGAAAGGTTAGGTTGCAAAATCATTATGTTACATTAACACCTCCTTCCCATTACCTGTGGAATTTTTTTATCCCTGGAACGCTACACGCTTTCAAGTGGTATGTTTTTTTACAGAACTGTACGAATTTCAGCTTATATACTGTACTTTGCAAATAAAAGGTGTGGAATTCCTTCAATTTCGTTTGTACGCACTTTTTGGGATCAATTGAAAGCGAAAAACTGATCCTAGGATTGCAACATGGTAAGCCTAGCCTATAGCTGATAGATTGGTAAATTTTCATACCAGCATTATGATATGTAAACAGACGATAAAATTTGAAGCTACGATGTAATCTTCGTGACTTTACAATGAAATACATCAGCGCTCCAACCAAGACAGCAAACACTATGCCAGCAGGGATGGCCCACATCAACGTTTTCTTTGTTGAGTGCGAATCAGAACTTCGTGTACCTTGAAGAAAACGAGACAGAACAACACATACAGTTAAACAACGTGCCTGAATATATCCGCGGTGATTTAGTGTAAATAAGTGTTTGCTGTACGATGTCAACATCTCTTTAGCTATATACATGGATTATTTGGCATTGAATGGTAAAACATAAAATATACTGGTGATGCAGTCTTCACGAAACTTCACCTGAAATGATCTCCAAAACTCAAACTATACTAACCTGGAGAATTATAGACGGGTCTTTTTGGTTTTGTTGTTCTGAAGGTTCTTTGTTCAATAGAAGTCGACGTTGCTGTTGTCTTGGTGCTCAGTTCTAAAGGACAGCAATGATTTTTGAATGACGGGTAATGAATGCTTAAAAGCCAAAGCTTTGTTCATGCAAGTATTCAGGTATTATTATGGTTAGCAAACTTAGCATACTGTAGAACAGGGGCCGGTTGTATCAAGCCCGTTTAGCTTAAACGGTGGATAAGCTCAAAATAGAAAGCAAGTCTAACGTTTTATTCAACAAGCAAACTAAATGTTTTTCTCCCTAATACAAAGATACTGTTTACAACTACATATTCAGTGCATGATATTCAAGTTGACTTATTCAAGAGAGATGTAAGAGTGTTATTTAATTTTGACTTATCCACCGTTTAAGCTAAACGGGCTTGATACAACCGGCCCCAGACTCGTGTTACGGCAGGAATGTACTGTATATGGAGTATTTTTTTTAAAAAGAAAAAGACGGTTTCTTGCAGTATTCCACATTTGATATGTATAGCAGGACTGATTTTTTCAGTGCAAAAATTGTTTTTAATCTTATGACAAAATGTCCGACAAAATACATTTGACTTTTGGACAGAAGTTTAAGACAATTTCATCATTTCAATGATTGAGAAATGTTGACGTGTGCGTTGTGTGAATGTAGAAGCTCAATAATTATATGCCTAACAGTATTGTTTGATATCATAGACATCGAAAGCAAGTTGATATAGTTACTCAAAATTTCTTTAGCTGTTTCTCAGTGAGTCGATTAATAATTCTTTCTTTAGAAAACAACTTGGAATGCCGGGATTTTATAATTTGTTTTCAAGAACATTTAAAATTTTCTTGTATCTCCTTCGACTATACCTTGTCACGACTTAAAATTTTGCTACAATAAAAGGTCGACATTTGTCTCAATGTATTCTGTTATTTACAAGTTAATAAGGGTAATTTAAATTTCACCTTGGATGTGATGTGGACAATGTTCCTCATCAGAATGATCTGTACAATCGTAGACTCCGTCACATATTGCAGTCAGATCAACACACTGTCCGTTTGTACAGCGAAAGCGTCCAGGGTACTGGCATGTTGTACGATCTTGAATAGGATGTAAGGTATAGAAAACAGCGTCAATCGATGAAAAGTCTGATGCCTCAAACATAGACTAAATTAAAAACTTTAAATTCCTGTATATTCAAAAGCATTCCTGGCTGTTTGTAATGTAAAAATCCAATAACTGATGATCCAACTCGAAAAAACAGCGGTAATGAACTGTGATGTCAATTATTTGTAATAATTATATACGGTAAAGAAAATTAATAAAATGGATAATAACTCATTATTTCTTTCATGAGAAATGATTGAGAAATGTTGACGTGTGCGTTGTGTATGTAGAAGCTCAATAATTATATGCCTAACAGTATTGTTTGATATCATAGACATATAGTTCATGCGTCTAAATTAACCGTGGACTTCAAAGAAAGCACTAATTCAAAGAATGGCACACACAAAAAGTCTTCATTGTGCATCGTTGTCAAACCCAAACTACACCCACCTGGACTTGTTGGGTTTGTTGTTGGAAAGGTGCTTTGTTTTCCAGCAGTCGAGGTTGCTGTTGTCGCGGTGCTGAAATCTATGATAGAGCAGTCAAATGAACGACATTAATAATCTCTCTGCATGGCTGGCTACGCCACTGACACTTTTCTGTGTTTTATTTTTTTTGCATTTGACATTTAGTACAAAAGCTATAGAGAATTTTATCTTACCACAGTTGATTTCGTCTGATTTGTCTGGGCAGTTTGGGTAACCATCGCAACGTGCTTTCCCCACGATACACATACTTTTATCCTCGCACATGAACTAATTATTACTCTAATTATTACGACTAATTATTACTGCAGTTTGTGCCTAATGATGCAAGACGATTTTCCGACGTAAAACGACGCTATGTTAGTGTTTTTAGATGTTAGCCAATCAGAGCATGTTAAACATGCTAAACATTGAATCACAATCATACAATGATACTATAACAATAATTATTATAAATTTAAAAGAATTCACAGTCTTTGATTCCAATATGTGACGTCATAACATGTGATACGAAATTTGATTGGCTTAAAAAAACTATCGAGCCAAATCAATTTTCGTGTAATATCCGAATTTGCGCGTTTGACTTCATTATGAAAAAGGTCTATTGCCGCTCATCAAAATCATGATGGAATAAAGCGGTCGTACAAGTTATTAATAATAGTGCTAAAGCTCATATTCTCATTCGCTGTGGACTTGTAATGAAATAAAACATATTGTTATACAGGTGCTGTGTATTTTAAATGTGATTGGTTCATTCGTAGTGACATGACTTTAATTAAATGCTTTTTTTTCCGCCAGGAAAACAAGTGAAAAATTGTTGCCCGCATATTGTCATAACAAAGTTTTTTTGAAATGAAATTTTTGTGTAACACGTATGTTTTTGTTCCTACATAACAAAACACTTAATGTTCGCTACATCTCGGGAAATAGTGAGTTTTGTTTTCCCTCGAGTCTCAATGTTTCCCTCGACGAAGACTCTTGTGAAAACAAAACTCACTATTTCCCTCGGGAGCATACATTAAGTGTATAAAATCTCGTCCGATGTAAGATTTGTCCGATATGAAATTTTAAGTGTCGACTGGAGCTTACTGATAGCCATATACGAGAGGGCTGCATCCCAAGAATACTGATTTATTAACCATTCATTGCTTTTACGTACTTACCACACCATTCGTCGGAGCCATCAATGCAATCCTCCTCACCATCACACGTCATTTTTATAGAAATACATTTACTTCTGTCTTGACAGAGGTAGAAATTTTTCACATCATGACAGGAGTGTACTGTGGTCATTTTTTTAAAAAAGAAAAATCCCGCATTAAAAAGGGGGGGGGGATTTGGAACTACAGCATACTCATTGACAAAATAATTTACTATACTATCGTACTTCATATTTACATATATACAACAAAGGAGCGTGTTCCGTTTCATACATTTCAGTCAGTGACGCACGCTTGCAAGCCTGAGTGTATATCGAGTATATATTTATACTTTACTACACACCCAATGCAAAAAATATGACTGGACGCACATGCTTCTGTGATACTCCAGTATTGTTTGCACATAGCAAATGTGAAAATCGTGATAAAATAAGATGTTTTAAATTACACTAATAATTAATTGTTTTATTGTAATCACAAAATGTGATTACATACTATTACTATATATACTAGCTATATATACAATTATAAAGAATTTCATACCACAGTTGATTTCGTCTGATTTGTCTGGGCAGTTCGGGTATCCATTGCAACGTGCTTTCCCCGCGATACACATACTTTTATCCTCGCACAAGAAATCGCTAGGGTTTTTACATCCTATAGAAAAACAAACATGTTCGTATTTAGCTTCGATTAATTATTACTGCAGTTTGTACCTAATGATGCACGACGCTTTTCCAACGTAAAACGCCATTGTTTGCGCAATTATACAGGGTGTATCAAAAAACTGCAAATACCATAATTTGTATGCACTTTAGAATTTCAATGACTGTGCAACTAATTACGCTTCTGTGATTTGAAAATACGTTTCCCAGGGTTATCAAAACAAGCACATAAAGTGAATTAAAATTAGGTCGATTACGAATGGCTCAGCTAACAACAAAGCAAAGAGTATTTCTTGTTTTAAAGTACGCCCAAACTCAAATCGAAACTCGTAATCAAACTAATAAGTTTAATTCACTTTGTGTCATTTTTTTGATAACCCTGGGAAACGTATTTTCAAATCCCAGAAGCGTAATTGGTTGCACAGTCATTGAAATTCTAATGTATAATCTCGTGCATACAAATTATGGTATTTGCATTTTTTTTATACACCCTTAATCACATCCTTAATACAACCTTGATACATCTTAATCACTACAAATTATGAAAGCACATGCAGTATAAGTATCTATACCTAATATGAACTATAGTTTTGTGATTGGCTTTTTGTAACAATAGTGGACAGTGTTTATGATTCGTTCTTTTAGAAATAAATTTCAATAGTTCATTGTGTTCTATTGTTATCGTCAACCAATAGCAAAGCTTGTTCATATAGGTACGTACCGACCCTGAAAGCAACCGACAGTAGACAACAAATACGCTGTGATTACTGTGCCTCGATGTCCACCGAAAACTATAACATCGCATGTAACATGTAACAAATACTCTGGATCCGGTTATATCAAGCCTGTTTAGCTTAAGGTGGATAAGCTCAAAATAGAAAGCAAATCTATCGTTTTATTCAACAAGCAATCTAAATGGTTTTAAACCATAATACAAAGATATTGTTTACAACTACATATTCAGTGCATAATATTCAAGTTGACTCATTCAAGAGAGATGTAAGAGTGTTATTTAATTTTGACTTATCCACCGTTTAAGCTAAACGGGCTTGATACAACCGGCCGATGATGTAAAACGACGCTATGTTAGTGTTTTTAGATGTTAGCCAATCAGGGCATGTTAACATGATTTGCTAATTATCCAAATGCTTGCAGAAAAGGGGGGGGGGTTATTATTGCCGTCCGTCCTCAGATATATTTGAACATGACTGCGCATAAAAAACTGAACAGTTATTTACATTTTTAAGTTTTATATTTTTATATTTTTTCTAGCAGAAGCATCTCTAAATTCTATCGTTTGATACAACAAATTTGTACATAATATTACATTTTAATTTTATTTTCTATAATGAAGGTAATTTGGACCTTACCTTTGTTGTAATGTGGACAATTTTCCTCATCAGAATGGTCTTGGCAATCGTAGACCCCGTTACATTTTGCTGTCTGATAAACACACTGTCCGTTTTTGCAGCGAAAGTCGCTAGGAATCGGGCATGCTGTACGATCTTAAAAATCCCAAGTAATTTTACTTTAATTGAGTCGAGCAAATACGTAGAATGTAAGGTGAAGAATTAATTAAGAGCAGGGCATACGTCGGACAATGTAAAGTCTTGGAGAAAGATCTATAGATTGAAATCCTGAAATATGTTCTCGGTTCGAAAAAAGCCCAATCGCTTTCAAAGAATCATTCGGAAACAACACAAATATGCGAACATGCACTCTCCCCGTGCAAATATACTGCGCAGAGACAATAGTCAAAAATAAAATATGAATGCTAAACTGATACGGGTGCTAAAAGAATGATAAGGGTATTCATAGTTTTTAAGTCCAGCATATCGGACGCCTCGTGATAGCTCGCAATGCAACCCGTTAGAATAACGTCATTTCTGCCATCGCAAAGTTTTGGTTAAAGTGGCTAATATCACGAGGCTGCTCCCATACAAAATGTATTCTTTATAAAAAATTGACTTTCATTTGTCACCCACAGCTCGCATTTTACATTCTATATTTCATTTACTTACTTTTGCAGATATTCTCATCAGCCCCATCTTCGCAGTCTTTCCTGCCATCACACAAATTATCCCTAGGAATACATCTTCCTCCTGGACAAGCGAACAGAGTTTTGTTATTATTACAAATACTCTGGCCTCCTAAAGAAGAAAAAAAAATATTGGCAAGAATATTCCAGTACTGGTGTAACTGATAAAAGTGATCAGTTGACTTATGATCTATGCTGTCTAGAAATAAGTGTGAGAGTGCATGCATGAGCGCTGTTAAAAATTACATTTAGCATTCCTGTTGCAAAAGACCTCCGCGATCCGTAAGCGTAATATCTATCTGCATGGACAGTTCACAGATAGTGCGTAATATACTTAATGTTGAAAAATTTACAGCGGATATTCACTGCAGTAATTTTCTTACCACAACCCTCTTCATCTGATAAATCCCCGCAGTCATTATTCCAGTCGCATCTCATATTCATAGGTATACAGAAATTATTTTTGCATAAGAATTCGTCGGGTGCACACGACATTCCAGCTACATTGACATGAAAATAAAACAATCAGTAAAAACAAATTGTTCCTCATCAGTAAAATCACTGCCGAAGTTTTCGACGATACATCTAATGTGCGCACCATTCCAAATATTTTTTTCTGCATGTCATTCCATTAGACATTGACAGTCGGTTATAGTGGTGTATAGCCCGCGCAATTTAGCACCAAAATATTAGCGAGCAGTACTAAATCTTACTGCAGAAAATATATAGGACCGAGCCGTTCCTATAAGTATATTTGAACATGCAACCCTAACCTACAGCTATAACAGTAAATTTCATCATGAATTACTGGAAAATATGCAAATGTCATCGGGCATTCATTCAAGATCATTGGTAATGTTTCTAAACTGTGATTTAATTATTGGCAGCATCGGTTGACAGCAACAGCATGCAATAATGGCTTCTGTGATTTCTTCCAGGATTAGCATACGTGTTGTTACACAGTGCCATAATTTTCATGAAAATTATTCTGCAGAATGCGTTAGTATTATGCAGGTTGTTTAATTCTTTAGTCCCGTGTCATTGAATTCACGCACAAATTGCGAATGTATTTTCTCACCAATCATGCAAACATCTTTAGATTAAGTAGTTCAGCTTGTAGGTTCACCACGTAAGCATTTGATACTGCAAAGCTTTCGGTCCGTTAACTTGGGCCTTCATCAGTGAAATAATTAGGATTAATTAAGATTATCAGTGTAATTATAATTAAGATTATCAGTGTAATAATTAGTAATCTTTAGATTACTAATCTGACATATGAATATAATGCTATAGCTTTCTCATGTGATTTATTATAGGTTATACTTATATATTTAATATGAAAGCCCTCCAAAGATCGGCTGACTTACATGGTTTGTAACAAGTGCCATTCTTCATTGTTATTAAACCACCTTTACATCGACAATCTTTAGTCTTTGAATCTGGCTCGAAGTCATCTCCACATTCGCAAGCATATTGATTGTTCGGTTTAGGAAAACACAGTTGAGAACATTTTATACCTGAACACGAGCTTTTGGCTGTAAGAAAATTATAAAAATAGGCATTCATGGGCATCAGCGAGAATGTAAAAATAACTATTAGAAACGATATGATATGACCCATGAGAGTTGTTCAGCGGGTATTGAACTCCCTCGCGTTAGAATTCATTCTTCAACACCCGTCGACCCATTGCATTAATATTTTTAGCACTCTCTTGACTCTAGGATATATATACATCATGCAGCATTGAACTAATTCATATTTTTATGCACGGGTGCTTTTTCTAGTTTCGTTTTCTATTCCTCGGGTGGAGCGGAGGTAAAAGACCCTGGGTACGAGGTTGATGATATATATGCAGCTTACCAACTTGGCTACTGTTATAATACACTTTGATCTCGTATCTGCTTTTGCTTGACATGCCGACAGCTTTTTTAATCAGAATGAACGGTTTCCCTTTGAAAGATTTGTGTATTTGGTAAACTTTTCCAGTTTGCCAGTCGTCCCAATATACATATTGATCGTCCACAGCAATGGAGTACGGATGTTTAAGGATGCTGATCCATTTAAAATTATCAACATGAGACCATCTGCTTGCGAGGATCTGCATGTAAAATAAATAATTACATTGTTCTAAGGCACTTTGCATCAACCACATTACCAAAAAGTTTGGCCACGTTTGCCACGTTGACAAAAAATATGAACGTTGTATGGCCTTGGATGGACGGCGTGCATTTTCAACTTATATACAAAATGTTTGTGCGCGGAGTTTGACAGGCATGCCTCGCGCGGCGCCATCTTTTTCGTAAATGTGATTGGAACAAATTTTGAACACTATAATACAGCTACCTAGGCTACTAAATTAAATCATTTATACTGAGTTTTGAAAGCATTTTCATTCATTTTAATTACTTCACATGCGAGAACCAAAAGATCAAGCTTATGGAGCTGCAAAGGAGCGATTTCGGTTATTTTTTCTTTTTATGCACTCCGTATGTAGTTTGGATTCACCCTTCAAAAATTAAAAGGAATAGCACCCAAAATGTCGGACACAGCTAGTAACTTGCGAGATCACAACGGAATACACCTGAAGAAAGCTACATGTTAACGACACGGTATATGATATATATTTACCTTGGTAGTGTTGGTAATCAGGTCGTACTGGCCAATGATATCTTTAAAGGCGTCCGTGTAGTAGAGATTTCTCGAACTCTTTGGGTTATATATATCAATAGCCAGCCCATTTGGCCAGACAAGGTCTTTGTCGACCAAAGTCCTCCTGTTTTTTCCATCCATATCTGACATCTCTATCTTGGCAGTGCTTCCCCAGTCAGTCCAAAACATCTGCCTGTAAGAGAAAGTTACTCTCGGTTATTTTGATCTCGCACGCGGGGACTTTCACTTGAAATCAGGTCATGCGGGTAACTACACGCTATACGGAAAATTCCCACACATGCGGAGATCACATGAAAGATCTAAGATCACATATACAATTGAGGATTATAAGCTGCGTGTATACTTCATGACTAGCATACGTACATGTAGATAGAGGAAATAAAATAAAGACTTGTATAGGCACAAGAACAAAAAACTGCGGGAAGTTTTGGGGGAAATTAGGTTTTTTCTTTAATTTTGAACTAGAATCCCAATACAGGAATGAGGGAAAGCCAAAGCCACTAGAGAATTAACGGCGGTTCCGTTTTTTTTGCAATAGATTGTGGAACGTCACAAAAAGAGGTAAGCCCACACACAGTACTTACCCGTAAGGTGGATCTAGTGCCAGTGCGCGAGGTCTATCAAGATCATCAGAATGAACAGTTTTTCGGTAGCGACCATCTTTTCTGCAAACTTCGATCACCTTTTTACCCGCATCAACCCAGTAAAGATTATCGGTGGTCCAATCAAAGTCCAGGCCTTCGACTTGTTTAACTCCAGCGATTGTCATGTCAGCTAATAACATGCAGAACTTCCATTAGACACCAAGGAAACCTCAATGAGATAAACTTATCATAAAACAATTATAAGATTAAAAATCTCACCACTATCGCCATCTAATTTGCGTCTAAAAATCTTGTGGTCCTTCATATCGGCCCAGTAGATATAATTCTCTTTCTTATCATACGCCACAGCGACGGCAGCACGGAGACCCTCAACCGCAGTCGATCGACTTGAATTCACCAAATCCATGTATTGGATTTTAGTTCGCTCGGCATACAAAAGAAACGCTGAGTCAACTTGAAACAGAAAAAAGTTCACCGTTTTATGATCAGTATATTAATTGAAATCGGAATGCAAGAGAGGGGAAAGGTGCTGATTGGTTAAGAAAAGGATAATGTAGCGTCATTTCCGGTGAAATGGAACAATGTGATTCGTTGGGAAGAATCTTCAGCTTAACATTATTTTAACGAAATGGATCGGCAATCGATTACAGGATGAAAAACCGAAAAAATGTAAAAGAAAATGCCAAAAGAACTAAAAGGAAAATTGATATTGTCGATAATAACATGTCTGCAAGTGGTTTTACTAAATAATGCAATGTTTTTCATAAATGCCGACATCATGCATTTCTTGTTTAGTTCAAGCATGCCCTACGTAATCTAAAAAACTTTTAATTGACATCGCCTGCTTCCTCTTTACCAAGAAATATCGAACCTCGATCTTTTTGTACCAACCTCGCACTACGGGCTTAGTCTCTACAGAAAGACCCCGCGCTTAGTAAAAAAGAAGTCGGTATATAATCGTATAGTTTTTTCAACAATTACCGCAAAAGATGCATTATTTTTAAGTTGCATATCACTTGCATATGTTTATTGGTAATTGCACTTACCTTTAATTGGACAGGAAGTTTCGTAAGGCTCATACCACCACTTAGTATAACTAACGGAACATTTGTCTCCTGAGATTTTTCGGTATCTGTTGTACATGAAAACAAAGGAAATTTTAAGGACTTTTTACACAATCCAATTCAGTTCAGCTGTAGTCTGTTAAATGGCACTGTATATAGTAAACAGAAATTAAGCCACTGCAGTACTGCATGCTGCATGAATAACAGACCATTCCATATGTTAAAAGTGGATTGGATCGGACTAAATTGGATCGGGTATTGAGCTATCAAGCTTTTCAATTTTTCAACAACAGTCTATATTGAATTCAACCTCTTTCTTTTGAGAACTTCAGTAACCACCCTTAAATTAAATGAGCCTGCGTTTTGTATTTAAATTAGAAAGAATTCGGCAACATCTGTCCTCTCTGTGTTTGGATGAACATACTAAAATCCATAAACGTGCATATACACCAAATGGAACTGTTTTTAGAAAGATGATGGGCTACATCGTATCACGATGCCGCATATATATAGCTATAGAATTGTCGGCAATTTAGTACAAAGAATAATTTAATTATGGCAATTTTGATTGCACATTATCAGTGAGAGACCATCTATACCTGCGATGTTCATATATATTTACCCTTGAGTCCTGTTGTAAGTATGCCCAGGTGGACAGGGTCGGGGGGGTGCGTATGGATCAAAACCAGAACTGCTATCTCGTAGACAAAGAAAACCCCAGTAAGATTTAAAACCTCTGTCGCTAAAGATAAAAAAGATGCAATTGATATAAATGCAGCTAACCTGCAGTCTAATGCCTGCATGTATTCCAAAATCTCACTCGCACTTATTGAGTGTGACATAGAAATTCTGTTATTACTGTTCAATCTGAGTATATTTAACACGGATTCCGCATATTTGGGAATCCAAACACGCGGGAATGTTGCGAGAGTTAAGAAAGCGCGCGAAACACGAGCCGTATTCTTTATAAAATAACAACAGCAAATAAGGTATTCTTCCAAGTGTTTTTTAATTAAGCGAATTAAATTTTCGTGACTGCATGGATGGACTGATCCAAACACGCGGGCTTCGACCAATCAAAACCCGCGTTATATATATATGTGTTATTTTTAAAGTCCTTTTTTATTTAATGGAACTGAAAATCAAATCTTATTCAATAGAAATTCATATATTTCAACAGAATTATATATCTTATTCAATAAAGATTTAACAAGGAGAAGGTTCATACCATTCATAATCCTGGCCTCTGCAGGGACATATTGTCGTGTTAATTGGTCTATCGTAGTTTTTACCATTGTAACAAGTTGAACTTCTTTTCCGACGTAGGAACTCAAGTCTTTGACCAAGAATGCAGCCGTGACCATGGCTACGATAATATGGTGACCACGTTTCATAATCAGATTTAGTGCACGTTCTCCCTGGAAAATTATTAATATTATTATTCAAATATTTTATGCACCGTAGCTTTTCAGTGAACTTTTTTACGATTTTTTTCATTGAAACTCGCACGACTTGGAAGCAGTCTTCCTGATAGTCAATAATTTAGCCCCTCCATGCATATACAAATGAAGCAGTCGAAAACCACACGTGATTCACATGTTGTTTTGTAATACGGTAGTTTTAAGTTTACTTTAACTTACCCAGAACATTTTTGACGTCAACTTGCACAACTAACCAGCTATGGTGCCCGTGATACGAGCCGAATATAGTGAATATAGTTGTAGTTTCCCCTGGTTCAGTCAACAAGCCATAAACATGTATATCCTGGTCTGCAAAATTGTATCTTTTCCATGTTAAACCCTCATTGGTACTATACCTGAAGATGAGGAAATTGTAAAAAGTAAAAATGCAAAACTGCACAGTATCGCCGGTTGCGCTATCGACTGATTGAATTACCCTTTCTCACGATTGTTCTGGCATGAGATTTATTAGTCAAAATATTTCAAACTTACAGAAGCTCCCTAGTCGCCGACCACTGACGAACTGCGACGATTACACCACCATGATCACAAAAGTTGAACCACCAACGACCTTTGAGAACCTACATTAGTTCAGAAACCGAAAATAAAAGCACAATCAGTTTCTGCGGGCAAAAAGCTAGAGGCTGGGAAAGAAGGATCATTTTCCACTGCGGCATTTTCAAAGTTAGACCAAGATGAACTATATATATTGTGATGGCGCAACTCTAAATAGCCATGTAGGCAAGCTGAAAAATAAGCCTCCCAAAATCAAGAAGTTGAAATATTGGTGAAGTGGAAATTAATAAAAAAACATGACAAAACATGAGAAACCTCAAGCCAGGACCGTCCTGCGTCGTTTGATACGTAGAGATTTGAAGCGTATGTCAGACGCTTACCAATATTCCCTAAAGAAACAAACGTATTTTTCTAGATGAAGATTGCTTGTATGTTTAGTGATACATACTTTTCTCACATTGTTGAGAGCGACGATTTTTGGTACAAAAATGGATTAAAAATGGTTCAGAAGCATGGACTATATAACCCGCTGGGTGATGCGTGCGTGTAAAAACGTGTGTCTTTTACGAAAATCGTAGAACGTGCATGATGAAAAGTGTGAAGCAAGAGCTAGACCCACCGGAAGAAAGGATAAGCCCCGGAGCAGATGGTTTTGACATTATCGATGGAGCGTAATACCGTGGGTGTCTCTGGGCATAGTGCTGGGCTAAGTACAGTGAACATAGATCCTGAAAAAATCAAAACATACTTCAACAATTCAGTATAACAAATATGAGCAAACCTGCAAGCACAGACCTTCATCAAAAGTCGGCTGTGAGGTGGTTTGCGGAGAAAGCATGTTCTTATATATGATTGGCGAATTGGCCAATAAGAAGCATGCTTTTATCGCTAAGTACATGCATGATAATTTATATCAAGGTCGATAGTAAGATAAATCCATCACATATGACGGGTTCCGAGTATATACTAAGAGAAGGGGTCAGTATACCCAGTTTACGCGGAACTATATATATAAATTTTAAATACTTCAGCCGAGAAAACCTACCAAAATATTATTTTTACTCCGGTATGCAAAATTAACTCTCCACTCCCGGTGCATTCATGGAGTTTACTCTTCGTCATGATATTTTATGTCTCAACTTCGAGGCGTGCACGAAAAGTGCATGAAACTGTCCTAAGCAAATTGCTCTTAGCTACGATACTGACAATACTGAGCGTGATCTTACCCACGAGCTGCAGTTGACCTGCGATCCGTTCGCATGTCGCACAGGAACACTCAACCTCCTCCAAAATCGGCCTTTGTCATGTGAAATGACGGTATAGATTGCCCTTGTGCCAACTTTACCATACGATAACTGGCTTGCTAAGTAAACACCTCTCATTGAAGCCACGGGGTAAAGATCAACGAATGATTCCGTCATATAACGTCTACAGAAAAAAGGGAAAATCTATATGGGATGTCCTAATTGCTATACGTCTTCGTTAATTGCCATATGGACATGCATGTTTAAATGGTTAATCCTGGATATAAGGAAGTCACTTCTTGTGTTTATTATTAGTGTTTATTTAAAAAAAAACGCTAGCCCTCGTCAATTTACCCTGATTTCCACGAGGGGCGTCTATGTACAAGTTAATCTCTAACTGTTGATACAATAGACGTTTAGATTGAAATATTACGGATCGATTGAGCGGATTTCGCGAGCAATATCATCCGTAAACTGAACCGCAATGAATTCATGCATTATTCCCAAACAACTATGTAAAATTATTTATGATCAATATTAACAAGCATATAAAGTTCTTTAGCTGCCTGATTAGAATATTTTATTTCCAAAGTTTTACAAAAAAGTTCAAAAGCAAAAAATGTTCGATCAACTTTATTTCTGTCCTAATTTAACCGATCAAATACATGCAAGTATATACAAAATTCTGTTACCAAGATTTCATCGATTGGTTTTTATATAAGAACCATCCATGTAAACAGGGGCAAATGACGTGTTTCATTTAATATTTTGTATTAATTTCATGTATACAAAGTATACAAATCTATTTTGATTTTGGACATATCTGACCAATTATCGGCTGCGGCACCGAATTATTCTAATGTTACTAGGTCGATCATTTTTGGCGGATGTCTGACCATATGACCAAGTTTATCATACATTTGGCAGAGCGAAATCGTTATAATCAACAGTGTATCAAGCTAGCTTGATATGACTGAATTGCTAAATCCATAAATTACATGCACTACTCCTTCGACGCTTACCTTAGCCAGTGATTTTTTTGCCGGTCGGGAGAGTAGAAGAGAATCCTTTCCAATGACAAGGTATACTTCACGCCAGTCATGTCAGATATGTATAAATGTGATGTGTTTGAGTTGTGGTTCACGGCGACAAAAACCTGCTTTTCACTCGTATCAGCAATAAGAAAATCCTGCACAAAATTTGAAGGATGTGCTATTAATATTTATAAGCTTGAGAGCCTGTGAAGGGCTATTAGGTTTTTCCTACCCAGGCTAAAAAATATACCAATAGAATTGATGCTCGCAGGCATAGATTGTTTTTACCCGACTCAGAACTACTTTACTTCGGGCACACCGAAAGATGAAACGAGTTTCAGAAGCAGCGATAACGTTTGGGCGCGACAGTCATAACGAAAGCCCGCACATATGGAGGATGTTGTAGGACATGCTTACCTCGGTTCTGAGAGTGTTTGGAAATTCCGCCTTTCTAAAGTCGTGGTAATGGTACGCGACATACAAATCAAGACCATTTTTGCTCTAGTAAAACAAACACAGGTTCAGAAAACGTCTGACTATGTCGAATGCAGGGGCGTAGGAACGGGGGAGGGAGGTGGTTCATACCACAAGACCAGGCCACACGTCTTTCCCTCGAGCCTCGTCTTAGTGTTACAATTTATTTCATTATTAAATTTTATTGATCAAACTTTTCCATATACTATAGCATCATATATAAAGAGTGATATTAATGAATATTATTATGCATTATACTAATGCAGTTCGATTATGATTGGCTGAAAACCTACATGCAGATAACTCTCAATGTCTTGCCACCTACACGACATTGAAAATTATCCGTAGGTGACGTAATTTTTTGCCGCTAGTTTGCTATCAATAATGGCACAGGCTTCCTCTCTAAAAAGGAAATACATAATAAAACAATTATTGAATTCGGTTTTCGCATGATATTGAGAATTATCAAGCCTCAGTTTGCGTTATCCGCCTCAGCTTCGCTTCGGCGAATAATGCAAACTTCGACTAGATAATTCTCGATATCACACTCAACCTCATCCAATAATTGTTAAATGTTGCACTTTTTTGCCTTCAGTTATAATGCCAAACACCGCCAGCTAATGCATATCACAACTGCTTACATATCACAACTGTCGAACTAAAAATTGTATAGCATCTAGATTCATTAGAAGACAACCTTTTTGTAAATCGACCTATGCACGAAGAAGGATGTTTTGCATATACGGTTTTGAGAGTAAGACCTGAAATCTATTTAATATAAAGTGGTATCAAATTTAAAACGATAATCTTGTGACGTAATTATCGAAAGGATTTATTCAGCCACATTCAGCTAACATTTTTGGGACATTTTTAAACAACCACGTTAAAAAGGGCAACACGCCGTCAAGACGTTTGAGAAAACAAATACAACTTATATATGTAGTATGATTTTTCATAGCGATATTTAACCACACTAAGGACATGGACGACGCTTTTCCAGAATCATGGTAAATTGCTAAATAGAACTTTAAAGGCATTCTGGTCTTAGTTGTTGTTGAACGTCATAACGGGTGAGGTCCAAATAAATTTCTCTCAATTACTAAATAGAATAAAAGAAACGATTAATACTTTATATATTAACTGTACCTTCTTCGTTGCAAACATGTAAACATCGCTGATTTCAAAATCGGTAACATTTCGCATTATCATGTCAGAACTAAGATCATGATTCCAGTGACCCCGCAAGATATCCGAGGTGCCGTAGTCTAAACCAAAGAATTATCTCCTATTATCATGATTTTGAAAATTCTTTCGTGCTTCTACTTCCACCTGCTGTATTATTAGCGCCTCCCTTGCGACGTTATAACGACGTCCGCAAGAAGATGACAATAGAAACCAATAAAACTCCAAATTTTATAAAGACGACAAAGGTTATGAAGATTCTTTCATAATTATGACAATGGATACGATTTCCTCAGAAAGCTTGCCGGACAAGGAAATTGAACAACACCGTCTCTCCCATAGAGATGTGATATGAATACTTGTTTATGCAGGTATCAAGAAAAGGAAGATTTTTTGTAAAGGTAAAAAAGTATACGACCCCCTTGATTCAATGAATTTCTCCTACGAAGGTAATACAGGGATAATAGATACGACTCTCTTTGAATGTATGACAAGGACTATGAAAAAAACTCTCTCTCAGAGAGGTAACAATAAGGGAGATTAGTCATACACTCCTCTATATACAGGAAAGACAGGGGCGATGAATAAGACTTTCTTCCATGCATAGCACATGAACGTATATCTATGACAAGAAAAATGAGTAACATTCTCCACCACGTTTAATATAACCATGCACGCTTAATAATATCGATGAAGTAGGACTAGCTATCATTTTAATTCTTACCATTTTTCAATTCCATATAGATAACTTCGTCTGAATCCAAATCAGCCATTCCCCTAGAAACATAAAAACAATACCGGGGATAAACCTTGACCTCCTGCTATTCCATGTGTCTGAAAAATTACTTTCGAATCAAGCCGAAAATTTATGAATTTTTTATGTGAATTGAATAATACACCGTATTCCCAAGATGTCTTGTTAATTCGGATTTGTTTCAATTCTGCATGGTAACTTAATAATACGCACGTTCGTTTGCATGAAAACAGCAGATGCCGCTGTGAGAAAATGTAAACATACCAAAAATATGATCTTATTTTTTCTCTTCGAACTAGCCACGACGACCCAAAATTGTTGGAGTAATGAATCTAAAAAGAAATTGGAGAGAAAACACGTCAAGATGTGCTTCGATGAAGAAAAACGTTCTAGAAAAAGGTTTTGTCGACAGTTTTAAAGATCGTTAGGTATATCGTGCAAAAATGAACAACCACTATATTATAATACCACTTACTACATTTCTTTGCCTGTATCCAACACATAACCATGTTCCTGCATGCACTATGTATATAGACGTTAAACTATCACAAAATCTATCACGTGCATTACTTTGGCACGCAGTGGACTCAATCAATTACTTATTAAGCAACATAACTTATTTAATAACTGGTCGTTTCAATGGAAGAGTTGCCATAATACTGTAAACATTAAATCATTTGCGCAATTATCCGTTTACTACCATGCTAATTCCTAATCGGTCACCAGCAGCTGAATAAACGATATAGCGTAATCAATTGAACACATTGAAGTTGAGCAATTCTTCAGCGAATGCACGAGTTCATAGAGCGTATAAATGGCAAATTGGAACTATTGTTGTCCAATAATCATCTGGATATTATACCAACTAATCCATTGCAACGATGGTACATTAGAGAACGTGGATGCTGCGAGATTACCTTTTCTGTACTAGAATCGTACGCAATAAGACCACCAGTCCTCGAATTATGAAACGTGATGTCCGATGGTTTAAACCCCAGAAGAACTTTCGTTAGTGTTCTACAATCATCTTTTGAAACGAATAAAAGATTGTTCGTAGTATCGGCAAAGATGTACTATATGTAAAAAAAGGATGTAAATCAATTAGAATGAAAAACTTTTGGAGAGTACCTATATAAGCTACAGTCATGGCGGAAAAACTATGGAGGTAATTTACTTATCCCTAGCGTAGTTTGTATAAATCATTCTTACTTAGTAAAAAAGTGTACAATGATACAGGGTTTGGAACACATGCATATACGTACTCCACTTGCACGTACGTAAGCGCCGAGATCGCACGTACCGTCGGCTTGCGCGTTGACGGCCGCCTTGTATTGAAAGTAACTACAGTTCTACTGTCATACGTACAAAAAATTATCCGCGACGGCCGGTTTAGCGACCAGTTTCGAGTTACAGAGCATGCACCAAATCGGCCGCACTGATTGTACCTGTGAGTGGAGGCCGGTCTTTAGTTTACGTTTACACAACAGGGCGTTCAATTAGGTCCTTCGAATGAAATCTAAACCAGTATACATCCCCTTACGCCCCAGTAACCATTTCTTAAATTTCGCCTTTGGTCAAACTAATAGACACATAATGGTCATGGAAGATATGGTAGATTTATACAAGATTTTTACCGGGTGACCCAAAAACGTTTTCTGGTTTGATTGATGATAACTTTTTAACCAGTGAAGCCGTTATAGTGAAATAAATTTTATTACATAGAGCTAGGGAACGCTAACTTTATTCCATAAGAAGCTATTTAGAATGAAACCGGAGTACCTTTCAAACCGGAGGAAATAAGTCTGCTACAACAAGCTACGCACGATATTCACATAATATTAACTATAACTATATAGCATATTTCAATCAAGTTATTAAATTCCATTTCTATTTCATGACGTCAAGCTTTGTAAAAACGTTGAACAATTTAAAATTAGTCACCTCCGTTTCATTTATTGAATCAATTCAGTAAAACATTCCACTAAAAACTTGGTTAAAACAGCGATTTTTTATGGTTTTTTTACCAAATAAAATTGATCCAAAAATTGATGAATCTGACAACCAATTTTACAAAAGCTGTTTTAACAATCTGTTTTTACAGAGTAGTGTTCTTGATTTTTTTTTAAGATGGGGTGTCTCGCCCTATGCAGCGCTAAGAAACGCCTTCTCCTGGACACACTTTCTACAATATTAGTTGAAATTATCAAATCGATCAGACGTTTTATTGATCAGACGCAGTCCAAGGCATGGCAGAGTAAATTTGCCATCTACCAATCACAGACAAAATCACCTACCCATTTCGGTTTCAGAGGGCTGTTATAAAATTTCTCAATCACTGCGTACTTCTTAACTCCATCTTTCGTGAACTTGAGCAAGTGTGACATGTTGGTGTATTTTCTGCCATAATCATTGGAGATATAGAGATAACTGGTGCTGTCAGCTTTTGGATTAATATCTCGACTCAGCACAACCACCGTATCACTGACATCGAAACCACTCCATCCCACATAAAGCATGTAGTGATTGTCATTGAAATCGAACTAAAACAAAATACAAACCGATGATCAGCTGGAATTGACGGTAGCCCAGCCTCGTACCCAGGCGTTTTAATAGTAAAATATACAACGTTGTATTTAGTTATTGTATAGAGGTCAACTGAAAAAAAGCGAGCGCGCGGGGGTACATGTAATACTATAGGGGGTTACTGTCGCAAGAGCTGCCTCGACGTGTACTAACTGCATCTAAAAGTCCTGATCAGATTAGTGATAAAGAACTATACTGTTAAAAATACTAACGAGAAACTGTGGGTATGGATTCAAATCAATTCAAAAATATTCAACATTGCCGTTTATGTACGGTCAACACATTTATTTTACATTTTACATAGCATACAAAAAATACTTTTATTTTTACATCTGAACTAATGTTCCACCGTCGGAAAAATCTTCAAACAAATGTGTCATTGACACCAGTGTTCTTCCCAGTTTGTAGGATCATCCCCAGTCATGCATTTTGCACTTATCTTTATGTGTGCATGCTTGTCCAGTTGGTAAAATGCCTGTCATACAACAAACTAACATAAAGGATGTGTACTTCATAGACCAAGATGTACATTAGATCAGATATAAATTTCTTTATCACACACATTAAGTCTTGGCCAATTAGAGACGCATTGTATAATTACATCACTTTATAAAAAGATAGTTACATCATAGATTACAACTTGCAATACGATGCTTTGGTCAGAGCTGTATTTATTTACATAATTTACATGATTTCACATGAACTGAATGCCACAGCTAGCGTGGCCCTATCACACAGGAATTACTCGGTGTTCATTCAGTGTTCCACGACGCCACGTCACGAAACATACCAAAAACAGCGGGGAATCTGCAACTATAAACGACAGGTGACTGGTACATAAGTTATAAGTATATTGTATGCCTTTGCATGCAAAAACAAGCACGAGACGAGGATTGTGGTGGGCTAGGGGAAAAGGAATTCTTTAAAACCCCTAATTCTACTCTGTTAACAACCACACTTTCATGAACAATAAAGAAAATATATACTAAAAAATTCTGTTCAATATTTTAACTGTTCAAGTCCGTCATTCTAAGAAGAAAAGATCGCTTATCTCACAATCCATCACCATTTGTTGCATGGTAGTTGGTAATAATGCCTAATAAATGCCTAATAAAGCCATCTTCAAAACTGAAATTAAAATAACTGTGCTAACTGGGACGTAAGGAACGTTCTTCAGGCGTTTGCCCATCATAATACACCCACAAGCAAACTAATGTAGAAAGAAAACTAAACTCAGTTATGCCAAAATTCTTGAAACGTTTTAGACATGGCGTAGAACGCATTAGAAATGTTATGGACAGTAAAATGCCTCGAGCATCTGACAAAAATCGTTTAAAATGAAGTACTACACATAGCTGAAATTATGAACTCAGTCTTGATATGTATAGCTTCAGATATACATAGTGTCTTCTGCATTAAAAAAGAGACTATGAAAATTTTGAACATTCAGAAGCTCCGATGAGGTTAGAAAACCACACTACTTACCTCTAATATGGTCCATCGCCTTGAAGTAAATAAACAGAAGGGACATATCCAACGAAAACATATCTTACGATAGAGATTGTATAACCGTGTCGTTATTGTGTTGAAAATTGTGAAAGTAACGACACGGTCACGGCACGGTTGATATCCATTATCCCATAGCTAGTGCGTATTAGCTTCCAGCCTCTCTTGGTGCGTAAATCCCGGATTCGCCTCCCTGCAAGTATGTTTATTATAATACCATATCCATGGAAAGCTTCGGCAGAAATGGGCATACAACAAGAATTTTTTTCAATGTCATTCATTTTTCATTCCACTCTCTTTCAATGTCTATATTCATTTTCCAATCACTACAATAAAATTTTTTTTCACTCTCTATATTCATTTTTCATTCCACTCCCTGACTCCAGATTTCCTGAATATTTAAGCTAATGTATGTGCATTAGTGCTTCCTCATGTTATATAACTTCAATATATTTGCAACACCCCACCTCATTTTTAGCCCTAGCAATGGTGGGTACACAAAATTAACAAAAATAGACAATACGTATTTGAAGTCAATTAACTTCCAACTTTTAACCAAGGTGGTCATGTGTAATGAGGCTCAAAAGTCTGACTTCAAAGTTACTTTTGAACTATAGTTCTAAAAGTACTGCCCCCAAGTACTACAAACTTACTATTTTGCCTAAAACTGAAAAAAGTGACACAGGAAAACTAATTGTACAAAGGCAGTCAGTACAGAAAATTCATAAATACTGATAGCACAAAGCATGGTGGGTTTTGGGTCTTAGCTTATTTCGAGCTTTACATTTGAGTAATTAGCAACGTTAGTGGCAAAGCAATGTATTAAAGAGCACACACTATACATAAAGGTTTGGAAAAGTCAAACAGTCATAAACATGTGTGTTTAAGCAATTAGTTAAATGTGAACATGGTTGAAAGACAAGAAATGCGGTATTTAATGATAATTTATTTATTTGTACTTAATTATTTTTTTCTGAAGGACTAGAATAACAAATCCAGGGTTACTGCTGATTTTGGTCATGTGAGGTGTAATTACAATACGAAATCTGAGAGATACTAAATTTTCAGGGAAATCTGTGAGATTCCAAGGTTTCTACTAAGGAGTTTTGGTTTTCAGAGCACCAATGGTTTACTAGCATGCTTATTCGGAACCAATAAAAGCCAATGATAACAGAATAGTTGATTATCACATTCACTGCAACAACAGTATTATATAGACTAATGCACAAATGCCTTATTCCTAGGCCAGACTATATAATTCAGGCAAAGACTATTATATAATATCGTTCTTAACACTCGGAATAAATTCCATATTTCCGCGCGTCTGGATACGAGGCTGCACTCTATACAGCCTATAAAACGTTTTTCAACAACTGACAGTTGGGATCATGGGAGCTGCTTAATTAATTATTGAGGGTTTATTGCTGCTGTCGTGATGGCGCTCAGCAACTTCCGCATGCACTTTCGTTACGGAAATATTACAGCAGTTTTCACAAACCAATGTCTGTTTAATATATTAATAGTTGATATCAAGGCCTCTAAGGGCTGTAGAAATCACAAGCAGCTCTAAGCACAAAAGAAATTCCAATAAATGTCCCAAATATACCGGGCAGATTGATATTCCACGAATTTGCTCGAATATTTAACGAAACGGAGCGTTCTTCATGTTTTGGTGATGCGCAATGACAAAATCAGAAAACATATTGGTAACGAGAGTATTAGCTACATAGCCTACATTCAACAGTTAAAAATAATGACGATCATTTCATTCCAAAACTTAATTAAATTAGTTGAACCTAGTGTTACTATATATATAATAACTATATCGGAAGCACGCATCAAATCCTGCATGGTTGCATGTGACATTACTTTAAAGCATAAACATCTGGATATGTCGCATGAGACGGCAACATTGCGTCATGAAACTCACCACAACATCTATTGGATCTCTATTGGTGCTTTTTCTTTTGCGAATGGTCGGAATCGATCGTTTATATCGTTGAGATGATTCATCTTCAGACAGATAGATCTCACGGTGAGGTAATGAACTACCTCGAAGTGGTACTTTTCTTTGCACAAACAAGTGTTTCGTCTTCACGTTTCTCTCTGCTCGAATGAGTGTTTCGCCAAACGAAGCCAGGAAATATAAAACAACGAAGAGTGCGCGCATAGCGACACAGGACCAGGGTTGACAGATCACTCGATGAGTATAGGCCAAACAATGGTTGGCACATTATACTGAACAAATTTATTGACCAAATATTAACATAATCTTTTTTTAAAGAAATTTAAGCCCCGCCTATAGCATTGTTTTTCAGTAGATTACCAACGCCAGGCGTTTATGCTTTGGCGTTTCTTTGTTATACTCTAGTATGAGTTCGTTGAAAAATCCGTGTGAAAATCACATTTTAGGATATATCACATAAATGCCTTATCTGTGTATAAAAGGAAGTTTACGTTACAGTGCGTGTATAGAAAACTAAAATACCCAAGTCACTACACAAGATTATACAAAAGAATTTTAATGGCGTTCAAATATTAATCACGATTTTGCCTTTGGGATTACGTTTTCGCGTACAGTACAGTACAGTCAAAATAAGCACAAATGTTTTTTTAAAATTAGTTCGATTACAAGAAGCGCACTAAAAATGTTTCGATCAGACCATCCTAACACGGAGAACAGTAAGTAATACCTTGAATATTGTGTCTTGTTTTTAACAACTCATATCTTGGGTTTACAAGATGTTTATTTTCGGAGTATGTTTTCTCTTATAGTAAGTAACTATGTATGGAAATGCAATCAAATCACTGCTGCTGAAAAGAACGTGCTAAAGTTAGTAGGAAGGCAAAATTTGGTCGCGAAATGTTGTAAAATACGGAAAATATAGCCTACTATTAAAAGTTTGTTACCACGGAAATTGTTACCACATTTGTAAAAATATACAAATTTGCAAAGCTATATTTCCGTATTTACAACTTTTTGCAACCAAATTTTGCATTTTCACTAATTTTAGCACGCGCAGTGGTAATTTAAGTACATTTTTATGTATATATATAATGCGAAAGGTCTATTGGCCCATCTATTTCTAATCAGGAAACGTTTACTAAACTCCAACTGGATTTCCCAGGAACACTAACAAAATAACCTGACAAGATTTAAACTTTATTTGAACGTTTAAACGATTTAAACGTTTTATATTCTATTAAAATTTACATGCTGCATGTGCAATTAAAAATTCGTACAAATGTACATTACATTACATTTAATTCAATTCAATTAAAGCTATTTATTTTATATTTTCTACACAAACTCCTTGGAAAGTAAAAGGCTTCATGTGAGAGTACCGTTATACCTGTCACCTTATTTTGATTATTAGGATCCTCAAAGGTCGGTGGCGTAGGGTCTTAGAAGACTTCACTTTCCCAGGTTTTCGGACAGAGGGCGCAGCCTCCATGAAGTCATTACTCTCATTTAAATATTAATTTATTATTATTATCACAATTCTCTCAATACCAAAATTCTGCAAGCAGGATTTTGAGCTGTCAGAGGTACGACAGCGCATGATTGAAATTCAACCGCGCAAATTATAAGATTTTTTAACCAGGCATGTACGAAAACATATTGCGTTGTGAAACGCAAGCTCTGCGAACAGTGACTGCACATATTTTGTGTGACAGATTATTTAAGAGACCCTTGGTTCAGCTAAAAATTGGTACTTATACAATATCATACAATGGCAAAAAAGGTAAAATTTTAGACACAACAGGAAATTAAAGATATATAAATAAAATTCAAAACTGTTTAACTGGTCATGCATTCTAAATCACATTAATGTCATTATTAACGATTTTCCATGTTTCCGATTGGCTAGAAACATCAAAATCAACACAAGGACAAGTTTGTGTCAAACGGTTAATAATAACATTAAAAAGAAATAACAATTGTTCCTGAAGCATCGACAAAAATGCGTTTGATACACCGCAAGTGCAATTTTTCATTATTTCATTGCTATACTAATTCAAACGATTGAAAATTCAATTTAATTATCACGAAAAACAATGTTTCTTGCAATAAATAGTTCTCGTAACCTAAGCCTTTACGATTGTCTATCAAATGATCCAATTTTTCACAAATAAATATCGATCTTAGGGGAAATATTGAAACTTTCATTCATTTGAATTGAGACCATTGGTAATAATTGAGACCATTGCGAAATTGGTAATAAGGTAAAAGAGATGACGTCATCAAGCTTCAACTAGAGGATCGTCGTCAGAGAAACCTTGAATTAGAGGTGTGTCGTCATCATCATCATCATCTAAACAAATTTAAAATTTTACCTGAAGCTATATCGAAAGACGCATTTCTAAAAACAATTAGGCAGGCCATAGGTAGCCATTTTTTTCGCTAAACGGCAGTGGTTTTTGAATTTTTTAAAACCTTTTTGCTAGACCATAGGTAGCCCAACACTCGTGGTATGGCTAGACACCGCAGAAATTGGTGTTGGAAGTAAAATATCTCATCAGTTGCTCACATTTGAATCCTAGTATTCAGAAACTGCTGTCAAAGAAAATACTATAAAATAAGTTGAAAACAAGTTCAATTTTTCTTCCAATATCGGTTTTGGAAACTTTTGAAGGCTCTTCGTATGCATCTGCCACCGTAAAATGGCCATTTTGAGACATTTTCAGACATTTTCAGATGATTTGTTTTTGCCGTGTGCAAGCTTCAAATCTTTTGTGCAAGAGATATTTTGTTGACTATTTATAAATCTTTTAGCTTGCCGAATTTAAAGTCTAAGTATTGAGAATTACGGCTAAGTCTACCAATTTCCGCGGTGTCTTTTTGCTAAAGGTTTAAATTATCACAAAGGACAACAATTTCAACAGTTAATCGCTTCAGTTTAGTGTACAGGCAAAATGCAGATACACTCTTTTTGGCTTCGAGTGGATATGTTTATCTTAAGTTATTTGTGGAATATTCTGGCAGGATGACAGAATATCGTGATGTGCAACCAGATCAAGTTAATTCAAACCTAGAATCACAGAGCTGAGCCTTCGCTACTGGGACAGTTTCTGACCACGGAAAATACGTTCATATATATATATATATATATATAATATATATATATATATATATATATATATATATATATATATATATATATTCTGTAAAAAGCATGGCAAATGAACCTGACAAAATAGAAAACGCCCAGCCAAAGATCGAATAGCTAAAAGCTAAATAGGTTAGTGATTGCATGCAATAATTATTGCATAATAGAGTTCCTTAAACGATATAATTGGTGATTTCAGTTCATACCAGCATTATGATATATAATTCCATGATCATAATTGTCGCTTTGAACAAGTCGATAGAAACTTCGATGCAATCTTCGTGATTTGACCGCAAAATACACCAGAGCGACGGTCAGGACGAAAAACACTATGCCGACAGGAACGGCCCACATCAATGTTTTTGAGGGGGATGAACTTCGTCTAGGAGATGCTGAATGAAAAGAAAATACAAGAACGTTTTTAAACTGATTTAATAATTTCTAAGCTCGCAAAATTCAGCATTAAAGTTGGCTGCCTAAAGTTTAAAACATTTTTTTATGATTTTGATCGATATTTGATCTGGCAAAAGGTTTACCTAAAGAAGAAATTTACCTCATACATCAAACCAAAATTCTAACAGTCAGAAACTGCCAGCAAATACACAGGATTAAAATTTAACTTAGCGCAAACCCAGCTTTGAACAACTGGCTCCAGGATAATTCGCATAAAATCCGAGATCGCTCGACTAATCAGTGACCACAATTTACAATATTCAGCTTTGTAATGATACCAAAAGTGACTATTGCTAATTACGTAGCAAGTGCATGTAGGTAATTTCAATCATACCACAATATTGCTCATCGGAATGATCATCACATTCGTATTGTCCGTTGCATTTTGCACCCTTTTTTACGCACTTCCCGTCGTCACAGCGAAACTTGTTTTCGATTTGACATTTGGTTCCTTAAAAACAGCAAAGAACGATACAGTCCGTCAGAATAACACTACGATCCAGTCCATTAAATATGGTATACACGGCTTAAAATGCTCAAGTTGTTTTTAGCAGTCTCGAAAGCATGCATGCACATGAATAACGAAGCAGTATGCACATGAATAACGACGTTTCAGGGGCGCCTGTAGCGGATGGGGGACAGTTTGTCCCAGCTAGGCCACAGGTTTGAACGGCCAGCAATATACAACAGGATTGTTGAAATCGCATCTACTGCACTCGATCTTAATTGTAGGAATACTGGAAGAGAAATCCAGTATATTACGAAATATATGGATTCAAATGTAATAATATATGGATTAAAAATGTAAACAGGACAGAGCATTTTACATTTTGAATACAAAAAAACACTCCACCGTTAAAAATATATGCTTTCATACACATTGAAAAAAAACTCAATTGACTAAAAATTCAAGCAATTCATCAATCGTGTTATCATGCAGTATAGTAAGTAAAGACATACGCCGGTAGTCAAAACGCTCACTCACACTCTCTGAATGTGACATAAAAATTTTGTTATTACTGAAAATTATCTTAATTAATGAAAAGATTTAAGGTAAAACACTGAAAATCAAGCTATTGTTTGACTGAAAATACAGCCATGGAAAAGGTATGAGGAGATGGGGATCTCCCACTCAACGAGTTTGAGTGTGAGCGAGCTTTTCGAATACAGGCGATAGACATACGGAATAAAGGTATCCTCGTCATAAGTGTAAGTCAAGACGTACCATTGCATACGTCAACGCTCTCATCGTAGCCGTCGATACAGTCTTTCACATCATTGCACACATATTTTGGAGGAATACACCTTCCTTCTGGACACGGGAAATCACCTTCAGGGCAGTTATTAGTTTTGTTCCCTAAAGTGTGAGAAACACGCGACTTCACTTGGAGCAAAATATTGTTCATATAACGAGGTAATTTCAAGGGATTTTTGGCCCAAAAATGGAAACAATTTCCGTGCCAACTAAAAGTATATATAAATAATATATAAATAATACAATTTGGGAACTTTGTAAGGCTATATTTTTCGCATTTTACAAATAAATGTGGCAATTAGCAGTAACACTAAAACGAAGCTGAAAGCCAGAACTAGAGCCTCGTGCTCGTATCATGGCTTCTTTCCACATTTATTGGTCAAAATAAAGGTTATAATTCTTTCTCATGCATGTGGTGAAGAAGGATGTCTCGCATCTTTGCACAAAGCTAGCGAGATTAAAAATGTTTGCACAAAGCTAGCGAGATTAAAAATGTTTGCACAAAGCTAGTGAGATTAAAAATGTTTGCACAAAGCTAGTGAGAAAGCTAGTGAGATTAAAACTTAAAATCCATGTCATTTAAAGTGGTTCCGAAAGTTACCAAAAAAGGCTATTAAAATATTCATTTACTGGCGTGCTAATAATTTACGACGAACATGCATCGCATGCAGTAGTTTTCTCACCACAACCCTCTTCATCAGAAAAATCCCCGCAGTCATTACGCCAGTCACATCTCAGAAGTATAGGTACACAAATTGAATTTTTGCATGAGAATTCTTTGGGTGCACAAGTCTTTCCAGCTATATTGACATTGAATCAAGACATATTTTTATTCCTCATCAAAAGCAATCCGAACAACGTGTACATGTATTCATATCTATACGCTTCATGCAAACCAAACATGTTATATCTCATCGTGGTCTAAGATACTGACGTATGTTCTGACGTATACAATTTTATATCTATTATACTGCCAAAAGAATGAATGACTTCACTTGACTGAACGTTTTAGGCGCTAACTTACGTGCTCTTTTGCAGGTTCCATTTTTCATGGTTATCAAACCACCTTTACATCGGCATTCATTAGTCTTTGAATCTAACTCGAAGTCCTCTGCACATGCGCAAACATGCTTATTGTTTGATTTAGGCAAACACAGTTGAGAGCATTTAACACCAGAACACGAGCTGTTATCTGTAATACAAATAAACAAGTATAATAATTTGGAAATAAGCGAGAAAAAATATCTCGATATTAAATAACTATACAATTCCCGCAAAAGACATTGTACCATGCAGGGATGAATTTAGCCTAGTCTAAAAGGGAATGCAAATTCATTGCAATTATTCATCAATTAAATGATAGAATTATATACATAAAAATCAGAACAAAGTATTTTTGTTTTATTTGGAAATGTAAATGTCAACAAACATTCATACCTGGTATTTATACCTCAACCCTAACCAAACGAAGATGAGGTTTGATGAAAAATACTATTTATAATCTATTAATTTAGAAGTGTCGTCGAAGTCCCATCAACTCTCAATAACTTTGCCTTTTGGACTAGTTTTAATCTTGCTTTTCGTGAAGTGAAAAACGTCGCTTAGCAAATTCGCTTAAATTCATTATTTATGCAGTCGCAAGCGACGTTTTGAAAGGCGTAGACTTAACAAAATCCATAAAAGAATATATACAAAAACTACCAACTTTTCCATCCTTAAAATAACTTTCAAGTATTTAAATTTTATGCGCAAGCAATGCACACATATCTGTTGGGAAGGACACAGTTTTTTTATTTACGCCCCCTGTACAGTGCCTAAAAACAAGATAAAAAAATTAAAGCCCCAATGACAACCTACCAACTTGGCTTCGTTTATAATACACTTCTATCTCGTATCTGTTTTTGTTGCTGTGCCAGCCGACATCCTTGTCAATCAGGGTGACCGGCTTCTCTTCGAAAGATTTGTGTATTTTGTAAACTTTTCCAGTCTGCCAATCGTCCCAATAAACATATTGATCGTCCACAGCAATAGAATACGGATGTTTAAGGATGGCGTACCATTGAAAATTACCAGTATGTGACGTTTTGCTGGCGATGATCTGGATGTAAATATAAAAAAATCAAACTTATCAAAAAATTTTCATTTCATACTTTGGTACCGCTAAGAAACTAATTACTGTATCATGCTGTTTCTTGACACTTTTTTGACATTCTTAAACGATTATTCTTGTTCACATTAAGAATAAGACAACACAAAATATTCGTTAAAAATTGGCCGGGAATGTCGTGAAGAATTTCTGAATATCTGAAGAATCAGTTTATTTTTTAGTGTAGTTGTTGTATACTACATGATTTGAATCATTTGATCCGAAAACGGTTGTTTTAAAGACATATTTTAGCCTTTAACGTGGTTCCTGGTCGTTTATCGTAGTCGACTTTTGTTGAAGATTAACGGAAAAGAAATAGAAATTTATCGAGTACGCTTTAATTCCTACAATGAAAATACCCATGCAACTAACCATAGATTACACAGTGAAATTACACTCCCTGCCTCGTTTTCAAGCCAATTCTTCTGATGAAAGCCGAAATAAAGGACCAGTGCCGTCCATTTCTATTGTTTTGTCTTCATGGTTCACGTTCGCGTCGACAAAATCAATAGAAAGAGACGACAATTAGCCTTTTTCACGATGACGTTTTGGGGTACTTTCAATTTTCTGAAATGGGTTTAAAAATTATGTTTAAACATCAAAAGCAATATTTTTAGAATAAACAGACCATTTGAAGAATAAATTCAGCCTAAAATTAAAGACAGTCGCCGTTACCAAGTCTTACGCTCACGGTTTTTGAAAAAAGTACCACAGAAATGGTGGCATATTCGGCATCGTGAGAAAGGCTAATTCAGCTTCTAAAATGGCTTCAAAGATGACGGCCAAATAACCGTCAGTAATCGTCCCAGTCTTTATAGAGTTGAAATAATTCACAGATTGTAAAGCTTTTCTAACAGTGATCTGAAGTCGGCCCATAAAATAGAAGTGGAAGAAAGGACTTTTAACCCGCAATACGATATGGTGTGACACACATCGTTTGCAGTAAATTTTTTTTCTGTCAATGAAAGTACATCGTAAAAAATTTTTTATCGTAAAAATAGACATTTTTTTGAATTGCCGTGCTATTTTCAGCAGCCGAAGTTTGAAGGTTGAGAAAAAAATGAAGGTTGGGAAAAGAAGGTTTGAGAGCATAATTCATATCTATCTTCTACTCCCTGCATGCCGTTAACTCTACCTTATTTCTGTTGGTAATTAGGTCGTATCGGCCAATGATATCTTTATAGGCGTCCGTGTAGTAAAGATTTCTCGAATTCTTTGGTTTATATATATCAATAGCCAGACCATTTGGCCAGACAAGGTCTTTGTCGACCAAAGTCCTCCTGTTATCCCCATCCATATCTGACATCTCTATCTTGGCAGTTTTTCCCCAGTCAGTCCAAAACATTTGTCTGTAGGAAAGATACATTATATAATATAGAGATGAAAGCACGTGCAAGTAGTTGAAGTAGTACAAATAGGTCAAGTTACATAGCATTCAATCGCACCAGGTAGACAAATTCATGCGAAGTGCTGGTACATCGATAAAGCTAATACAGTTACTGTATACAACAATGCCAATGAACTCTAATACAGCTGCAGCTGATTTGAATCGGATTTGCAAACTAATCGCTGATTAATAATGGTAATAGAACGAATAGGAGTGCTATTAATAATGGTAATTGCACTTCGTGTCGTGCAATTTGGCGTGAAATCAAACGCGTGATTACAAAATCGCACGACCGCGAAGCGGCGGGAGTGTGATTTGCAATCACAAGTTTGATTTCACACCAAAATTGCACGACACGAAGTGCAATTTCCACTTTAAAAATTAGACAAATTCATAACGATTTATTGGGTGAAACGGTGTAAAATGTGAGTAGTTTTCATCTATTTTTGACAAGAAATTTTGCGGGGCATTTAAAAATTCAAAATAATAAAATTTTGTGCCATTTTCCCCTGTAATTTCATTGGATAGTTAAACTGAAATACTAAATCTGATTGGTTATTGTGGTGCAGAGCTTCAATTTTATTAGCTTAAAATCTTAGTGCGATTTGGGATTAATCACACTATTTTTAACCAATGAGATTGCACGAAACACCATTTATTTCAAAATGAATATAATAAAGTCGGAGGTCGCACAAAAAAAAGCTTTAAAAAAAAAGAACTAAGGTGAGTGTCAGGGAGTGAAAATGGGTGTTTTTGAGCAAAAATTTTATTCAAAGGTACTTCCCGTCCGATAACATTAATCTCCAAGCTTGAAATTAATGTTACTAATAGTTGGTAGTGTTGTATGTCCCTTTAGGAGGAAACTTTCGAGATGTCAGTATTGTATCGTGTTTCGGAGTGTTATTTTCGACCCGTGACGTGCAATGATGCATGGTGTTTTAAGTTGCAAGGCTTTAAGATGGCGGCGGAGTTATCGTTCCAATCTACCTTGAGTTCAATAATACATGCACAAGATATATAAAGCCAGCAAGCGTTATTATGCATTAAAGATTTTTTTTAGATACATATAGGTAAAGCTTATATAGCTTATAGGGATTAGATTCATATATGAGGCATATGTAAGACAAGGACGATTGTAAGTTATTTCAGAACAAAAATTCGACAGTTTAGTTGAAATACCGTGTGAAATACCATTGCTACATAACAAAACACTAAGTATTTTCCTAAGAAGTCTCGTGATATTTGTTTTCCCGAGATATATACTTCCCTCAGATGCATGTATGCATTAAGTGTGTATTTACTCTATATATATGTAGCTATATGAAAAATTTTCTAGTTGGTGGCAAGAGAAGAATTTTTGATCAATGATCCTTTTTTGTCCTTAATTTGCTGGGGAATACCTATATATATTAATAATAGTGACCAGCCAATATGCATCGCTTCCATAAAATTCACAATGTTGCATGGTGGTAAAGAGTATCTTATCATCAAATTTTTGTGGGCTTATTCAACAAGGGCGCCATTTCATTCTTTCATAGCAGATACGTCAGCAATATGTTTTTGTGGGCTTATTCAACAAGGGTGCCATTTCATTCTTTCATAACAGATACGTCAGCAATATATTTTTGTGGGCTTATTCAACAAGGGCGCCATTTCACTCTTTTATAGCAGATACGCCAGCGATATAATTTATGTGCATCGGTAGACACTGAAAATAGAATGATAGAATTTCACCTACCCAAAAGGTGGATCTAACGCCAGTGCACGAGGCTTATCAAGATCATCAGAATGAACTATTTTTCGGTAGCGGCCATCTTTTCTGCAAACTTCGATCACCTTTTCACCCGCATCAACCCAGTAAAGATTATCGGTGGTCCAGTCAAAGTCCAGGCCTTCAACTTGTTTAATTCCAGCGATTTCCATATCAGCTAATAACAGAACTTCCATTAGACACAAAGGAAACTTCAATGAAATAAACTTGTCATCATAAAACAATTATATATTTCACATTCAAAAATCTCACCACTATCGCCATTGAATTTGCGTCTAAAAATCTTGTGGTCCTTCATATCGGCCCAGTAGATATAATCCTCTTTCTTATCATACGCCACGACAACGGCACCACGGAGACCCACAACCGCAGTCGATCGACTTGAATTCACCAAATCCATATATTGGATTGTAGTTCGCTCGGCATACAAAAGAAACGCTGAATCAACTTTAAGAACGAGAAAAAAATGACACGTTAAATGACCAACATGCATGCGGAGAGGTTTAGTGTTGGCTAGAGAAAAAAAGAAACGCTGAAACAATTTGAAACAGAAAAAGTTCTCACTCGACACGAAAACATTTGTCCACCATCATGTTTCACTTCCGGTGAAACGAATGTGTGATCGGTTGAGAGGAATTTTCCGCGAATATCAATCGATTATGCCTGGTTTCCATTAGTGTCGTGAACATGTCAGAGCGGCTGATAGAATAATAATAGCACTTACCTTTAATTGGACAGGAAGTTTCGTAAGGCTCATACCACCACTGAGTATAACTAACGGAACATTTATCTCCTGAGATTTTTCGGTATCTGTTGTACATGAAAACAAAGGAAATTTTAAGGGTTGTTCACACAATCCAATTTTGCCGTATCCAATTCAGTTCTGGCATAGTCTGTTGACTGGCACTGTACATAAACAGTATTCAATATTGTTGTTGTTGTTGTATATCATATTTACCCTTGAGTTCTGTTGTAAGTATGCCCAGGTGGACAGGGTCGGGGTGGTGCGTATGGATCAAAACCAGAACTGCTATCCCGTAGACAAATAAAACTCCAGAAAGGTTTAAAACCTCTGTCGCTAAAGATAAAAGAGATTAATAATTAATAATATATGCAGCAATTAATATTAAATGCAGCTAACGTGTCTAACGCCTGTATTCAAAAAGCTTAATGGCACTCATTACATGACTGTGGCATAGAAATTCTGTTATTACTGATCAATGTGAATAATATATATTTGTTTATTGTTTATTCACATTGATCAGTAATAACATAATTTCTATGCCACAGTCATGTAATGAGTGCGATTAAGCTTTTTAAGTACAATCGTTAGACACGTTAGCTACATTTAATATTAATTGCTGTGGGGAGGAATATAAGAGGAACCTCCCCCTGACCAAACAACCAGTCAAATCAACAAGGAAACGTTCATACCATTCGTAATCTTGGCCTCTGCAGGGACACGCTGTCGTATTAATTGGTCTATCGTAGTTTTTACCATTATAACAAACTGAATCTCTCTTTCGACGTTCGAACTCAAGTCTTTGACCAAGAATGCAGCCGTAACCATCGCCACGTTTATGTGCCGACCACGTTTCATAATCGGATTTATTACATGGTTTCCCTGCGAAATTTTGAAAGAATGTAAACTATTATAAATCTTTTAATCCGGCTAATTTAGATTAAATATATGACGGTGCAAACAGTTGCAATTAAGCCTGCCGCACACGAGAGCTTATTATAATATTAGCTGGGCTAAAGACGTCGCGAGGTTGTTAGCTCAGCAAGTTACTCTCGTGTGCGGATAGTTTTCGCGAGGAATTTTCTCACGTGTGCGGATGCTTTTTGGGCAGAGCTAACTGCCGCGCGAGGTCGTTAGCTCAGCTTACATATAGCTCTCGGCTGCGGCGGACTAGAGACCGGTAGCAGTGCCAAATTTTGTGCAAAATAGACTTCGCGCATTCTTTGTTTTGTGCTGCTTCTCTATTTCCTCTTACTTTGACTGTAGTGTTGATCTAATGTACGAATCGATTTAGAATGTACTGCACGATCCATTAAAAAATTGATGTACTAATTGTTTTAAAATGTAATGTACGAGTGATATTTAAGAATGTAATCTATGTCAGTTATTAAAAACTCAAGTAGTAAATTGATTCAGAATGTAATGTACGACGTTATGAAAACTAATGTACTCATTAAACTACAACGTAATCGATAAAGTAATCGAAATTGAATGTACTAATTAATCTGGGTGTGCTAATTAATGTAATGTACTGAAAAATTGATTAAATGTATATTATGCACTAATTAATTTGGCGATCACTCGTTCCTTTCAGAAAACGAAGTTTCCATGAACTTAACTTACCCAGAACATTTGAGACGTTAACTTGCACAACTAACCAGCTATGGTGCCCGTGATACGAGCCAAATATAGTGAATATAGTTGTAGTTTCCCCTGGTTCAGTCAACAAGCCATAAACATGTATATCCTGGTCTGTAAAATTGTACCTTTTCCACGTTAAACCCTCGTCGGTACTATACCTGAAGATGAAGAAATTGTAAAAAGTTAAACAAAATAAACACTTAAAAGTCGAGTATATGATCTAGCTCTCATCTCTTTCATGCTATTGTTCAGTTGTATTCGGATAAACTAGTTGTAACTACAACGAAATTAAATTTGTCCAAGCCGTTGTACTGCTCGTCACCGATGTACACAGAACAATAAAAAAATTAGACTAATAACGTAATGAAAATAAAATTGCTGCCCTATTAAACTACATCGTTGTAGTTTACTACAGTGTATATAGTGTCGTTGTTATGATTTTTCATAATATTAATCTGTATCGCCATGAATAACAAAAAACATCTTTTTTATAAATCATCGCCAAGAATTATCAGTAATTAGTTTAAATCTAGTTCACTTGTATTCTGGCTAGGATTCGTTTCATCAAGTAGCTCGAATTGTTACTATCTCCACAATGGAGTGGGTACAAAAATTCGACTCTATTAGACAAATTTAAAACTTACAGAAGCTCCCTAGTCGGTGACCACTGCCGAACTGCGACAATTACACCGCCATGATCACCAAAGTTGAACCACCAACGACCCTCAAGAACCTACATTATTTCAAATCTTTATTATTACGAGGAAAGATATTTTTGATATACTTGAACGCAGAGTTCTTAAAACAAACACTTTAAAATACCAGTAATTTGTCTGAGCTCAAGTTCAACAGGACCATGCAAAATCTAGCCGTTTTTATCGTATAAACGAACGGACCCCAGAATCAATGAGGTCGATGAAGCGTACAAACCTCAAGCCAGGATTCTCCTGCATCGTTGGATACATAGACATTAGAAGCGTAGGACAGACGAATGCCAATATTCCCTATGAAAAACAAAATATTGTTAGGTAAAGATAGAAAGGTCTGAATGTCGTACAGTTTTAGGTATAATATCTATTTAGGTTCGCTACGCTTTTATAAATGAATATGAACAAGAGTTTAATCAGTTTATGCATGTCCAAAAAATTCGAAAAGCCCAATTTTTACATCAGAGGACCCTTACATTGTTATGAGAACCAATTTAATTTTATTATTCAGCGATTTTCTATTACAAATGTCGTAATGTGGTTTTTGAACAAAACCATGTATTTCGTGAACCTATAATTTTAACCTGCCGTTGAACGCTTCCAATTTCAAAGCCTCCAAAGATCGCATTAGCTCATTTTATACCCATGCAGTGCTCGTGCGTACAATAGAGACTATAGCCTGTCATTTTCGGTAGCCGTTATTTGTGTCGAAGACTCTTCGAAACTCACCGGACGAGACAATGAGTCCTGGGGCAGATGGTTTTGACATCACCGATGGAGCGTCATAGTACGGGTGCTTCTGCGCGTAGTGCTGAGCTAAGTGCAGTGAACAAGCAGGATTCTATAAACATGATCAGAACAATATTCCAACTATATGATACTATTCATACAGCTTATGGGGTGCACTGCAAAAAGTGCACTACAAAAAAAAATATTTCAATTCGGATATACACTTACAATTTCTCAGGGTAAAATTTTTTTATAAACCCTACTTATTACAATAAAACTTTTCGTTTAATTCTCGCGTTTTTTATATATTCAGTCTTAGAGAAAAAAAATTCAGGATGGATTTTTTAGATTGTATCCTTTAATTTTTTCAAAACAGGATAAACCGTATTTTTGTTGTAGTAATGATACGCGCCCTTAAACGAGCCAGGACAGCGCATTTATTAGAGCGAGAGCGAAATTATCTTTTTAGTAATATATATATAAAATTATACCATTTAAATCATCGATAGTTTTGCGAGGTGCATGCTATACACTTGATCTTACCGAAATGTTGCAGTTGACCAGCGATCCGTCCGCATGTCGCACGGGAACACTCAACCTTCTCCAAAATCTGCCTTTGTCAAATGAAATGACGGTATAGATTGCTCTTGTGCCAACTTTACCTTTCGATAACTGGCTTGCTAAGTAGACACCTCGCATTGAAGCCACGGAGTAAAGATCAACGAACGATTCGTGTATATAACGGCTATAGAAAACAAGGCAAAAAATACGGTGACTTCATTGAATACAATCCACGCACCTGCTCACATGCATTAAATCAAATTAACTTACAAGATAATTTTTGAAAATGTTAACGATGAAATGATGAAATAATGAAAACTTTATGCGTGAAGCTATCCACTGTTGACGTCGCACGATTATAGTTTTCACTAATCTCTCAATACAAAGTTTCACTATAAACTTAAGGCCATGGCATGCAATTCAGAGTACAATGCTCTATTTGAGTAAACCCCATATCTAAATATGGTGCTATGGGTTTTATTGTAATTCCTTTATGGCTGCCTTTAAACAGTTAAAATCAGGCCAAAAAACTTTAGGCATGTTTCAAACGTCGAAATTTTCATGTACCCCGTCGAATGCAAATGAACTTAAACAGGCTCATTAACATTGGATTTGGCACAAGAAAACTTGGACGTCTGAAATAAGCCTTAGAAATTCCATTTTTTCCACATCTTGCTGCCGAGAAATACTAGACACAGGATCAACTCGAATATCATTTACCACAAAAAACAAACTATTTTAATTTCAGCCTTGGAACTAATCATGAATAATTGCACCATATGCTGTGAGAATATCTTAATTTTTATCAAAATCGAATAATTCAATTTTCTGAAATTAACACGTACTTGAGCCAGTAATCCTTCCGCTGGTCAGGAGCGTAGTAGAGAATTCTTTCCATGGACAAGGTATACTTCACGCCAGTCATGTCAGATATGTATAAATGTGATGTGTTCAAGTTGTGGCTCACGGCAACGAAGACTTGCTTCTCACTCGAATCAGCAATAAGAAAATCCTGAACAAAATTTGGATTATGTATCATTAAACCGGTTGTTTAAAAAAGCATCGCGGCAATCTCGCAAGCCAGGTTTTCTAATCGGGCCTATCGGAATCAAATAAGTTTTATAATTTGTATAAATTGTAAAGGATTCAAAAGTGAATGCTCTTAAAATTATTTTTTGCCCCCAGTATTAGGTGCCAATGTTGTTATACAAACTCTTATTTCGAAATTTCTAAAAGGTTTTCGGGGCACTAATGCTTGACATGTTCGCGATATCGTGAATTTTTCCCAAATGAGGCGAATGAAACAACTTCAAAGCGTTTCCCTTTCTATATTCTAGGAATTAAGGATCCAATTGTGATCTCATTATGCTGAAAGGCGGGTGTTTCAGTGTAAACGAAACTTCAACTCTAAATCGTGCTTACTGTACCTCTGTTCGTAAACTGGTTGGAAATTCTGCTTTTCTGAAGTCATGGTAATGGTATGCAACATATAGATCCAGACCGTTTTTACTCTATAAATAAATAAAGACAAATAGACCTGCTCATTATGACGGAAATTTTTTTATATGTCACGTATTTTGGCGGGAAAAAATTTTCGGTGTACCATATTCAAAATTCGTTCATTTTAGCTTTATTCTTTAGATTATGTATATAGTGGACTAAGTTTTAAACAGTAGTTGGTGGTTGCAAAATACTCAGAGTTTCTTTTTCAAAATATAATGCGGTTATCAACCATGTTATAAATGTCAAAGCTATTATGATTGAAATGAATACAAAAGTATAGCTTCGATTTAAGTGTCATTTTTTTCTCGGCGTACCCTGAGAAATCCCTTAATTTCAACATTGTCTTTAGATTACGTATTAGTACACAAACATATTTTTAGACGCTTTTGAGGTATGCAAAAAATGTTTTTAAAAATTTTAAAAGTTCAGTACTGATGCATGCATGCATGCATTATGATATAAAGCCTGGTTTCTATATGACGCGACGTCGGCAAAGTATTATTGTCTGTGATTATTGATGAGTGAAATCTTTTGTCTTTCTGAAATGATTAGATGGATGATTAGATGGCGGATGATGGTCTCCTTGGATGATTAGAGACAACGGTTCGGCGACACGTCGGCGTCATATGGAAACCAAGCTTAACTGAGGTGTTGCATGAGCACACATTAATCGGCATAGAGAAATATCTCCTGTTAATTAGATCAGCAAGTAGCATTTATACTGATTTATTTTTGCGTTAAAAATAAAGTAAGAAATCCAGTCCTTATATAATATGTTATAAAGCATAATCCAACACTCAAGGCAAAGTTGTTCATTAATAGCAGTTCGAGTTTTTGTGAGATTATACATCCACAGTATATACACAGTTTTTTACAAAACAGAGTCACCCAGGCGACACCACGTGTCGTAATAAACGTAAGTATACCTTCCTTGTTGCAAACATATACACATCGTTGATTTCAAAATCTGTAACATTCTTCATTATCGGATCAGATATAAGGTCATGATTCCAATGACCCCGAATGATGTCTGAGGTGTTGCCCTCTATATAAAACGAAAAATTATCTCAGTTTTCACGACGAGAAAAACATAATCCTACGAATTTTCGAGCTGGATTGCATATTTTCGGGGTAGAATGAACAATTGGAAATACATTTCAAAAATATATTTATATTTTGAAATATATTCTAGTCCGCGAAATAGAAAGTATTTTAGCCCAATCTGGGTTAACGATTCAAAAAACACTTCAAAAAGAAAAAAATATTATAACCTCTGATTGTTTGCATAGTAAATAGACTTTTTGAGGGAATTTGAGCTTGTATGCAAATTGACTCATTTCAAATCACATGATCTGAAATGGTTAAGTTTTATTGGCTATTACATGGTCACAACATCTGAAATGGGTTAATTAGTATGCAAGCTGAAATGCATGATATGTAGCTACATTCATTAATGATTTCGAAAAAACTCCTCTCTAAAAAACCTCTAATAAATTTGACTACGATCTTTCTCAATTACTTTCAATTGCAAGCGGCAATTTATTTTCCGTCCTAAATATAAATGCATGGCCTGCATAGGCTGCGTGCAGAATATTTTTTTTTACGAATTTATTTGTACCCACTATTTTGTACTTCCATATAGATAACTTCATCTGAATCGAGTTCAGCCATACCCCTAAAAAACAAAGCCATACCAATGTAGAACAAAGTTGTCCGGCACTATGTCATAAACGTTGCATGCTGGCTTTAAATTCAATTTATGGCTACGACGGACGATCGTGGCTTTGTTCTGCTTCGAGCTCGTGTGGTGTGTGTTCGTGGCAGTCGAAGTTGTGGAGGACTGCGTTCATCACATCAACTAGTCACATTAGCTACTTTGCCTGAATGACGAGTCTAGTTAAGTAGTTTTTGTAAATAGTCTGTAAAACTCTTACTTAGTATTAATGCATGATCAATTGTGAATTTCCCTAGTACTAATAAACGTATTATATTACATCTATTTATGTGCATGGACGGATTCGAGTCGAGTGAAAACGTGTAAATAGGAAATTTAATGAGCCTTTTAAGCTCTGTTCACACGATCCAATTCACCTCCGATAAATCTTTATATTCCGCCGACTTCGGGCAACAGCAGCCAAAGTAATATTTCATCAATAACAGATTACATACTGATACGTCAGAAGTGAACTGCATGGATCCAAAAAAATTGCATGGATTGTGTGAACACCTTCAAAGAGGTACATGCAAATTTTTCATAATCGCGTGCAAGAGTATTTTCTTTCTGTAGATTTTGTTTTTATGCGGGTTTGCGTTTTTTAGACATCCTGTAAGTATGCCACTATCCGAAGTTATTTCAACTTCATTGAAATAAAAACGTGTATTTGAGAGTTTTACATGAATCTCGAAGCAGTGTGTACAAAATATGTCCAAGGAAAATTTTGGACAAATGTTGGTACAGCGATATGACATGCAGTTTCGACAAATGCAGCAAGAAATATTGAATTGGATTACATTCGAATGTGAAAATAATTTGTTATTGCTTCGAGTACATACAATTGTTTTTGTATGGGTTTGATACGACTTACAGCGGCTTCTATATGTACGATTGTTAACAACAGGCATAGCAGTTTCCCAGATGCTTTTGAGCTATGTGTGTAAATGACGTATTAAAACATACCAAAAGTACGATCTGATATTCTCTTTTCGAACTGTCCACGACATCCCAAAATTTCTGGAGTAATGAATCTAGAGAGAAATCGTGCACGGGTATTAAGAGAAGTAGGTGTGCGAAGGTCCACTCATTCCCTGGAATTGTTTTGCACGTTCCGTAGAAAGTCTTACACTTCTCGGACGAGTCATGCACCTCTCCAAGTGAAAATTCAAATATAAAGTTCGACGAAATATTCGAGTCACTATAAATTTCTTGCAAACAACTTTTCCAGTTATAATAAAATCAGTATGGCAGGCTTTCAAGCCGGGGGGGCGATGCATGTAGGCAAGACCCGGACCCAAACCGAATTGAAAAAGATGCATATATAATACAAACTACGGCAATGAAAAACATGCAAATTCATGAAATGACATAACAAACAAGTGCAACATGAGTGGATAAAATGCACAAATGTCTCAAATGTCACAAATATCTCATGTATTATAAGAGAGAATGTCGATTACTTTTTTCGTATCATCATCATACGCGATAAGTCCCCCTCTCTTTGAATTATGAAACGTGATGTCAGATGGTTTAAACTCCAAATTTACACTCTTTAGCGTTCTACAATCATCTTTTGAAGTGAATAAAATATTGTTCGTAGTATCCACGAAGATGTACTAGGAAAAAAAAGGCATGTATGTGAATACACAGCGCACGTTCTGTTGTACAGTCGGTGAGTTATGTGCAGTAACTCTATCCACGAGTTATTCTCTATAACAAATTGTACAGTCACTAAATTATCCTACTAAATCATGGGCATGGTTCTAAAATAGAATCAAAAATACCATTACCGGTATGAAAAACACGGTGGCAACGAATGGCAATGGTTGCCCATATTGATCCCATGTGCAGCATTATCCTTCACACACGATAAATGTCAAAAATCACCTACCCATCGTAATTATCGCTACTGGTTTTAATAAATGAAAGTAATCACCACACAAAGATTAACTTTCACGACCGTTGGGTAGCTATTAATTACGATGGATTATATACCTGGTTGCCGTGAACTCATTATAACTTCAATTCGTTACTTACCCATGTCAGATTAACAGGACTGGTGTAGAACTTTTCAATAACCGCGAGCTTAGTAACTCCATTTTTTGTGAACTTAAGCAAGTGTGACATGTTGTTGTATTTTTTGCCATAATCATTGGAAATATAGAGATAACTGGTGCTGTCAGCTTTTGGATTAATATCTCGACTCAGCACAACCACCGTATTGCTGACATTCAAACCACTCCATCCCACATGAAGCATGTAGTGATTGTCATTGAATTCATACTAAAATAATAGAAATACAAAAATGTGATCAACAAAAAGATTCAATGATATATATAGAACATTGTACATCTAATGTGCATCAACATTGGTTAAAGGTATATTCCTTATGGATAGCCAAAGGATTTTAAACAAGTGATAAAGGACTGTTTTTGCCTAATTGAAGTGTTGAATCTATGAAAGTTAGTTTTTATAAATCAATCAAAACATATGAAACTTCAATTTAAAACATGCACCTATCGAAACATTGGTCTCTCACAGCACTGGAGAAAAATTAAGATCCATAGTTTGGAATTTGTATAACCATCTGTGCAATGTGCATGTATGCGTAATTGGAAAAAACTATGGAGTTTCCTTTTCGAAACTATTGACTATTGTGGTAAAATTTTCATTTTTCTAAATGCATATACATCTAGTTGACAGAAGTGCAACAGATGTTCATTCAGGGTGACACTACAGTTGAAATTGTACAATACAACTTTTCAAACTATTTATTTATCCATGTAGGTTAAACAGCCTGCTATATATTTAATCAATTTAATATGGCTTATAGAGATGGATAAATTAATAGACCTATAACTGGTCGGATAGTGCTAAAAATGTTGCTGTAATTATTATGATAATCATTTTGTTTATTTGACATATAATTGTCTAAAACGAGTTTCCCGTCTCTAATATGAATTTGGTTATGATGCAGTTTTGCTATTTACATTAAATTTGATACTACACTGCCTGGAACAAACTAGTTTAGGCCTTATAGCAACAATGATAGTGCTTTCATATCAGTGTGTTCATATCAGTGTTTTCATATGTTGATATGCAACTGTGAGAAGTAAATTTTATGTTTCTAATTTGCATGTTTATATCTTGGACAGCTGGTCCAGGCTGTTAAATGGTGTACTAGATATCCATTTTTTGTCTTTTCTCACTACAGATCCTCATCCCAAAGTCTAATTAATATTCCAACAGTTCCAACAGTTCTTGCGGTTTTACACTTGTGAAATTAAAATTTTCACATTCATCAACATCATTCAAGAGGAAAGAAGTGAAACAGGAAATGTGGTTGCACATATATTAGCTGTGCAGGTGGACAATAATAAAATATTGAACAAAAATGGGTTCATATTAACAGAAACATGTTTTGTACAATTTGGCAAGGCTTGAATGGTACATTAGGGTGCACTGAGATTAATTAGAAAAATAGCAGCAGTTGGTAAACAGGGAGCGGAAGGTTTTGCTGTCACAAACAAGCGGGTAATAGGCTAATAGCATCATTTGAAAGTTGAAAGAAAAAGTGCTATCCTAATTTCCTTGATCTCAATTCTTGATATTCCACCTACTACATAAAGGCCTTGCTGTTAGGATTGTCTACTAAACTCATCAAACTTTGGTAACACTTATTTAGTAAATCCATTTAAGACGTACTACATGGCAGCTTGTAAATGCAAAATGTCATCAAGTGTCAGATGGGCTATTGCTTAAAATGGCGAAGTTCTCATTACATTTTTGGGGTAGTTTATCCAATCAAGCAAGCTATTTCGTCCGCACAAGAGACTACAATAGGATAACACACTGGCACCCTTCAATGTTACAAATTAAAACAACCATTTAGCTTATAATATTGACTAGATACAACATTAAACAATACATCAATGTATGGGCGATATGAGCGGTCGATATCAAGAGTTAAAAATATAACCGCTCATCTAAAATGGAAAAGAAATAAAAAAGAAATCTCCATTAGATATTCTATAATCGAGCTAGTGCTAGTCATGTGCTTTCTGCATTGTATCGCTCGACCGCCTATTTTGCGATCTTCGTGATACTGAAAATTAGAAAACAGCTGCCTTGGTAAAGTCAGTATGATATTTGATGAACATTTACCAAATACCAACCTCTACATTTTGAAACCTATAGTTATTGTACCTAGTGTTATTATTTAATAATCGCGCATATCGAATTTCAAATGTTACAAAATAGTGAAAATACATTGTCACATTTAAAAATACGTTGTCCGCTGGCAACTTGAGGTAATTTCGAAATGATGTAAAACATGAACATCAATAAATTATTACTCACCACTGTATCTGTTGGGTCGCTTTTTGTACGTCTTCTCTCATGAATCGACCGCCTAGATCGTCGAGATGTGAACTCTTTGTGGAATGGTTTCTCACTTCCGTTCAATCCGTTGTCATCTTTAGACAGATAGATCTCACGATGAGGCAATGGACTACCACGGAGTGGCGCTCTTCTTTGCACGAACAAGTGTTTTCTCCTCACATTTGTCTGTTCTCCTAGGATAAATGTTCCGCCGAACGAAACGAGAAGGTATAATGCAACGAGCAGTGTCTGCATAGCGACCTACTTCTCTTCGTACACCACTCGTATTCTTGTCTGCCGTCGAGGCACAACAAACTCTAATGACGCAATGATTCGCACTGATCTCAGTATAGTCGAATATAGTCGAGTGAATGTATTGGCACGTTTACACTTCTTACTGCGATTTTAGGCGCGATCCCACTTGTGGGGGACGACTACGGAATTATTTCCCCATATTTACATGTTTAATGAAAGAATACATAATATTGACTTCCTGTTCTAAGCAAGCTAAGCTATTAGGGGCCATTCAAGGGGATATAGGCTGGCAAATTTTATATAACTAAATAAAATATTCACCATTCCCAGCAACACAAAAAATTCAATGACCCCCTTCACATGAATTCCAAAAAACAATAACACCTCCTCGCACAAATACACCTCCACCACCATCACACCATCGATGACTAAAAATTTAGGGACCAGGGTCAGGGGCCTGTTGTATCAAAGTTGGATAGCGCTATCCACCAGATAGTGATTTTTTCAACCGTTCTAAAAATGCTCGAAAAGAGATAAAATTTCAGCTTGGAAGCAACAATTATTAAAGAGGATCTTCGATTTAGGAATAGTAAGATTTAATCAAAGTAGTGTAGCAAATAACGGGCGATTTTGAAGCGATTGAAAAAAAACACTATCCGGTGGATAGCGCTATCCGGCTTTCATACAACCGGCCCCAGACTGTTAGTTTATTCATGCTACAAATAAAGTATATATTTTTACATTATGTCATTATAGCATGTATGCATGCAAAATGGGACTGATCAACGCCTAATTATTAGGACAGCAACAACGCCAACCCCATTTGAAAGGTAATGTTTCTACACCGTTTACTTATTTACGTGTGTTTTCAGGTAAAGTTTGGCTTGACCTAAGCACATTGGCGTGCATATCAAGCACGAGTTATCTTGACCATCAATCAACACCATATTCCTAATTCGTCTAATTGTAATTACAAGTAATCAATCCTGTGACTGTCCAATGACTGTATGCACACTAAATAGCGCATCTTTTGTTGCGGAAAAATTTATCCCATTTTCCCAGCAGTTTTCACTGTACTCGAAGATATATACTTGTCAGTCGTTCCCATTCCCAAATAAACGAAAATAACTTTCAACGTTTGAAATGTTCCGCGTAAAAGTTTTAAGAACAGATTTTACTTGATGTCTGAGTTTTTGTTTATAAATAAAGATAGACGTAGCTTTTTCGAGGAATAACTCAATTTAGTACGTCAGTACGTATCAATACACTTTAACTGTATTATAGGCTTTGATATAGGTTGTGCTTGGCATCTTTTAGCAGCCTTTGGAGTTTTGAACAACGTTTTGCATCTCGACGAATCTCAAGCAACTTTTGATCGTCTGAAGCAACTTTTATCGGTTTTAAACTTTTTGCCCCTCAACCTTGAATTTACCAGCACATGCAAAATGCGCATGCAATCTATCAAAACCAATTGAAGTGGATCACCTATTCGTTGTAGGCTACATCTGAATAGCGCGCCATGATTTCTGAAATAAGTCTGTCGATCGACTGCATGAACCATAAGGTCCATAATTATTTCTGTCCAATATTGGAATTCAACGATTTTGTAATACGCCTCAGTCTCTATTTCGTTTTGCCGAACTTTATTCAAATCTGCTTGCGACTCAAACGGACTAGATTACAGGCATTTAAATCTGCATGCGACTCAAACGGACCAGATTGTAGGCATTGATCAACCGTTCCGAGCCAGAGGTTGCCCTTAATTACCATTTTAACTTTTGACGGGTTTCTTGCTGCTTATCGGTAAAACACACTTGCATGCATCGATTAAAAACAAAACGCTAATCTATCACGTGAAACTCTGCATGCATGATTGTACGAAGAAAGCAGCTTTTAGAAATAGCTGTAGACTCCGACGACAGTCAGGGTAACGAAAGTATATATATTTATAAATATCTATATAAACTGGAACAAAAGACATGTCATAACGCAACTATATATATGCTCGCTGTACATGTATAACTGTGCATAACGGATAAATATTGACTCCACGTAATGCATGTATTTACTTTGTCCATTTTATCTTCACATAATACAGTCTAGCAAGGCTTTATTATCCTTTCATTGCCATAAATCATGTGTCTGGTTTGGTTTGTCAACGAACAGTTTCAACTTGAACGCAGAGGGTGGTTGTATTTGCTAAACGGGCGCCGTGGTGGTCCCTCACCAAAAACTCTGGCCATTTTATGACACGTCTGTGCGTAAAAAGGCGAACTTGAAGAAAGGATTACGCTACAGCAAGAACGAATTCTCCACTGAACAGCGAGTGAGTACATTTCCGGATCTTAAAAGTCGCGAAGAGTGCTCGGGAAAGCGTGTTTTCGCTTTAATGATGTGACGCAAAAGCGATCTGGAGCAGCGACACTGTTGGCAGGCTCGGTCCACTTTTAGCGGTGTTGTCTTGAAGCTCAGCGTGCGATCTAATTACTCTTTGTTTTTAGTTCATTTATGATCGTTTATCTGCAAATTTGATCGATATAGATGAAAAGACGCCTCGTTGAGTCTTCTAAACACGATACGGGTATTGTCAGTGTTGAAGTAGAATGCTTCAGACAGCTGGCTAACCGCGCTTGAACGAGTTTCGATCAGAGAAACTATGGAAGTTACAAGCACGACAAAACCACACGTTAAAAAGATGAACTCGGTGAAGGATCGCGACTACAATATTGTTCTGCTTGGCCAAGGAGGCGTTGGGAAGTCAGGTATATTTATAAATACTTTTCCTCCCCCATGAAAACGGGATAATTAACTTAAGTGGTGGTCCTAGTATGGTACTTTAATAATAATCCCGAGAGCTGGTTATTTTATCAGCACTGAACAAAGTGTAGCAGTTTCACGAACGGATAGCTAGGTCAACGCGCTGAGAAGCGGTATGTGCGTTAGCGCGCAGTATATACACAAAGCAAAAGTACAAATATTTGCCTCGCACTTTAAATTGCAATTACATTGCATGTGTCATGCCATTTTACTTGAGATAACGGTATAATTTCCAAGATACCTAGCCGGATCTGAAATGGTCGCGAAATACGACGTGAACATGAAAATACATCCATACGCAATGCAACCGACATTTATACGGACCCCAAATTATATTTGTATCGAATCCAGTTTGCTTGTTTTTAATCGTTTAACTTACTTTATATCGGGAATTATTACGCACCATATATAGTGAGCCGGCGGAATCGTGTATTGAAAGGTGTGTTTAATTGCAAATTGGTTTTATTCGTTCCATAATTGGAAAATATAGGAATCATAGTGTTATCGTAGGATAAATCTTACAGTCTTTTCTAACAAAACCAATTTGTTAAACATTTCAATAGAGTTAAAATGGTATTTTGACATTATGTTTTTCACACAATGACCGAATATGACAACAACTAGGCAAGAGTGTACGCAAACAAAACCGAACAACAGAAAATGACATCGACTTTTATCTGACCTGTGTTCGGATGCATGCACTCCGCGGGGATTGCTGTCATTTCCAACCCAAGGAAAAAAGTAGTAACGGTATCAACAACCGCTAGGACGCGATATATAGCCCCGACGTATCTTATGACGGCTATGAGGATCTAATCGCACACGGTGAAGTTAATTATCAAGCATGGCAAAATGCACCATTCTATATATAATTTCCATAACTCGGCAAGCGATCTCAGTAGGAACCGTGATTATGGTGCAATTATGTGCAACAAACGCTCGCAAACATCGTGCATAAATATCCACCAAAGCAATCACGCTTGCATGCCTGTCATAGGGACTTTTATGGTATAAAATTCATGTCCAGAATGCATATGATAACTGTAAATCTTATTCTTTATATTTCATGCATCAGATTTAGGATAAAAGACAGGATATTGTATTTGTAAATTCTGCACTTGAAATTGCTACTCTTTTCTTCTCTTCGCGATATGAAGTGTGTTTTTTATCGCGTTCTACGTAAATAATGCATAGATATTTGCTGTTTCATGCTGTTTCACAAATTGATATGAAAATAAAGTCGCATTTTTACATTCACATGACGACAAAGGTAAGAAAGAATTAGACCGGAAAAGTCGCCATATTTGTGTATTGATCGATTGTCTTAACCAAAGGAAACATTGTTACACCAGCGATCAAAAAGATAATGCCTGTTAGCGCGCACTACAAATAGTCTCCATTTCTGAAATTTGCTATAAGTTATGTACAGGCAAGAGCGACTTTCGGCGGTCTTTCGCATCGCCTGCATGATTTGTTCACTCAATACTGTTACAACCAAATGGAAATTGTGTCGGATTGCATGGAAAAATCTCTATGCAAGATTTGCATGACACGATCCTGTCACATGTTGTTGTTTTCGCGGAATATCCATAATGGAAAAGTAATCCTAACATTGAAGTGCCATAAATCATTGTATTGTATTACTATAAAGTTTCATGTATATGCATGATATATGGAGATTTTCATCGAGCAAGAATGATGAGTGATAACCCTGATCATCACGAGCACCTGATCGTCCTCCTTGTCATCCTCCTTCAGTTTTGTAGGATTTCGACGTGTGGGGGCCATCATCGACGGTGTTTGTGAATGCATTTACTGATTTAGATATATAATCTATACTTCGTATGGATATATCTGTTTGTCAGTTACTTTCAGAAGTATTAATCACTCCAAAGGGTATAGACTATAAGGTAGAGACTCACCAAAAACCAAAAATTACCTAGCCCTCAAAACGTATAATATATCATTGGCTCCAGACTTGACTGTCCCAAGGCTAGGTAATATCTAGTGCTAACCAATCAGCCATCGCAGGTTAGCGATGGTACGCTGTCTCATGCAGTTGAAACTGACCAACTTTCCGTTTATTCTAGCTCTTCTGGTGAGGTTTTCTACTGGCAGATTCATCCATGAATATCATCCAACATTAGGTAGGAGCTTGCCATACAATCTTGCAAAAATTATACCGCAAAGATGTAGGGATTCCGACTGGCGAACATCATTGCGATTTACTTCTCGATGCTTAACACTTTAATCTTTGGGGCTTGTTTAATTCGTAATTGCATGATTCGCCGACGTACAGTATGATATTCTTCGTTAATACAGTAAAAAATGGGTATGCGCCCAAACCGCTTAATTCTCGTACATTTTCCTGTTTTTAGAGTGTAACTGTGATACAACGTCAGTAATTGATGACGAGGTTGCCGAGATGAAAATTTTTGACACAGCAAACACGGTGAGATAAATATAAAACTTAATTATTTAATTATACATGCATGCACTCATCATGCAGTTTCTATCTGTTCCGAGCTGCAGACTGCATCCTTCGCACATCATTGACATTGCTACCTATATACACCAGAAGCCTTCTTTGTCCAGAAAAGATTGCGGAAATTTTTGTTATATATATTTATATATAGATATATAGAATGATATATAGATATATAGCTAATATACTTTGACAGTTTGATTGAACAGGGGAGGCCCACTATATCCACGCTTTATTGTTCTACTGATATATAAGCAATATTTCTTTTCTTCGCATGTCGTTATAGCAGACCCGACCGATGTGTGGGGGCAAAAATTTCAAAATCTCTGCAGTAACATTTTGTCTGCTGTTTAATCGGGTTGGCAATGCACCCATTGGGATGGTCATAACTCATAAATCCATCGGGATGGCCAACACAGACATGCACCCAAAACAGGCATAGAAAACGTACTTTTTAAAGTTTAACACAAAGTCCATGATTGCAATATGTCTTCACCCAAAAAGTGACTAGTCTTGGTGTGTGGTTGCAAGATGCGAGTTTTTGATCAAACGTGACAAACTATTAACTGCATGGCTATCAGCATTATTTATTGCAAGGCCATCACGCCAATTAAGGGATGCACTTTTTGGCGTGCTGCTGTTTTAGCGTTAATAGCTTCGGTTAAAGTTATACTTATCATGCGGTGACAGTATATATGCGTAAAGATGTTAACATGTCTAGACAATTGCACGACAATATTTCAAAAACGAAAAGAAGTTAAAATGAACTGATTTGATCTACGACACGTGAAGATTTTTTTAATTACGCGTCAATAGGTGAATAAGGTTGCCCTATAAAGACAGCATAGTTTGCATAATTGTGATGTCGTAATTTATAGGTGATCTTCTAACAATTGGCGGTGATCAATAACGTATAGATAACTAGCTTCGATATATAGACAAAACATGTCATGATCACCTGGAGGCAATGGACATCGCCGATGATTTGCGAAATATGAAAACAGGCTTAATAATTTTAAAAAGGTTGCATGAGGAACACTAGGTATTCATGAATGTTCGCTTGATCATTAATCGCTTGCTATTCAACCACCAAAGATCGAAAACCTATGAATAATTTAGATGTTGCGTTTTTCAACATGACTTCATTACAGAGGTATACGTAAGTATAATAATATATTCATCTCTTTAGAACGAACCTCACGTTTATAACAACGAATACCAAGGTTTTGTTGTCGTCTACTCCATCACCGATCGCATGAGTTTCGAAACGGCAAAACAACTCGTGAAGTTGATAAGAGAAGTGAAAAAAATGAAAACGCCCGGTGGCTTCACTTGCGTCGCACTAGTAGGAAATAAGATGGACCTAAAACACGAGAGAATTGTGAGCAGACACGAGGCGAACGACTTCGCCTCCGAGCACGAGTGCCTGTTCATGGAGAGTTCAGCACTAAATAACATTAATGTCGAGCAGGTATTTCACGAGGTCGTGCGACAGATGAGAAAGTGCAGGAATAACAAGAAAAAGGACAAGAAGGGAAAGAAAAAGAAGTAAATCAAGTCAAACATAAACTATACAAGCAACTTTTGCGCGTTAAGCCGGGCTATAAATACCCTGATTTGTTGCGATTATTGAAAGTCGATTTTTCCGATCAAACCAGGCTTTCGATAAGCAATTGATGGTTCAACCATGCTGCATGGTTGTTGTTGCATATCATGTTCAAAACTATAAGATAAAAAATAATAAACCTATGATCACTTGCATGAGGAAACGCCATGCATCAAAAATCCAGATGCCCTCCTTGAAAGACAGCATATAGTATCTACTTATATAAATACACTCGAATAACTAATAATAAATCACATATAGTGCAATTATGGTCTATGGATTTCTAAACTAATTTATGTGAACCGAAGAGTTTGATCTGCTAGTGTAGAAGAACTGCACATGTTGTCATAAGGTAAGCGGGTTGCAGTCAGACATCTCCTTACTGGTTGTTGTGTCCGAAGCTAGGTCCTAACAGAAGACCCTGGGTACCAGCAGTTTGAACACTAACCTACGTTTCATCCGCGCTAAAAAGTCTAAAATTCGCGCAAAGGCAAACCAGAGTCGTTCCCACTCCTCGATGCTCCCAAGTTATTCTGAAGGCATATCTTGTTTGCGCGGTTCTCGCCATTATAGAAACTGTATCGGCTTTATCCAGCATGCATGATTATCCTTACTGATAGAGTACGTTGGTATAAACACAAGCTGGGAGCTGATTCCCCGTCACTCGACGCCCTGACATCCACCATTACCGCGTCTTACTGTCGGTAATAATTATAATTATATATATATATATATATTAATTTATAGCCTTATTATATGTTATGTAATATATATATATAGCCTTATTTTAACGACATACAAAGCCTAATCATTAGCTGGATTTTAAAACATTTTGTTCTTTCAATATGAAAAAAGAAACGGAGAAAAAGAAATGAGGATCCGGATGTCAGAGTAAGGGCTAGGGTGACAGGGAATCAGCTACCTGCTTGTGTTTTTCCAGCGTACTCTGTCAGATTTAGATTTTCTTAGAACTGAGGTGAAGAAGACGTGGATACGTATGCATAATAGAGAACAGAATTATTTTTAAACTGTAAAATGACTATGTGAGGCTGTGAGCACGAAAATGAATCTGTAACTGATCGAACCGTCCCTTATCCATCCAGTTTTTCCATAGGCAGCCCGGTGAATGCGGGCATCGTATGCCATCTTATGTATATAATTATAAACATAGAATATGGTTCCAAGGAAATCACACGAGCTAACTGAAAACTCTTTGGTTGATTTGTTGCAGTTCGTTGCTTCACGCAAGAAATATCCCTACATAACATGGAAAGCCTTACAGATCGCGATTTCTTTTCCCCTGAGTATTACGTATCGGAGGTAATCATGCATATCTGATGAAGTTCGCTGTAACTTAATTAAAAAGCGCAAGTGAAGATTACGCGCACACCCTACACGCGATTTCTTTTCCCCCGAGTAGAGTATCGGAAGTAATCATGCATATCTGACGAAGTTCGCTGTAACTTAAAAAGGCGGAAGTGAAGATCACGCGCACTAGACAGCATATTGCACAATAATGGCTTCCAATAATTCTGGAGCTTGGCCGTTGCTCCTGTTGCTATATCTCGGCTTATTCTTAGCGCTATTCTTATTAAGATCAAGCAGCAACAAGCCTTCATGTGAAGTAACTATCGAGGCAAACAGTAAACAGATATTTATCAGGCAAGCATCACGCCAAAATGTGGAGCTCTTGTATTTACGTTTGAAGTTTCTGAACGAATCGTTGTCGAACACAGAACGGTTGTTCTCTGTAAGTGATATTTCCACGATATACGACCCAATGGGGTGGGTTTGGACAGATAATGACCACGGTAAAGCAATCCTTTCATTGCCTTATGATTATAGCATATTATCAATGACAACGCTGGCAAGGGAAACAGGAAAACTCGAGTTACGCATGATTACCAATCCCCCAGGTTGCCTTAGCGAACAACAAGGTCACAACCAGTTAACATCTGTGAGGGAAACATTAGCAGAGACTGCTAAGGTGATGTCATCAAACAGCCTTATCTGTCATCGTTTTGTACGGAATATCCAAACGGACATCAAGATCATATACGAAAGTACTTTTGCCTCAGGTTTACCCGTAATACAATACAAATGCTGTCCAGTGCACGATTTAGATGGTGGTTGTAGTATGGTGATCGTCCCAAATACAGCATTGTCGTTCATCTTAAGGGTAATTTGGGTAGCATCGTGTGCTGTGGCATTTCTAACACCATTGCTGATAAAATATTTACCATATGACAACACTGATAGTCGCAGACAAATGTACGAATCAAAAAGTGAATCAATATCACTTGAGCTGGATTCACCTGGCAGTCACGTAAACGATATCCCTGTAGAAGATGGGGGTGAATCCACCGAGCTAAATGTCGATGTAACGAACGAAGACGAGTATCTGGGTTTGGATGCATCCACACCGCTCACTGTTCTATGGTTATCAAAGACTGGTGCCCTTTTGTGTCTGAAAGCAAGACCAAGATGGTCTCGCTTTCTGTTGTTCTCTATTTTAATTCCAGCAGTTCTCATTGCCTCCTTGATCTTATATTCATTCTTGCTTCAACTTGATGTAGACCTCCAAAAGCAAGCCGAAATCAAGACGGACTTTATGCAGATGTGTTTGAACCCGGACGTGTTTCTTATAATCCGAATCGCAGCCTATATTTTCTCATGTTTGATGTTGTGCATTCCTCTTAACATAAGTGATGTTGTTGACGAATCTTTGATATTGATAGGCGACCTACAGATCGAGAAAAGTTGTTGCGTAATCTGTACTGCGATGAATGAACAACCAGACATGAGAATGACTGGAGTACGCCTGCTTTGCGACAACATGTGCAGACACCTGAGGTTCCTATTCACGACTCGTTTCTGGAAACTCCTGCTCTCTTTCTGCTCATTTCCATCAAGATGGCTACTTCGCTTTCTCAGTTCTGGTAGAAAGCTCCCAGTAGCAGAAATATGGCAAACTGAGCTGTCGGTAGCTAACCGAAACGATGTATATTTATGTCGAAAAATTATCGGTACTACAATTTGGTTGCTGCTCTCTCCCGTATGGTTGACAGCTTTTCTCATTGTCACAATTGTGATCTTTTGTTTCATGATCCCAATTGGCTACTTTCTGGCTTGTATCTCTCTCGTTCCTCTTGTTTATTTGGTCCAAAAGTTTGGAAACGGCGTCTGCACTTGGTTTATCTTCATTGTTTGTTTTTGCATCAACATTCTTTCCGCAATTTTCCTAATTGAAGTGATCACTTTCTCGTGGAACTTTGTGTTGAAGTTGGTAAGTTTTACAATTATGGGTCTGGTGTTAGGCATTGATTACTATATTCCTTACATCGTCTATGCAGTTGCGATATTCTATTATGTCCGAAACACTTTGTGCAATTTGAACGACAAGTACCTGAAATTGAAGGTATCGCTCTTCAATGAATGTCAAAAACAACAAAAATCCCGTGGGGATACTCCACTACTCTTCGTCAAAAACAAGAAGACAGAAATGCCGATGATACCAAAGGAGCTCTTCGAAATCGCGTGCAACAAGTACATACCAGTAAAGAAAACTATTGCATCTTCTATTTTAACGCTTGTTATGATTATCTGCTTTATCACCTTCGCCTTCGTGTCGGTCATGGCATTCGGGAAGTGGGCCAAAGTTCCGTCGATAACCGAAGCTGTTGTGACATTTGCGATAAGCACCCTTCCTAAAATGTTACGCGAATCTAGCAAGCATACCGGCTGGTCTTCGCTCAAAGAGAAGGAACGGTCGTACTCGCTTGAGCTGGATGTTGTCCAGTTTGTGAGAAAGCACAAAAACATGCAGAGTAACGTTGACACGAACGATGGACCTTAGACTTGTTTTCCACCTGTAATCAGTTGTACACGAGGACTCCGGAACAAAGAAATGGCCTATAATCTGTTATATAAATGCAGCCTTTAAATACTAATTATGAACCAACTGCCTGTGAATGTTGATTAGCTAATTCGTGATATTGTTTTGTTGAACAACAAGGTTATGTTATGATTTGAGAATAAGTTAAGCCTAGTATATAAGATAAGAGTAAAAGTAATTCGTTAACTGAAATAGATAATAGAATTGAACTCGCCAAACTTCTAGCAATATAGGAGGTTGACGTTCTTCTACGTCCATATGCTGAATATAAGGATGCCAAAAAAGTTTTTACGCTAAAAAGATGCTGCAACTCTCGAACAAACAAGTGATTGTCCCTTTTCATTTTGATCAAAATATTACAAGGAACCTAGGAAGATTTGAAAAGCTCCTTTAAAAGCTAAAAAAAACTCTGGAAGAATTTGTTGTTATTGTTTCTAGGATCTTGCAATGAGACCTTTCTTATGATGACGTCAAACGTGAAAAGTCTGATGTTACACGAAGTTTGATTTGCGTATGCTTCGTAAAACTAACGATCCAATCAAACTTCGCGTACATCAGACCAAAGTTGCCAGATTACGGAAAAAGGAGCCAAACATTGTTATAGTCGGCCCTTTAATTTCTTTGTTTCAAACAAAGAAAACAACGATTATGGTAATAATATTTGGCTTATTTATTAATTAGTCTGGCAAGTCTGCATCAGACTTTTCGCGCTTGACGTCATTATGAAAAAATTCTATTCGAATTCTGGTAATTTACATCCGCCGCATAATTGATGACGTCATAATTATCTCGAAGCTCCTCAAACCGACTCAAACGTCTCATGGCGACGCAAAAACGTAAAGCATGGACGAGCGCTGAAAGGAGAAAAAAATTAGCGATATTTGCATCGCTGTGTGCTTTAGCCGTCGTTGTTATTGTTCTAGTGGTCGTTCTTCTTACGCTGTTTAAATCCGAGAACGATAAAGAGGAGGAACGTACAATTGGTAAGTGAGTAAAAAAAACTGACACGGCTTTAAAACTCAAATTAGCCGCGAACTTATGGCTGGAATTTGATAATTCCCATGACAGACCCACGCGTACAATCAACAGGACGTGGTTAATTAATGCAAAAGTGTTTAAACCAATTGAACTAATTCAACGTGGCGCGTGTGCTAGAAAAACAATTTGATAAAACTGTTCTTTTTTATTTACAGAGCTTAGTCTTAGAATGCATTTTAACTCCCAAAGGGAACAAACTTTATGTTTTAGGTTAATTAATGGTTAGGCAACTTCTGTCACATTGCGGCTAATTTGAATTTCAAAGGTCTCAGTTTTTTTACTCACCCTGTATATTGAATCAAAAGTATATTCTAAAAACTGTTAAAACTGTTATTGCTCAAAAAAGACATAATTGTCATGAAGCCCACACTCACTGGACGCTAGTCTGGCACGCGACGCGATGTCATAACAAGATCAAAGTTCTCCCTCGGTCACAATCAACTTTTCTACATCGTAGCGTGCGGAAGAGGCCCTTTTTTGCCAATTGACCTTTTGCATTATAGACCAACTTTTGATTTAGGCGATAAAAAGGGAATATCCGAAAAGACCATACTAAATTTAGCAATTTGCCAAGTATCGAAATATTGTGAAGTACAGAAAATATAACCAAGCAAAGTAGGCAATTTTTTATTTTTTGTATACTTTTGTATTACAAGAAGAAGTGTGTAGACACACTGTGTAGTTTAACTAATTTAGTTTCACACGTCTGTACGTAATACAAAAGTAAAATTCCCTACTATGTCTTGCTGTATTTTCTGTGCCGTATTTTTTGCAGCCAAATTTGGCATTTATACTAATTTTGCAACGTTTTAGTTCGTGTGTTTACCAACCTCGGTAGAGTGGGAAGTAAAGGCCCTACAGATATAGATGAATACAGCGGTACCGTGCTGGAGAATGAGGTGAGAGCTGTGGATGGTATCCAGCTATGGTCCGTGCCATTCTCTGGGGTATGGTACCTGGAGGTTTACGGTGCGTCCGGTGGGGACGGCCTATACTCGGGTCACAGAGGCCGTTTAGAAGGTGGCCGTGGAGCAAAGTTGACTGGAAAGTTAAAGCTTACCAAAGGAACTGTGCTTAAAATCTTGGTTGGTCAACAAGGTGAAAGGGATCATCTTACACATTTCCGTGCTGGTTCAGGTGGCGGGGGCACGTTTGTCGTGTCAAGTGATGATCAGCCAATTATGGTAGCAGGTGGGGGAGGTGGTGGTGGCGTACCAAAGCTTGGTAAGTAAATACATTTTATCCTTCGTATCATCGATAAAAATATTCTTTATGTCATCCTGACTTCTGAGATCTTGAATTAGTCCCGAAGTGGAAAAGTTTAGGTTTGCCACAAACGAACTGTAAACATTCTGGTGTGGGCAATCGATGAAAAGTGTTTTCATTCGAAACAGTTTCTATCGTCGGTTTAAGGAATATGCCTTTCAAAATAGGGATCTGAGACTATATTTCCCATTGTGATGTCATTCCACGCTTAGCGTGTACAATTATATATTGCTACAGGTAAGTACTCAGTCGGTGGTCCCGGACGAAAAGAATACGTCGATGAAATAGGCCAAGGTGGACACCTGTACGACCCTCAAAGGAACCTCACCGTCACGAATGTGCGCAGCGATCACGCTTGTACGGCTGGTGCCGGCGGTGGCTTTCACAAAGACGGCGCGGGATACCTTGCAGGGTGGGGTGGCAAAGCCTTTGAACACGGTGGAAATGGTGGATGGATAAAACGGCGCAAGTTCGATGTAGCGACAGGCACCAGTACCAGCGGTTATGACAAAGGGGGAGCTGATGGTGGATTTGGAGGAGGGGGAGCCTCGAGCCTCCTTCCAGGAGGGGGCGGTGGATACATCGGGGGAAGCGTGCGAGGTGCGTACTTGTATGATAAGTCCTACAAGTTCGCAGACGGGGGCACATCGTATAACCGCGCGCTATACCCAACCATCACACCAGGTGTGCACAAAAAGCATGGAAGAGTTTTCGTAAAATTCCTTGGAAGCGAATCGCTGCCTTTTCACGCCAATCAAACTACGGATCCTCGTATTCCCAAAACTCGCGAAGATTGGTATAAAGAAGCTTGGGACGATTAGGCGATGTACTTCACAGACATAGGTACGATTGAAAACTTATAAAGATTCATTATCCCGATATTATATTGAAACACAACACGTATTATGACATCCGGAGGTTATCACCAAATAATATAAACACTATTAACGTAATGTATATGAGAAACCATGTATAGTTATACAAAACGTAATATATAACATGCAGCTGAAAAACACACTACGTGCGCGGGGTTGCATTATCCAAAATTAAAGGCTATTGTTGTTTTCCATGTTATGTTTTATACTAATAATTTGCTAATAAGGCTGTGGCAACAAATATTCACCGCCACAATACTCAAAATACGTTATCGTGCATAATCCTTTGCGCGCTCATTCGGTAACCTCGTGACAATGTAACAATATGAAACTTATGTTATCCCACAATTCATCGTGTGTAATTCGATGAAAAACGATATGGCTCCACCAATGAGTGAGATAACCGACAAACTTAGTTGGAATGAATAGCCACGCGTAACCAATCCGTGTGGTCGTTGCTTTAGAAACCTCAGAAAACTTCTCAACTCTTCTCCTCGACATGCGAATGTATACCGAGTAAACCTCGATGAACTATCCGAGCCTTCTGATGAAGCTGAGCTCGTCGAGCCCAAGGACGCTGCTTGTTCAATTTCGAAATTCACTGAGATTTCACGGCGAACACCGTTCTCGCTATTTCTGGGGTTGTCATCCTCAACTTCCAGTAACCAAGGGGAAATATCGTTGATTCGCTCCATGAATACCTTCTCTCGTCGCTTTATAATCTCGCCAACAAAAGTGGGAGCAAGCCATATTATCACGACGAAAATCAAGTAACAGATAAATTGCGGAAGATGTTTCGAGTGATATTCGCGACCGAATATCGCCTGCGCAAGCCCGAAGCCGTACAGCGGTATCGCAAGAGCCACAATATTAGAGAGCTTTAGATTTGACTACGGCTCCCGCTACGGCTACGAGATTCGTCACATTGACGTGATATTCGTGATACTTCGTACTGACGCCAGAGGCACGTAGCCCTCGCTCATCTGACTACGGCATTTTAACAAAACTTCGTAGTCCTGACTACGTGATTTAAAAAGCAATAAAAGTTGACATTTTTTCGTTTTTTTCCAGAAAAAAAATTTTTCGATGAAAAACGATATGGCTCCACCAAGGAGTGAAAAAACCGACAGACTTAACTGGAATGAGTAACCACGCGAAACCAATCCGGGCGTTCGTTGCCTTAAGAATCTCAGAAAACGTCTCAACTCTTTTCCTCGACATGCAAACGTGTATCGTGTAAATCTCGAAGAACTATCGGAGGCTTCTGAAGAAGCCGAGCTGGTCGAGCCCAGGGACGCCGCTCGGCACGTGCAACGAAGTATGTCACTATCAGGTTTCAAGATTATTCGCCGCACCCCGTTTTCTTGATTTGGAGAGTGCATACTGCACACGACAAGGGTATGAACTCCAGAGTTGTCATCCTCAACCTCCAGTAACCAAGGGGAAATATCGTTGATTCGCTCCAAAAATTTCTTCTCTCGTCGCTTTATAATCTCTCCAACAAAAGTGGGAGCAAGCCATATTATCACGACGAAAATCAAGTAACAGATAAATTGCGGAAGATGTTTCGAGTGATATTCGCGGCCGGAAATGGCCTGTGCAAGCCCGAAGCCGTACAGCGGTATCGCGAGAGCCACAATATTATGCGCGATAAACCACCACGATATTTGCTTCCAGGAATTCTTCACCGGCCTCGCGTACAGCTGCATAAAAAGCGAGACAGCGTCCACGGAGGTGTGTTTCCACCTGAGGAAGATGCCTTCCAGGGCTTTCAAACGAGCCGCGTAGCAACAATACAAAAGCGATAATGTCCAGAACAGTGCAAGTGCTATTCCGAGATCATAGATTATGGTCACGAGAACTAAACCGTATAATAGGTGATCAGCAGGACCATGGAGAGGAGGCAGTTCACCAGAAAATCGCTGTGAACCTTTGTTCCACAGTATACCCTTGACGACGTATAGCGTGCAAAGCATGACGGTA